CAACATTAAACACACAAGATTCACTGACAGCATTGTGTGGTGTGCAGCGGCCATTCATCTTGTTGCTGCTGGAAGTTTCGCTGCTGTGTCCGTGACTGCTCTTCACTTCTCCATTCTGCTACCCATGAACATTTGCACTGTTTCCCAATTTTGAGCTACTATGCATGCTGTGATGTTGGCTGTGCTTATCTATGACTTTAGTAAACAAAATAATCTATTTTTAGCAAGGGTATTCCAGGAGGTGGATATATGTGGCCATAGGGTATACATGTGTTTAACTTCAGTTGATACTGTCAAACAGCTTTCCAAAGTTTTTACTATAGTTGTACACTCATTAGCAGTGTGGGAGAGTTCTGATTGTTTCTCAGTCTCACTACCATTTGCTAGTGTTCTGCAAGTGTTATTATTTTTGTATGAACAGAAGTCCTTCATGTTAATGTAGCTTGATTTATTATTGTTCCTTTCTTTTCAGTGCATTCTATCCTATTTAAGAAATGTTTTACTACCTCAAGGCCAGCACAATATAATCTTCTATTGTCTCCTAGAAATGTTATTATTCTGTATTTTATTAATTTCTAGGATACATGTTTAGATGTATAGTTCATCTGGATTGATTTTTGCATATGATGTAAGGTAGCAGTCAAAACTTGTTTGAGGGCCCTCCCTGGTGGCACAGTGGGTTAAAGCACAGCACTAAGAAGCTAAAGCCATTTTAGCATGAATTCGATCCTTGCCTGCCCTGGAGACCTCTCCTGACACGCCTGCTGCTCCCCTCAGCAACATACTTCGTCAGTCAGCCTGTTCTGCTCCCCACTCTGTCTCTGGTGAATCCTCTCACCATCCCTGCACCTCTGGCCTATACACAAGTTCTGAATGCATAAATAAATAAATCTTAAAAAAAAAAGTATTGTTTGAAAAAAATTCCAAATATAGGTAAGTTATAAAAGTATTGCAGTAAATATCTATAAACTTTCCACATGGAATCTTCTATTATGAAATGCTATCTGTTCTCTTTCTCTGTCCTATCTCTCTCTCTCAACAAAATTAGAACCATGATCAAATCTTTGGGGGCTGACAAGGCACAGCTGGAATTCAGTATTCTGTGATCTAGAATAGTAACATTTTGGACTCACTATCAAATAAGTACCTGGGATTATATTGCTATTTCCACCTTTAAAATGGGCTTGCCTTGACTAAAAACTATTGTGAGAGAGAGTCCTTTAGTCCTTAGGAAGGAGAACTCAAGTTCATAGATACAGGACCTCCCTGGTAGCACTAGACAATGGCATGATATAATAATGACCCACTTAAATGATACCTCCTTTTGCTGAGTGCTTGACACACATTGCTGGCCTGCAAAGAAGGGTTATTATCCTCAACCTACAATTGAGGAAAAGGAGGCTCAGAGACCACAATTTGGTGCTTGAGAGCTAGGAGGTAAACCCAAACAGTCTGGCTCAAGACCAACAGAAACTGAATCACATAATTGGAATGCCCTTTGCCTGGAGGAGTCAGATGGACAACAAAGTTTTAGGACTGTGCTCTTTGGGAGTGGTTTGTTTTTCTTCCAGGGAATAATTGTCACTCTGGGCTTTGCCTTAATCAAACAGCTAGCCATGGACAGAGCAGTGATGGGGTAGGGGAGCAGTCGGGGTCTCAGACACCTTGCACATGTGGAAGGTGGCTGCTGGGGGAGCAGTTGCAGATGAGACATCGAGAAGGTGGGGGTCAGCACTTGAGTGAAGCACAAAGGTCCTGAATTAGAAAATGAGGGAAAATTCAAGGAGATGGCAGGGAGTTAGAGATACAGCAAAATGAAGCAAAGTAAGATCCTGATAGAAAATATGCAAATGAATACCTGGAGGGAAAGGGACACACAGCTCTGAAGCAGAGTCGAGCAGTGTTTAGCATAGGTCTCAGGGTACAGTGAGCCCTGAGCAAGCGTCCTTGAGCTGGGGTGGTGGTGGCCCTGAGGCAGTTGACCTGAGTACCATGCATCTGGCAGAGGTCAGCTGGGGGCATGGATTCACATAAAGAAGAGTCTCTCTGCTATGGGAATGGTCAAAGCAGAAAAGTGAGAAAGTGATGTTAAAACAAACCTCACAGTGAGGTCTAGAAATCTAAGGCTGTGTTTCTAGGAAGTGGTCACGTGGAGTGCAGAGAAACTGTCAAATCTGCGAAGTGGAAGTAGATGTCTGCCTGGAAAGGCTGCTGAATTTGTGGCTCTGGCAGCAAGCCTAGCCCAGGGCAAAAGTGCAGTGGCCAGGCTGTGGGATCCAGCATTCCTTTCCAGCATCCTGCCCTCTCCTCCCGCCCCCCCCACCACCCTGGTGCAATCTCATTCTGCTGTCCTAGAATCTGTGCTATGCTCTCAGAACTCACTCTCAAAAAGTTTGGATATGAAATCTGACCACAAGACACTACCTCACGTTATAGTATTCTACTAAAAAATGTATACCTGAAATCAAATCCTGAGGCTACATACAAACCCTAAATAAGGGACATGCTAAATACGAGCATGCATTCTTTAAAACAAACAAAAGTAAAAAACAATGCCTGCCATGTGAGACAATGCAAAATTGAGGCATTATCTCAGATTACAGGAGACTAAATAGACATTCAGTGCAATGAGTCACCTGGATTGGAAAAATGAAAAGTACTATAGCAACACTGGGACAATTGGCAATATTTGAATATAAATGATGTACTGGATAATAATGTTGTATCAATAGTAAATATTCCAAATTTGATGATGATGTTGTGCTTCTTAAGAGATAAAGGGGTAAAAGGTCATGATATCTGCAATTTACTCTCAACAAAGAGAATAAGATTGTGTGCGTATATGTACTTCCTGGTTAGAAAAACAGAATAGACTGAAAGCAAGTTAATGTTGCTTAGTGGATTGCAGAGTATGTGGTGCTTTGGAGTCAACCTATGTGATGGTCATTTTTATTAGATGGGAGTGTAATTACAAAAGCCAGTGGGAGGAGTCCAGGACACTCTCTAAAATATCATTGGCTTTTGGCCCTCCCTGGTGGTGCAGCAGGTTAAAGCACTGCACTGAGAAGCTAAAGCCACTTCCGCATGAGTTCGATTCCCGCCTGCCCCAGAGGTGACCACATGGCGTGGCAGACCTCTCCTGACCTACCTGCTGCTCCCCTCAGCAGTGTACTTCGTCGATCCGCCTGTTCTGCTCCCCACTCTGTCTCTGGTGAATCCTCTCACCCTCCGCATCTCTGGCCTGTACCCCAGTTCTGTATGAATAAATAAATAAATCTTTAAATATATATATATATATATATCTTTGACTTTATAAATTCTCCTCTTTGCTACAATTCTCATCATTGGCTGCTTTCTCCCAGGAATTGAGGGCAGAGTGTTCACTGCAGTTTCTGCCCTACTGGAGATTAGTGTTATGGTGACGGCCGGCTTCCCAACGTTCCTTGTTGGTGGTAGCCCTGGTGCTCAGCTTTCCCTGGGTTAAAAGTGAGCTATTTCATTTCCCTGCCTTACTATTCACTAGGCGTTCCCTCCAGCTACTGGCTCAGTGGAGCTCCTCCTTGATGCTCAGCTTTCTGAATCACATTACTGTAATAACAGCGCTTAGCAAAGCACACATGAGGATAATGCGAATGTCATGTGTACTTATATATTCAGGCGAAGGAGGGAATAAGCAGCATCAAACCTTTTGCTGTTGGGTCAGAATAGAGTAAGACAAAGGCCCCCTTTCTCCAAGGGCATGTGACATCAGTTATGCCAAAGTAGGTCAGAAAAGAAAGTCTCATAGCTAATTCAAACCTTACCAACTAAAGGGCAACAGCTACAAATCATCTCTCTGGGTCTTCCATGTTCACAGGCAACAAGGAGGAGGCATTATGTGTTAGGCAGCTAAATCTAAGTTTTAAGTGTGCATTTCAGTTTCATTGTGCAGATTTGTGACAGTGTCTGGTACACATTAGGTCTACAAAATGAAGAATGACTTACAAGAAAATATAATTAGAGTATTTTCATCAGTGACATTCTTAATATTGTCAAACTGGGAGAAAACTGGCAATTTCCTGTAAATATGCATGCTCACTGCAGTTATAAAAAAGTGCCCCACTAAGCAGAAGTTGGAGTAAGTAAAGGGAAATGCAGTTGAAGTGGTGATATTCTAAAATATCACACTCCAGAATGAAGGAGGATGTATGCAAACTTCTGTTTCTAACAAGCAGATCTGCTTGCTACTCAAGGTGAGTAAAGTATCCAAAAATCAAGATCATAAGACAAAGTAAATTTTAAAATGTCACCATTCTTGCTCCTCTATCTGGTTCCTTCATTTCCCTTAAAGATAATCAGTTTTGGTTTTAGCCCCATTTTCTGGTTTGTTTACAAGTATTAGAAAATATAAATATTTCTAATAAAAATTTATCATATTCTATGCTATATATATGCTAGTGTGTGTATAAATATATGTATTTTATATAATATATAATATACATATATATTATGTATACACTCTGAACCTTGTTTTTGACCTTACGATGTGCCTAGTTATCACTCCACATCAGTGTAAGGAGAGATTATTCATTTCATTTTCAGACACAGAAGTTCTTATTCCTAGAATGTATGTTTTGTCAGCTAGTCATATATTGAGGAATAATCTACTAATTGACAATCTTTTGCTATTACAAAAAAAAAAAAAAGTACTGTAAGTCATTTTGGGGTTTTGCAAGTATGTATTGGTAAAGAGTCCCAGAAGTAAGATTACTGTTGAAAGAATAAAACATATGATTTTCTTGATAGTCAACCAAATCACAAAGTCTGACATTAATTTACATTGTTTTTCTCATCAGCAAGAAGCCAATGTGACATACAACTGTGAAAATCTAGGTCTCAGAGAAATTCCTGACAATATACCAAACACAACAGAATTTTTGGAATTTGGCTTTAATTTCTTGCCTGCAATTCAAAATTCAACTTTCATCAGACTCATAAATCTTGTCTTTTTGGATTTAACCAGGTATGTGTCTGAGTTCCTTGTGTGCTTCATGTTTTACTTAAGTAAACAAATGACTGGGTTGGAATTGTTTCCATGAACTTCTTTTGGGACACAGGAACAATCTGCTTAACCTACATGTTTGGCCTTTCCCCTGAAATATCTGTACACTGATGAAATGTAACTTAATTAAACACCAATCAATGGAGAGGAAAATGGGTTGTTACCCCAATCAATGGAGAGGAAAGTGGAACAGTCTCAAAACGGACTGTGTCAGCAAAGCTGTTCTAGAAATTCTAAGGAATATTGATAACAAAACCGAAAACTAGCCTAGCACTATATCAGATGTCATCTTTTATTACATTTTAGCATAGCTTTCATTGGTTGATGACATTTTAAGAGATTTTACAGAAGAAAAACTCACACAACCTATTAACTTTTTCCCCTACAAACTGGAAAAATGGTTCCATTGTTTGATTTTGGAGAAGGAATCAGGAATCTAAAATCTGAACCAGTGTGCTTGAAACAATGGGCAAAACTATAACAAGAAAATAAAGGAAGAAAGCAAAAGGGAATCGCAGTATATGTGTGTGTGTGAGAGAGAGAGAGAGAGAGTATGTGTGTGTGTTGTGTATGTGTATGTCAGAGGGGACAGTGCTGTGGGTGATGTCTGTACCCCTTACAGCTGCCTTATCTCCTCCCAGGTTAGGCATCTGAAAAATGAGAGTACAGTCACCCCCACAGTTCTTTACAACCACCCTGGGAAGTAGGCATGGCAAATACCCCATCCAACCCACATCTGATGGGAAGCGGAGAGGCATGGAGATTTTGTTTGCTTACAGATACAGTGAAAGGAAACCCTGGCTGCCAATCCAGTGTCCCCCCACTGACCTTTGGCATGCTCCAGACAAGAGAACATATGCTATACTTAGAAACCTTATCTGAGAGAAAGCCTTGCCTTTTCAAAGAGAGACAGAAGTCATTCTGCTACCTAGCTATCATGTCCCAAAGAAATTCACTTTCCTTCTGCTTTCCTGTGTCATTTGCTGGTGAATGAGTCTGGCCACATTCATTTTTGAACAGTGCATAGGCCAGGCTAGCTCTTTAGTTGGAGGGCTCTGGTTCTTCCACTGCTATTTCCACAAAGCGATAAATATATGACCTCATACATTTTAAAATCCTTTCCTTCTCCACTCCTTATATGTTATTTGGTCATAAATTAGACATTGCTTTCATTCCTTTATGCGGTATTTTTTTTTTAAACTTCACCAACAGGGTTTCTGCTCTTTGTTCATTTTTCCATATTGTTTTTCATCTTCCTCTCTGAATAACTTTTCTTTTTTCCAAAGTAGCCCTTAGACATTTTTTTTGATGAGTGAGGATCTGTGAAGAGTAAACTCCTTCAGTTTTTGTTTTCTAAGAGTCTTCATTTCAGGCTCATTCTTGAAATATAGTACTTTTGGACATAAGATTCACATTTCCAGGCTTGTTAAACCCCAGGCTATGGACTCAAGCTCCCTTTTTACAATGCATTTCTAAGAAATTATGTCATTGATCTCTAGGAATAGGGTATGTGTGTGTTTGGAGAAGGGGTTTTGTTCAATATTTTTGGGTGCAATACGAGAATGTCTTTCTCTGAACTTCTAGAGTTCCATATTGCAATGCAGTTTTTTTTCCTATATTTCATTGGATTCACAACCATTCTACACTTTACAAAAGAAAAACCAAGTTACATGTAGGCGATTATAGATGAGAGATTTTAAATGAAACATCTTTTAGCCAGAGATTGATATTCAGCTGTGACTTGCCCAGAGTGATACAGATTAATATGTTAATTATCATGTTTTTGATTATATATGACATACTCTATATTACTTAAAATATTATAGTTTGATTTTGCATAGTTTCCAAACACAAACCTTTTATAATTTGACAAAAAGGGGCAAAGATATCTGGGGGAAAATAATTAAATCCCAGCCTAGTCATTTGGTATAGCAGCCCATCTGTGTGTCCTGAAGAAAGTATGTTTATCTCTGAAGGACAACATCCACTGTTTTCACTACACTCAAAAGATGACACTACTAATATCAGTTGTGACAGTTTTGTTTTCTAATTATTGCTAAGTACTACTATCTTTTTAAGGTGCCAGATTAACTGGATACATGAAGACACTTTTCAAAGACATCATCAACTAAGCACTCTCGTGTTGACTGGAAATCCCCTCATCTTCATGGCAGAAACATCAATTACTGGGCCCATATCTCTGAAGCATCTTTTCTTAACCCAAACAGGAATATCCAATCTTGACTTTATTCCAGTGCACAATCTGGAAAACTTAGAAAGTTTGCATCTTGGAGGCAACCATCTTTCCTCCATTAAGTTCCCTAAAAATTTCCCAACACAGAATCTGAAAGTACTGGATTTTCAGAATAATGCTATCCATTACCTTTCCAGTGAGGATATGGGAACTCTAAAACAGGCCACCAACCTGAGCCTTAACTTCAATGGCAATGACATTAAAGGCATTGAGCATGGGGCTTTCCATTCAAAAGTTTTCCAAAGTCTGAAGTTTGGAGGGTCTCTTAACTTGTCTGTTATATTAACTGGTTTGCAGAACTCTACTACCCAATCTCTCTGGTTAGGGACATTTGAGGACATTATTCATGAAGACATTTCTTCAGCCATGTTTGAAGGACTTTGTAACATGTCTGTTGAGAGTATCAACCTGCAGAAGCACCGTTTCTCTGACTTCTCACCTGCCACATTCCAGTGTTTCACGCAGCTTCAGGAATTGGATCTGACTCAAACTCACTTGAGCATGTTACCCTCTGAGATTAAGGGTATGAACTCTCTCAAGAAATTAGTTCTCAATGTAAATAATTTTGACCAGTTGTGTCAAATCAGTGCTGCTAGTTTCCCTTCCCTTACTGATCTTTATATCAAAGGCAACTCGAAGAAACTTGAACTTGGTGTTGGTTGTATAGAGAAACTAGAAGATCTGCAGAAACTTGACTTAAGTCACAGTAACGTAGAGGCTTCCGACTGCTGCCATCTGCAGCTCAAAAACCTGTTCCACCTGCAATACCTAAACCTGAGCTACAATGATGCCTTGGGTCTCCCTAGTAAGGCGTTCAAAGAGTGTCCTCACCTAGAAGTCCTAGATTTGGCATTTACACACTTGCATGTTAATGTTCCCCAAAGTCCTTTCCAAAATCTTGACCTTCTGCAGGTTCTGAATCTCTCTCACTGCCTCCTTGATACTAGTAATCAGCACCTGCTAACAGGCCTGCGGGATCTCCGCTATCTTGACTTCCAGGGCAATAAATTTCCAGATGGGAGCATCCCAAACACCAATCCATTTCAGACAGTGGGCACTTTGGAAGTTCTCATTTTGTCCTACTGTGATCTCTTCTCCATAGACCAGCAAGCATTCCAGAGCCTTCAAAAAATAAGTCATTTAGACTTAAGCCACAACAGTTTGACAGGCATGAGCATCGAGGCACTCAGCCACCTAAAGGGGATCTACCTCAACTTGGGTGCCAACAGCTTGGACACCATCCCTCCCCATGTCCTCCCCATCTTGTCACAGCAAAGCACCATCAATTTAAGTTACAATCCCTTGGACTGCACTTGCTCAAATATTCATTTCATAACATGGTACAAAGAAAACCTGCAAAAACTGGAGGGCTCTGAGAAGACTGTGTGTGCAAACCCCCCATCTTTAAAGGGAGTTAAGCTGTCTGATGTAGAATTGTCCTGTGTCATTACAAAAATGGGCATTTTCTTTCTTGTGATGTTTTTATTCTTATTCATGCTTTTTCTCGTTTGTTTAATTAAAATCATTCTCAGGAGGAAATACCAGCACATTTAGAGCTCCAGGTGTCTAGAGATGGCAAATAAATGTTTTAGCAAAATTGCCTGAGAAAGTGTTATCTGTAGTGACCAGATATTTTCACATTGGTTGTTGGAGTTGGGTGGGATTCACTGTTTGAGTCCAGTGAATCTCCCTGGCAGGTAAACTGATGAGGGCCAGAAGTACCAGCCAGTGCATTGAGCAACACAGAGACTTTTCCTAACTTGGTAGTTGAGGGAGAAACCAGGCCAGGAAAGGCCAGGAGAATTATCCACAAGGGAGAGTCCCTTCCACTCATAGACATACTGGAGGTCTTTCACTCTGTCCCTAAAAGGGGAACATGAAGTCCCTTACTGGGGCAGTGCCAGTGTGCTTCAGCCTCTACTGACTCACTCACATTTCAGACATCTTGCTTGAGGCTAAGCTCTTATATGTAGCCACAAAGGAAACTTATAGGGGACAAAGTTTCTATGCTTACTTTAAATGATAGCATAATGAATTTAAAAGAAGAGCCGTGGCAATTAATCTTGCCATGAAATCAACTTTGGTAATCTCTTTTATGCTTAGAGCTCTTTAAAACCCCTTGGGTGTAAATAACTAAAAATAAATAAATGCATACATAACTAAATGACCAATCAACTCACCTCCCCCCTGACCCTCCCCCCACCCTCTAGGTTAAGGACTTTTTTTTCCTGTGTGGGCACCGTTGATCCTTGACCCTCTCTGGCTGGTTCTCTCACTCTTATATTTCGGATCCTCACTTACAGTTGAGCTGTGGTCAAATGCCCTTCTCATTTGGGTGTCTGGTCCTTTGAAGCTTCTTTCCCATAGAAACCATGAGATAATGGTCAATTGGTTCCCAGGCCAGCTCTCAAAAGCCTATTCACCTGGGCAGAAATTGAGATGGCACATTTGCAATGAAAATGAGTACAATGAATCATCTCTGTATGCTTGTTCTCACTATGCTTAGTGAGCGGTAGTTTCTGTGGGCACTAGGTGCATAAGGCAAATAAATACATTGTAAAAACTTAAAACTAATTCCCCAAAGATACATGGTAAATGAAAAAGAAATCCAGACACAACAGGATCCACGAACTTGCTGTACTGAACCATATGGGAGCCTGAGGCAAAAGGAAAAAATCAGTGATAACCTTCTGCCTTTAACTGTTTGATATTCTGATCATCAAAATTTTGTGTTACTTTCAGTTTTGAAAATATTTATCTTCATTACTGAGTTTTTTGGTGCCACTTAAATGGGCCCCTAGCTGGGCTCCTTACCTAGTCACCCTGTTGCCACCCTTAAGACTGGTAAGAAGAGAGCTAACTCCCACATTTATTGAGGGTCTCTTAGCAGGCACATTATCTCAGTTTTACTCAAAAATGAAAAAAAAAATACAGAAAAGAAAGAGCTCATCTCCTTCCCCTGTACTTTCTGGAAGCAGAAAGGAGTGTTCAAGATCTTAATCACTATTGAGCCCCCATCAGCGAACCACCAGCTCAAAGGCATCCTCCCTCAAAGCCCAGAGGGATGGCCCGGACCCTTCTGTACCAGCCTGGGCTTGCCTAGACAGGGGCATGCAGAGAACTACTCTATTAAGGAAATGAAACCATACACAACTGACAGTTTTCATTAGCATGAATGCCAGCTGTCCACCTGAGCATGGAGCTTTGAGCTATCGGACACTGGGACACACGCCTCAGCTATGTTGAGTCCTGCCTCCGGGGGCTGAGAAGGGTGGTGCAACAGTCCCAAAAGGCCAAGCCTGGCCACCACAGGGTTGGTAAGGCCGTGAGTCTGGCAGTGACCAAGGCCTCTTGTCATTCATTTCTGGGCCAGGTGGGACCTAGAGCAGGAGTAGGAATGGCTGTCTTGGGCATGCTCTCTGTGGACAAAGCAGAAGCCTTTCCATGCAACTTCCCTGGAAACCACTCCCCTTTTTTTAGGGACCTGGAGCTCATTTTAGTTTAGAAGGGTCGGGCACTCAACCCTCCAAAGCTAGAAAAAGCCCTGTACAGGGATCATTCACCCTTGAGAAGTGTGCCCACCCCCTGGCTGAAATGCAACAGGACGGATGGTCATTTCTCTTCGCTGACTTTCTTCATTTGTTCATAGCAAATTAGATGACCACTCTGGAAACTGAGAAATAATCTTAGTGGTGACTGTGAAGATATAGATCTATACTCACTGATCCCTCCTTCCCTCTGCCTTTTTCCTTCCTTGCTGCTTCTTCCCTTCCTTTTCTCCTCCCTTTCTTCTCCCACTCTGTGCCTTCTTCCTTCATTACTTATTTCTCTTCCTTCTTGTTTTTAAATAACACACCGTGCACCCCCTGTCAGGCACTGAACCCATGGAAGGACATGCAGGCCCCAGGCCTGCGATGAGATGGGGTATTCCTGCCTCCAGGATTCAGAAGTGCTGTTCTGAAGTAGCCAGGCTATCACAGGAGGCTCAGGAGAGCTCAGAAACTGTGGCTCCCATACCAGCCCAGCTCCTCTGTCTCACCACCTTCCCCATCTGTCCTTATCTTTCTGTTCTTAGCCTCAGGGTCAATTCTCCTCACTGGAGTCAGAGTAATTTCTACTCCCCACCCCCACCCCAACCCCCACCTTATGCCCAAATACAAAGTCATGCCTAAAACCCTTCAGTGATTTCTTATCACAGGGAAAAGTCAAGCTAGTCTTCCTGCCTATAGAGGTTCCTGTCAAGCTTCCAGTCTGGGCCAAGAGGGTCTCTCTCTCTCTCAACATTCTGCATACCCATGCCCTTTCAATCAGGAAGTGTTAGTCTTTTGGATTGAGGGATTTATTTTTGGTACCTCATAATAGAGTAGAAGCTTGGGGGCCAATCCCCATTCCCTCTGTACCCCAGGAAAGGCCATATTGTTGAGAAACAACATCAAATGGTTGTTTCTCACCTATGTCAGCACTATGTCTTCTCTGCAGGAGCTTTTCCCTGACCCACCCAGTCTATGGGAACAAGGATGGCACACACAATTTGCTCTCCCTGTATTGTTTTATGGTCAGTTTAGAATTATCTTTTATACTTGTTTAGTTTAGAATTATCTTTTATACTTGTTTTAAGTTATTATCTCCTCCATGAGAGAGAATTCTTTTCCAGTGGTATTCCAGAACATGCTTTGGTCACATAGCGAATTGATTTATCCCTAACCAAGACTTAACCCACTGTGTTCTGGGTTTCCCCTTGTTTATCACCAGAGCCACCCAGGAGATCTTTAATAAATGGATTCCTGGGCTCCTCTTCCAAGATACTCTCATTCTGTTAGATCAGGGTCAATCCTGGATTTGCAGTCAAATGATTCCATGGACAGCTCTTCCCTATTTTTAGTATTTTTTTCTTCTTCAAATTTTCATTAAAATTTCATTACATATTATTTAGAAATCTACACCCTATGAATCCAATACAGTGCCAACTCATACAGTTCCCTGTGTATTCTGGCAAGTTCAAGCTCTACTCTGCTTTAAGTGTTCAAGCTGAAAATCAGACATACTAATTGCTGACTTACCACCCCATACCCATACCACCTTCCATTACATTTAATGTGTAATTGCAAAGCCAAAGTATTCTATAGAATATCTCATCGTCTAAAAACAGCAAGGCCCCAAGCCCTAGCCTTCATTTCTCAGGCCTGCGCATCTTCTATGCAATGCAAACTCTTACCCCATAACGGCACACTGATCTAAGGCTTTTGTGACAGCTCCTCTGTTTCAAGCAATAGTAAATTCACCCTACAAAGTCAGAAAGGGAGCTTTTTGATGGCTGCTGTCAATTTTATTGCTTTATCTTGGATACTAGGATAGAATCTGTAGACATGGTGTGTTTATTGGTTTTATGTATCTCATGTTGTTGCTGCTCTGACAAGCTATTCCTATAAAAACATGTTATTATTGCATGCTGTAGCTCAGTAAGCTGACCCTGCATTTCAAACTGAACTGGAGCAAATAGCATTGAAGTCCATAAAAGCCGACTGGCCTCCATTACAGAGGACTGTCTGCATAAGTTGCGACTCCCACCACCTGGGCTCAAATTATACCTTTCCCTGGTGCTGGCAGACATCACTGTTAACCGAACACAGCACGGACTCAAATGCAGGGATATCTGGAAAACTGTAAGACAGAAAATTGTTACATCATTCCTAATTATCCAATTCCCCAACAAGTGTCTTTAGCAAATTTTGAAGTTTATAAAAGTATGAAATAAATGGATTTTTAAATGTTTTCACATATCAGTCTAGGGTGCAAGAGAATTAGCTGATGTTATTTCCCATCTACCTTAAGCATGAGAGAGAAAATAAACATGAATTACAGCTAGAGAGGATGTGGTTCTTTCCAAGGAAATCACAAGTGGGCATCCTGAGCGCTGTCTAGAATCAATTGCCTGATATGTAAGACTTAGAAAGTCTAACTTTGGGGGAGCTGGCTTGGAGGATGCAAAGTAATGGGTCATCCAATATGATGTCCAGAGCCCACAGGATACTGGTTTTTCAAGAGAATCATCTGGAGGAGTCTACAAAGCAAATTCCTGAGTGTCACCCATAGTTGGATTGGATTTAATACTAGAATCTCAATCAAGTAATTTCATGTGAAGTCCTGCCTTAATCTTTTTTTTTTTAATCAAACAATAGCAGAAACATGAGTCAAGTGAATTGAAAAACCACTCCATCTCCTGAAAGAATTTCCAAGAAAAATGGCATAAAAATGGCTAAGGAGTCCTCAAATCTAAGGGTAAGAAACCTGGGTAGGCCACTTGTTAGTGTCTTTTGCCATCACTTCAGGTGGCAATGCTGCTCCCCAAGTACTATCCTGTGCTATTCCCTCAGCCGCGCTCACTCCATTTTAGCTATCCACCATTGAAGATAATTTATTGAATAGTGTGGGTGTTAAAAAAAGGAATCAACAGATGATTTCTAAAAGCTATTATTGCTTGTGAAAGATTAATCAGTGTACTTCATTAAACAACTTCCTCTTGTCTTGCCCCATTGAAGACAATCTCCCGTAAGCATTTTACCTGTTCAAGATGTGGTAGAAGGTCCTGTAAAGGTAAGCAGAGGACAGGTGGCCACCAGGGCATCTCCTTCTTTCTGTTGGCTTATGGGTTGTCTAAATAGCTGGGCTCTCCCTCTTTCTCTTTATGCTGTTCTAGGAAACAACCTAAATATCCAAAATAGGCAGATGATTAAACCAGCAGATGACCTGAGTAAGTGGGGAGACAGTCCATGTCCTTAGGTGGGATTGACTCTACTTACAATTAGTGAGTACAAGTTAAAGTAAGATCACTTATTAATCTGTCAAAAAGAGAAGCAGGATAATGGCTTAGGTGGGATGTAGAGTGTAGGAACTCTGGGCATTACTTATGGGACTGTGGGCAGGTGTAATGGACCTCTGGTAATAACCACTGATCCACAAATTCTCTCTCATATGTGTCCCAAGAAACCCCACAATATTTACCTATAGCATTACTTATGGAGGGGGCATGTTTGAAGAAATTTGAGTGGTCATTGCTAGGAAAATGAATGAAATATGGAAGGTAGTCAGCAGGCTGTTTTAAACAATATTAGAAGTAGTAGCTTAAATACAGCTACAGGAATGTAGTTAAATCTAAAATATACAAACTTTCAGGGTTGCTCTTTCCTTTTCCTTGAGGACTGGGGGTCTGAGATGCTCCATGTATGTGTACTTGAACTGGGCAAGTAAATGGAGGATCATGGGCTCTTGTAGCCATAGGGGCTTTGCATCAACAGATGTGGGTTGGGTGTGCACAGGAAGTGCCTCCAGTCTCCAAAGTGGACAGGACTCCAGTCAGGAAAGTTACTTTAGCAAGTACAGCTTAACACATGGTATTAGTCCTTTGTCAAAAACTTCAGACACAGGATTTTCACTTAGGCACGTCAGAACTGGACGATATGGTGATGCCAGCCTGACAGATGGAGTCTTGGTCTCTGCAACACCCTTGCTTCAGGTCTTAAAAACATCTTCATTCTTCACCTCCTGACTGCTGACAGCCATTTCCTGGTTGTGCTTGATGAAACAGCAAATGAATAATGGTTAGAGGCTTTCAGCTTTACAATATTAATAGAGGTTTTTTTGTTTTTTGTTTTTGTAAAGCTGTGGACAATAACTAGTAACCACAGACATCAGATTTCTCTTTTCTCACACCTGAATGACTTGGCTGGCATGTCACAGAGTGTACAGAGAACTTCAGTCTTGGGAGCAGATTGTTATTTTGAAGTGTTTGCCTGCATCCAGTTTTGGGACTGACATACACACCAACAGCCTGTGATTTTGAAAGATGTGGCAATTTTTTCTTTGAGAGTGCATGATCCCCCAAACCAGTGAGAAGCTGTTGCATGTTTTTTTCTTTTTAATGAGGGTTGATGCCAATTATTTCTGTTTTGGGGTCTGAGCCATCTGACCTTCTACCCAGATCTTGAGTCTGGGCTAGAATGGTTGATTTTTTAATTGGGAAAGGTAATGAAACACGTTCAACTAAGCTGTGGTAATTTGTATCTTACAGTGGCAAAGAAAATCAAGCCAGGATTTGGTCTTCTTTCATCCTGTAACCTAGAGTGTCATAGCAGGAGAGGCGGGAGGCAATTCTAGTCTCATGGTTGAGGGTCAAGGTGTCTCTCCGTTCAGATTGCTTGTGCTCAAGCCTCAGTACTGCAGAGTACTGAGCTAATCAGCAGAGTAAGTCACTTAACCCATTTCTGAGTTTTGGTTTCATAATTTGTAGGATGAGGCAAGCCATGGTTCAAGGGGTATGGTGATCTCATGGGCAAATGTACATCAAGCATACACTGTAGTGCTTAGGTCCTGGTAACATGCCACAGATGTGACTACTGCTAACATCCTTGCTTGTTCAATTCAGTTCAGCATATATATATATATACACATACATACACACACACACACACACACACATATGTATCTCCAATGTACTTGTTTCTAGAAGTAAAAACACACAAAAGACACCAAGGGAATTTGCATCTAATAAAGAAAATACACACATGGAAATGTTATAGGACAGGGAGAAAGGGCAGAAACAGATGACTTTAAAATAATACATTGAGTTCCACAGGGCTCACGGGCCACTCTAAGTCGTGGCAAAAGGTCCCCTCCACATGCAGCAAGGATAGCCAGAGAGGGCTGGGCCAGCAAGGAAGAGCTGAAGTATGTGGGAGCTATTTCAAGATTGAAAGCAATAGTAACAGGGATTGATTTGCATTTGAGAAACATCTCTCTGGGGTTATTGTGAAGAACAGAGCAGAAAGGGTAAGAATGGAGAAAGGGAAACTAATTATAAGGCTGTTGAAGTCATCTGGGAAAGAGACTTTGAGAGTAAATGAACTGGCTGGTACTGGAATAGCAAGGAGGGTGGAGGGCACTTCAAAGTATTTTGTGGGATCGATGGAACTTGATTATTCAGATGTGAAGTAAATACAAGAGTTTAGGTAACAGGATAGAAACTGCCTGGAGGAAGGGTGGGAGGTAAGGTGTGCTTTGAGGGTGAGAGGTGCAGAAAGACAGGAGCAGAGGGGTCAAATGCTCAGAGGAGAAGAGAAACCCTCAAGAGATTTTTTTAAAAAGGTAAAAGGAGACTGAAGAGATTGGGAGGCTAGTGTCAGGGAAGGGTGGCAGGTAAGGAGTTTGAGCTTGCTGATGTTTACTCGAGTAATTTAATTTGTATGGTAGACAGAGAGCAGATTTCAGTAGTGAGGGGTTATATGAAAACCTGAAAATTTCCAGTGTATAAGGAAAAAAGCAACATCAAGGAGCAGTCTTTCTGAGAGGAAGAAGACAGGAGGGAAGAAAATGAAACAGGAGAGGACACCTGGTGAGAGACAGCAGGTTTTGGGAAGAGACAGTGATGTAGCAAGGGGGAAGGCTGGTAGAAAACATAGAAGTAGTTAAAGGAAGACGTAATCTTAAAAAATAGGCCATGATTGTCTACATGAAAAAATGAGCAATCCATAACACTTAAGAAACACAGCCACAAAAAGCCATCTTTCCATTTGAGTTATATTCAATAGCATTGTGGAGGGTGTATGAATGTGGGAATAAAACTTACTACTAATGTCTTTTCATGCTAAATTTTTATTTCAATGTTATGCAATTGCATAAGTATAAATATTTGTTCAATATACAACAATTATGACATCCATAGGGAATTTTTTAGAGAAAATAAGACTGCAAACACTTTATTGCACAGATCCTAACAAACGTTTAAGCTGGTAAATCTACAGCTGGGAGTACTACCGAGGAGCACGTCTTACAATCACAGGAGACCCACCAAATAGAACACAAGAGACTTTCTACCAGCTGATTGGCGAGGTTTACAACAACAAACAGGTATTACATGAATGCAACCGTAAGCACTCTTTACTCATCCAGAATGCAAAAACATATTTGGCAAAAATGGTAATACACTATACAAAATATACATAAAAATAGCATTTGTAAACAAGCAGCTAGTTGTGCTTTAAAGGAAACTGGACAGTTAAAAAGCAAAGGCTGTAAACTGTGAACTACCTCCCCGTAGACCAGTCTGAGTGAAGCCAGACTGGGCTATGACAACTGCCAGACACAGATATTAATTATAAATGTTGAGACCATTTTTGAAATTCATTTGTTTTTGGAAAGTATTTGTTTCTCCTAATGCTCTCACAATATAGTGACAGGGTATGGCTGAAACTACAGGGGGCAAAAAAATTAAGGGCAAGGAGAAGACTCTTTTTTGTCATTGCCAACTCACTTTACAATGAAGGACAACCAAGCAGTTAAGTTACGCCTTTGTTTTTGAAGCGGAGTTTACAGCTTCACTAAATGATTTACAATCCACAGGGCTGTAAGATGATGCTGTGCTTGGATGAATAATTTTATAGCTTGAAGATATTTAACCATCCCTGAGGGGGTTGGGTGCTGGATTAGTGTTTACTGGTAGATATATTTTTTCTCTTTCAAAACAGAACAAAAACTTCTACTATGGATCCCAAGCATCTTATAAATACTTATCTGTGTGCATTTTCTCTTAGTGCCTTAGTACTTATGTCAGCAAGTGCCATCTTACAGTACACCAGGAAAACTGGAACAAAAAAACAAACAAACAGAAACCCCTCAGCACTAAAATGATTTGACAATTTCTACATATTCATGGTATACAAAATTTAAATAAGGCTTAGCAAAAGTAAAAAGGACAGTCACATTCAAGCACCAAATAGCTCCAACAAGTCATGTTATAAAAATGTTCCTCTTTATTAATACAGTATTTTTGCATATAAATAAAGAGATCAACTATGAAATGTGTGGAGCTACCTGATGCATCAGAAATGAATGTGAAACCCAGGAGCTTGCTAAAAACAGCAAGCTTCATCTACAACATAAGGCCCCAGCTATGTATTAAAATGTATCTGATGTCCTGATTATCCCTTAATATATATGCTATGATGCCAAAATCCACCCCCCTCTTTTCTTCAAAAAAGCAAATTTAAAACCTCTTCCAATGCCTGATGCTCATTACTTAACCTAAGTACTAGCAGATTCGTGTGTGTCCAGCATCTCTCCTTTTATGTCACAAACAGGGCTGGTGCAGGACTACTAGGAAAATGTGTGGTTCCTGGACAGGCCACTCAGCATAGAGGCCTGAGTTTAAGAGCATGAAAAAAAGGAAAAGCAAGAGAACAGAAATAAAGGTGACGTGTGTTCACAGCCCCCGCTCTACCTATGGTGAAGACTGACATACACACCCACAGACAAGGACAACTGGCTTTACAGACAGTTGGACCCAGGATCAGAATGTCCATTAAGATGACCGTGAAATGAAATGGCTAACTCCATCTGTTCTGGCCATTTCTAATGGAGGAGGATTCCAAATGCAGTGACTAGAGGAGTTCTTGCTTTAGATCTGGAAATATAGGTAGCCAGATACAGTGCTATCAAAATTTCTGCTTAAAAATACACATAAAAACTCACAATCTACTGTATTTAGGGCTTGCTTTCTTCTTTAACTCTACGGAGAATGTTTGAACTTGTAAAAATGCAGCCTTGAAATATTCTCTTCAATCACAGACATCAAAACCTGTGTGGATGTGTATATACACAAGTGGGGGTGTGTCTATACTTTTACACACACCCAGTTTTAACCATTTCTCTTCTTTTCTACCTTATGGTTAAGTGGTAAAACAAACAAATCTAATTGAAAAAAAAAAACAAAAACAAAAAACAAAAACAAAAACAAAAAACAAAACCAAAAAACCAAGCTGTAGTAAACAATGCGGTCAGCAGCCAGGTGTGGACTCTACATCCCAAACCAAACACATCGCTAGGTATATACAGAGATCTTTCTCTTCAACAACCCTCAACTCTAAAGGTCATGATTTTGTACAAACACTATCTGGTAACAGTTTTACTGGTTACAACTGGGAAGGCATTTGGAAGAAGGTCCTCTCTCGCTTTCCAAAATCTCTTTCTCTTTCTCCTTCTTCAGTGAGGCTGCCGGCTCTGCCTGGCGGACATTCCCACACAGTGCTGGTTTCAAAGGTAGTCAAGACACAGTAACACATTCAGGTTGGGTGACCCCAGTTGTGGCCCGGGGCCCGCCCCATCACGAGGCCTTTTTGTGAGGACTGCTACGCAAACTCTCTTTCCCCCGCCTCTGCCGTACCACAGAATCCTTCTCAGAAGAAAGGGTAATGGGGCGCTCAGTGCTTGGCGCTGGGGACGGCTTGGGTACTTCTCTGCCCACATTCTGTTTCCGAGTCTGGGGAGGCTGGGCAGGGGCAAGCTCTTTCCCTTTGGTTTCTCCTATGGAGGCTGTGACTGAGAGGGCCCTGTCCCGGTGGCCAGCTCCCCCGGCAACATTTGGGTTGGTGTGGTGTGACTCCAGAGTGGCAGTGGAGCTCCTAAAGGATGGCATAGAGTCGCTTTTAGTCATTTGGGTTTTTCCATCCCCACCGGGCAGGGACTTCCTTTGGTCCCTGTTAATGGAGGCTGTGGGCTCAGTCCCATAAGCCTTGACAGAAGAGGAGTTGTTGCTAGCTGTGGAGGCCTCTCGAACTCCTAGCCGGGCCTCAGGAAAGCTGGAAGAGCAGCTCAGAGACTTCTCTGGGAGAGCAGCTGATCGGAAAGAACTCTGCCCAGTGGCTGAGGGTGAGCGTTTCATGCCACTGGGCTTGCCTGCTTCAGTCAATGGCTTTTGGGGACTGAGGCCTTTTCCCTTTGCCTCTGTGAAGCTCCTGCCCCCTGCTGCTGCAGGCTTCTCTGTGCCTTTTAGCCTGGACTCACTGGGTGTCAGGGAAAGGCTGACCTCCAGCTTTCCGCCATCTGTTGGAACATAAAGTGCTTCTGTGCATTTCTTCCCTTCGGACTTCCGGTCTGTGATGGTGGCCTGCAGGCTGGGGCTCTTGTCTGTCTGTTTGCACAGAGGGGGGCAATCTTTCACAGTGGATGGTTTCAGGTGCTTTGGAGACAGATTCTGCTTTTCATTGACAATCGGAACTTTCTGATCTACCAATTCACTAACCCCTGGGTGTCCTTGCTTTGGCAGATACACAGGCTTCTCCAGGATCTCCAGGGGATGCCCACCACTGGCAGGTTTCAGCTTGGGGTCTAGAGGCCCCTTTTCAGTGTGTAGTGGGACCGAGAGCCCACTTCCTCCCTGGATAATTGGATCTCTGGCTGCTTTCTGGGAACTTGGGGTACTAGGGAAGGAGTCTAGCACACTTTTAGTGCTTCCCTTTCCTTCCTGACTAGGGCCACCAAGAGGCTGAATGCCGGACTCTCTGCCTACCGCAACCCCCGTACCCAGCTTCTGGGAGGAGAGGAGCCTGTCCAGGTGCTTAGACTTTGTAGGGCCAGCATCAGGGCCAGGCCTCAGCTTGACGCTGCTACTTTCACTGTGCGTAGCAGTGGACTTGTGAGGGTCCTGGAGGCCTGGGCTGGGCTCTGTAGCACAGGGCTTACTTCCTGGCTCTTTGCCTGAAGAATGGCTGGGTGAACCACAATGCTGGCGAACAGCAGGGCTGGGTGGTTCTTTGGTGATGATTGGGAGCTGAGAGCTACTGCTGAGATGCTTTTGAAGAGGCTGTTCTTTCCTTTCCAGTTCCTTGGGGACATCTTTCTGTGAAGATAGGAACCCAGGGAGCTTCTCATTCTTCCCACCCTCAGCTGAGGATATCTGCAGAGACCTCTTGGCAGGAAGAGCTTCTGGCTTGGGTTCCAGGCTACTTCTTCCCTTGCCCAGCTCCCTCTCACAAGGAGTCACCTCTGAGAACAAAGAGGAGTCCTCTCTGGCCAGCAACCTCACCTCATCTCGACCATCTTTATGGTTTGTTTTCCCAGAAGGCCCCCATACTTTCTCTAAGGTCTGGACCTGTGTATAGGAATCTGGGCGGGTCCTTCCCAGAGAGGGGAGATTTTTGGCTTTGTCACTGCTTTTAGCACTTTCTGGAGGACAGAGCTCCACAGAATGGTCCCTGAGGACCTCGGCCTTCATAGCAGACTGCTCACTCCTGGCTGCGGAAGGGGTCCTCGTGGATGATTCCTTCAGACCTGACTTCTCCCTCAAGGGAGCAGGTTCAGGTGGGAGCAGGTCCCGAGGCCTGGCTGGATCAGAGCCCTGGAGGTTCTGCCCCACAAAGGGAAGGACCTTAGGATCAAGGCTATTGTCTAGGTGTCTGCAGCCACCACTCTCTCTCCATTGGGCGTCACTTTCCATGACAGTCCCAGGACTCCTGACTGCGTGAGAAGCCTTCCTGTCTCGCAGGTCAGGCAGGACTGCTACTGGTGAATTCTGTAGACCCCGGCTAGGGGGTGGGAACCGAGGCTCAAGCAGGTAGGATTTATTCACCTTGAAGCTGGCAGATGAAGACTCCCTCTGACCCACAGTTTCACCCTTTTTCCCCCCACTGCTGGGGAGGGCTACTGAAGGTGCCACGTCACTGCCTGGGCTGGGGCTCTGGGTGGGCTCTGGTGAAGGCAGCTCTGCTTTGGAGGCCTGAGGTCCAGAAAGGAGAGCGATGTCCAAAGTGCCCTCAATTGGCTTCAGGCATGACACAGACCTACCTTCCAGCTTATACTCAGAAGGGCTTTTCCGGACAGGTGACTCAGGAACAACCAAGCTTGGCTTCTCTGCTCCACTATCCACCCGGCCAGTCAAGGCCTTCAGAGGAACAAAAGAGACAGTGCTAATCTGGGCACTGTTGATGAACGCTCGATTCTCAGAAGCAGGCAGAGCCTCCTGCAGCCCCCCTAGGGGCCGGGATGGGTTCCCAGGCAGGCATTCATGGGCACCAGCAGTCATCTTGGGCTTCAGCCCTGGACAGAAACTGTCGTCTTTGTCTTCAAGTGACATCTTCTTTCGGAGGTAATCAATGTTGGCCATCTTGCTGTCTAATTTCTCACAGCGGAGACACTCCTTGGACTGGGGTGTCTTCTCTGTGCTTTCACCCTTTCCGAAAGTGGCCCTGTCGGAGGGGCAGAGACCATCTTGGAGGGTGCTGGGTGCAGAGGCCCGTTTGAAGTCACAGGTGCCCTGGCCATGCTCCCCGGGGGCCGTCCCCTCTAGGGACCCCCCCTCACTGGCCCGTGCGCTGGCCTGCTTGTGAAGAGCATCTTTCAGTAAGCTGCCCAGGGACTGGGCCTCTTGCATGGATGCTTTGTTTTCAAAATGGTTTGACCTTTCTAGAGACTTCGGATATATTTTCTTCTCTCTCTCCTCTAGCCTAAAGGGAGGGAGGTTTTCCAAATCACTACCAAGTCCGTGGGATTTCTGGTGGGTTTCCTGTTTTTCTGGGAAGCCCTCTGGTTTCTTCACCACCACTTTGGACTTCAGCTTCTCTCGGTCCAGGTCGTCCACGGACTCCTGCCTCCCCAGCTTGCGGGAGACCGGTCGCTTCAGGCAGCCCTGCTCCACTGGCCTGGCCCGGCTCAGGGAAGACGCATCACACATGTTCTCCTCCAGGCTCTGCAAGGTCATCTCCCGCTGGGGCTGCTCCCGTTGCACCTCTTCCTGCGTCACCTCCAGGCTGTGCTTGCGGGAACACAGGTGCTTCTTGTCACTGCCATAGGAAGGAGAAAGCTTTTCCTCTGACTGCACACGCTTGAGCAGCGGGGACCGTGGAGGCTCAGCACTCTTGGGCCTCACGATGTGTCTGACGATGGTGGGAGGGGAGTGCATTTTGTTGGGAAAGGCTTGTGCAATCTTGGAATTTCCAAGTGAATGTCCCAGGAGAGGTGATGGCGACCGCTGTGGGGAGGTGGGCTGTGGAGTCGGAGAGGGTGTCCGGGCCAAGGGCGAGAGTGGGATGCTGCCAGCCGACTTCCGCCTTCCAGAGCGATACCGCTGCCCACTCAGTTTGGGAGCCAGACCATGCAGAGTACTGGGTCGGATGTGTCCTGACCCCGCTGGAGAATTGGGGGCACTAGAACTGGGGGAGCTACTTTGGGAGGAGTTAGTACCTGTAGGTGGAAAGAGAACATGATGAGCATCTATGGCCAGGTCCCATTTTCTGTCCGCTCTCCCAGCCCCAACTATTTAAGGTCAGGTCAGGTCAAAGTCTGGAAACTGGCTCAGCATTCAAATCCAATGAGCGAATGCTTCCAGATAAACCTCCTGTACACCCAAGGTTTAACCCAACACTCCCTGTCTCATTGTAGTTCTCCAAATAATGTCTTGTATAGAAGACATCCTTAATCTGTTCTCCTTCACAGGAAACAGGCTTTAGGTCTTTCAGAGTCCCTGATGGTGACTCTGACCTCTCAGGTGTCCCTTGTTGTCCAGGCCACTCACTCACCAGATGGGAAGTCGGGGGTGGAGCGGTAGCTGGGTGTAGGAGACCGGGGAGATAAACTGTGAGTGGGGGACCCCGGGAGGCTTTCCCCTGATGACAGGGATCTATTCAAGCAGGAGAAACTTCGGCTGGTATGGAGTAAAGGAGAAGGCTGCTTGGCTAGTTTTTTGAAGAGGGATCTCCTCCTAGAGTAGAAACAGGAGAAAATGGGTCAGAATCAATATCCACCTCACAATACCAGTGTATTTAGCTCACAGCCTGTGCCAGAGACAGCAACGTAATGGCTGATTCTGTGAAGCAACAGGATCCCACCCTACATTAGAAAGCTTTTCATGACTGTAAAAGGCACAGTCAATATTGGCCTACAGGTTTCCTTCTCTTCTAAACACTTTAAAAAGACCTGGGGAAAAAAGAAACATTCAACATATTTAAATATATATCCATTTATTTTCCTGTCAGGTGTACTGGGAGGGTGCTCTTGGCCTGAAAGCTCCTGAATATGTATCCCCAGAAATACAGACACAATTTAATTAAGAGATAATACACAGCAAATCTCTGGAAGAAAAACCAGCATCTTGGTAAGTCAGCACCATTCCTCAATGGTGAAAAACAGGGCAGAAGCTTTCTCTGCTAGGGACTGTTTGCTGTGTTTGTTCCATTGTGGGCTCTTGAATATTCCGAAGGACAACATAGACTGAACATTTTCTGAGAAGATTCAGCAAAGGTGAATTGAAGCTTATCATGTCAGCAGGGCAGCAGATACTGTGCAGCCATGGAAGCAAATGTGTATTTAGAGCTCAATGAGCAATTTTTAAAGCAAAACGCAAGCTGCAGATGGTCATAAGAGCAGGTGGTTATATGAAGTTCTCTGACTATGCTGTAAGCCTGAGTCACTCCCCGTGAGCACAAAAGCAAAAAACTTAAACACCAATCCCCCTTGAAACAGTCTGTTTTGTAAGATTTAAAGTACAAGCAAAGATCATAAACCCAACCTAGTAACAGCTTCAGAATGTGTGTGTGTGTGTGTGTGTGTGTGTGCATGTGTGTTTAGCTCTAATCGAAGTAGCAAGTGTACTTGGGTTAAAATTTTAAGTAGTTTCATAAACATTCAATGAGAAACAGCATCTTCCCTACTCAGCTGTTTGCTCACTCTCCAGAGAAACCAAATTCTACTCTCACCCATATCTTCTCCCACTTGTCTGCATAGTATTAAGTCATGTGCTTACATTGCTATTTTTCAGTTTCAGATATGATACGTTGATTTCCTGCATAGAAGGTGAGAATTAAGCTCTTATAAACTCCCTTCCACCTTCTGACCAAAATGCACTTCCCCTTTCTATTCACTCCAGTAGCGCTAAGCCAAACTTCATTAGAAAAAAACTACTTAACTTCATTTTACATTATAAATGTTGTTCGTAGCTGGGCCGTATAAAGGATAACTTTAGTTCCTCTTTTATATAATTGTGTTTCCTACTTCTGTTTCTGTATGCCCATCATCAAAAATCCTCTTACTGAGATCCGGACCAAGTGGATAGAGCAGGAATATGCTGGAAGGTGAAAGAAGCACCTCTGGACAGCTGCCTGTCAAGAAATGTTTCTGCCAAAAGCATACCCACAAGTGCACACACACACATAAATACATATGCATGCACACACACACAACTTGTCAATGTCTGCTGACAGCACGGTGCTTCCCAGACTGCAAAGGTGGAGGGAAAACCTAGTTAAATTTTCAAGCCCGTTTACTTGCAGGCATTTAGGGATGCTTTAAAGTTATAATTACTTTAGACTAGCTGGCATTAAAATCACCAACCATTTGTTGTTATAATGTAAAGGGCACTATTAAATGTAGATTTCAACTTAAAAGCTACCTGAAGGGCCTATTCCTTAAACGCAAGTCCATGGAAAGCAGTGACAGCCTCTGAAAGCAGGAAGGGGCTATCATGGCGCTCATGCAGGAGAGAAACAGTCTAAGTCTTAGCACGATGTGAGTAAATCCTGCCACTGTGAGAAACAGCATTAGAAGGGATATAAGCTTTAATGCAGAAATACATGTGAACCACAGTATAACATTTCTCATGGAGAAATGAACCTCTCTCATCTGTAAGCATTTCCATTAAGTAAGGAGTAACTTTCCTGCAACATGGAAAACTCACAAGGAAGACTGTTTTAACCAACCTTTCCAGACTTTCTTTCTTCTTAGATTTCTTGCTCCGCCTCACCATCCGGCTCTTGTAGCTGTTTCTCCTGGCTGGTCCTGTTTTGATTGATGTGTTTTCAAACGGGGTGGTAGTGATTGACACCTTATTTCCACTCTATATAAAAAAAAGGGAGTGGGATTAAAGGGAAAATGCTGTGATAAAGCAAGATCAGCACAGAGACAGGAGATGCAAAGGCAAAGATACCTAGAAACATATGCTCGTGACCCTTCAAGTGGTGACTTCCTGACAGAATACAAAAGGTGCCATTCCTGTGAGATCATGGCCACTGTGCTCCACAGACCTGAGTTCAAATCTGAACTCTGTGACCTTGGGAGGCTGCTCCTCCTCCCTCTTACTCAGCTTCTTATACACAGAAGTTGACAACAGAATCACACCTATCTCCTCAAGGCTCATCTGAGGATTAAATGGGATAGAGTTTGTAAATCCTTTAGCACCGGGTGTGACACAGGGAAGGGATTCTATAAATAACAGCTCTCTTCATCCATATTCATTAAGCATAAATGTGCCCAGGGACTGTCTGCTCTTGGTTGATTTATTTTTTCTTTTTTTCTCCTTTTTTGTGTTTTTCTTTTGACCCAGAAATCAGAGTAGCAAAACTGAGTGAGACTTTTATTTTTAATTATTTCAAAAGGTTACTTTTCGATCACCATAAAAGCTGTCAGCTTGCAGAGTTGGGAGGTTTGCACCAGCAACTATGAAACGATCTCTTTAACCAGGTCACGAATGGTAAGTAAATGGTTGGTGTCTGTAGCGCTTTAAGGCAATCCTGGGGTAGGGGCAGGCCCAAGGGCTGATTTGAAACAGGTTGAGGGGCTTCTGGGAATGCTGGGCAAGACTAATCTCCCTCACTCTGGCATCAATTACCTCCACTTGAATTTCTGAACAACCAGGGGAGAAACATGTCCTTTCAGTCACAGATGGCCTTGCATGCCTTGAAAAAACTAGGCAGACGAGGAGAAGGTATTTTTAAAAGGCTTGTGCTTAGAAGACACCTAGTGACTACTAAGTGAGGGGGAGTTAAGTCTGAGGGGGATTGAACAAACAGGGAATGCGAGTTACACTGTGAGCATCGACTCCCTCACTCCCCAATTGAGGGAGTAATTTATGCCTTTAGAAAAAGAAAATAGTAAACTAGAAATAAAAAAGTAAAAGCCTACTGCCCAGCTAGCACTGATGAGTGATGGTGCAGTGTATTTCCTCCTGGACTTTTTTCAGGCACATATAGATATGTACATATGATGATACGTGTTATAAATAACTTTAACCGTACAGCATTTGCAGTTCTATCTATCCGTAAAATTTCATATTATGTAATGTTGACAGACTTGTCTTTTGTCATTAAATAGGCTTTAAGAACACAATTTTTATTGGCAAACTGTAAAATACAGTATGTTAGACAGTCAATCAAAATTTATTTAACTGTTTCCTTACTGCTGTTTTCTATTTTCAATGATCATAAAAGTTAAGTTAAATACCCTTATCTAAAAATGGTTGTCCTACTCTTTGCTATTTTGCTTAGATATTTTTAACTAGACTCACTATACTGAATCAAGGGTAAACCTGAGCTTTTTAAAGATACTTGGTCCAGATCATTGCACTTTATCCCCAAAGTGTAAATCTGTACTTCTGGGAGCACTGCAGGAGTATCTACCTTACCGGAGGCTGGTCAGAACTGAATATGAACATTAAGTGCATTATAATTTCATAGGAACAAGTATATCAAGTTTTAATCTTCATGTTTTAACAACTAAGAGTCTGGATATTTTATCATTTATTTTGATTATTTGTATTTCTCTAGGGAATGGTTTGTTCATGCCTTTGTATATCCAACTTAGTATCAGGTATTAGAACTTCATTATTGCATTTAGCAGTTTTCAAATATTCAAGAACATAGAATCCCATACCTTTCAGAATTAAAGAAAATGATTTTAGGAGAATGTGATTTGAACTTGAATGAGAGAAATAACACTCATATGCAGGAATAAGTGATATGTTCTACATGTAAATGCCAACACTTTAAAAATAAATATAATAGTAGAGACTGATACTGTATTTATTCCTTAAGTAAAAAAATTCAACTTTGAAGAAAAATCTCCCAAAGGAGGTAAAAAAATTCAACTTTGAAGAAAAATCTCCCTAAGAAGGTTGTTTGGGATGGTGTCTTCTTTTCACAGATAGAGTGAAGCCAGGCGAAAATTAATTTTTTCCTATATGCCTTAGCTGAGGTGAAGGGAAGAAGCACAAAGGTGGTTGGGGTTCATCTTCTATTAAAATTCTTTCAATCATTTCCCCCTTCAAACTGAAGGGAGGGGGGAGGGAGGGAAAGGAGGAAGAGAGGGGGAAGGAGGGAGGGAGGGAAGAAGGAAGAGAGGAAGGGAGAGAGAGGAAGAAAGGGAGAGAGAGAGAGAGAGAGAGAGAGAGAGAGAGAGAGAGAGAGATCTCTTTGAGGCTGTTCTAGCACAGGCCATGCGAGTCTAAACACACTTCTACCCATTTCTGACAAAGACATTGGCATTCTAAAGTATACTTTGAATATTAAAACATTTTCCACATATATATTCTCTGTAGTTCTCACAACCAAATCATAGTCTTTTTAAATTTTTTCTTCCTACGAGCTACAAAGGGATTATTAGTCTGGCAACATAGATAAGAAAAAATAAATTCAGAGACTGAGATTCTTCATTCTCAAGGTCACAGAGCCAGGACTCCCTCCCTGCACCCCACCAGTCCACTCCCTATGGGCAGGTCATGCTTGATACCCTTTGACTTGTGGAAATACACCAAGAGATAATACACTAAGGGGAAATACAGATGCAGAAGATGCAAAGTGCAAATATTTGGTCGGAAACATTACTCATCACAAAAATGGTAAATGACTGGGAGAATGACCTTACAGAGCCTAGGAGAGAACTGTGAAGCCTGCCACCTGGTGGACTCACTAGTTACACTCACTGCTGCCTGGCTTGGTGGCCTCTTTAAGCGCAACACATTCTTCTAAAGAATGGGGAGCGCTATCAGAGAAATCCTGTGGCACTTGTTTAAAAATAGCAACAGATGGGGCCAGCAGACTGTTAAATATTCAGTTAGTTCACTTTTTCTTTAAGTTCCTTCTGTAATCAGTGCACAGAGGGAGGGAAATTGTTTAAGCTGGCTGAACTGAATACACTAGCGAGAGACAGGATAGCTCGATCAGTTGTTGCGCAGCCTGGCTCCCAGGGAGCATATCAGTGAGCCTTGGGGATTCACTAAACTAGACATTTTACATTTATTTCTCTGCAAAACATAGGTGAGGAATGGTGGAACTCTTCCTTCACACCTGGGTACCTGCCCTGACTTCCAGGGTCGGGACTTCCCATCCCTACCACCTTACACACATCTGCACACTGACCGGACTAGCTCTGTGGGTTCACTACTGCCCTTCTAGCACTTTCAGTTGTCCTGCCCTTTTGCTTTTGCACAATGTTTTGGCAAAAGTACCTCTATTTTTCAGGCACTAACTCCCCCCCCGCCAAGCATTGTCACAGACCTGCACAGACACCCCAACTCTTCATCCCTGTCCATGCTTGTGGAATGCCATCTACCCTTCAGAACTCTGTTCACATATAGTCTGTTCCTTATACTTAACATTTTGATCATAGCCTGGCATCACCACCACCTCCTTCTGTGAGCCCTGGACTTTGAGTTACTAGCCACCAGAGAACTTCCTGTGTGACACTCACTCTGTGGCATCCTATCAGGGAGCTTGGGCTCTGGGGCTGTGTTCTGGGGGCGCAAATTCTATCTGCTCCTTCCTACAGAGAGACTTGGGCTATGCTGCCAACTTTCTCTGCTTTAATTTCTTCACCTGTAAACACAGATATTTCTAATAGCTACCTCACAGCGCATGAGGATGACTTGAGTTTCTTAGGTGAAGCACTATTACCTGTCATTTTTCTGTGCCTTTGGTTATATAACCCTTTGGTGGCTAGAATAAAGCTCCACATTTGGGGAGCCAGCAGATATGTGAGATGGTAGCAATGATGCTATTTGATGACCCCAATTTTAGTATCTGTACAGAGCACACCATGGCTTCTAAGTGTGCCAAAGGAGCTGTGTTGCAGGGTGTACACAGATACATAATGACTGAATCCTGGAATGAGGACACTTCAGAACCAAGAAAGGGCACAATTTAGTATCCCAATTTCAGTTCCCCAGAGTGCAAAGAAATGAAAAATTTAAACCAGTGGGCTGATAAAGTTTGAGGGCTTTTCTTTTTGTATTGGGGACTTAAAATTCATGTCCTAAAAATATGTCCTTAAAAAAATGTAAAAAGTGAAATGGCTGAAGAGAAGGCTCACTAGATAAGTGAAGATAAGCTGGGAAGGTTGTCACAAGAGAAGGGCACATGAGAGAATCCACATGGCCTCACTCACCACTGTAAAGCATGAAGAAAGATACCTCAGCTCTTCCACAGAGTTCTTCTAGAAAGACTGATGCAGGTTGAGAGCTGAATATAGGTGTTTAACCCCTATGGCAGGGGAGTTTTATGGCAAACCTACAGGAGCACTTTTTTAAGGGGTTCATATAGCTGTGGGAGCTGAGTTGGAAAACCATAAGATTCTGTCACCCCACAGGCCTCGGGGACTGAATGACTGTGTAGGTGAGTTAGTGCTTCCATGGCAGGTTCCACTGGAAGTTGTGGGGGTACAAATAAGACCAAATGTGAAGCCATGAGATGGAAGATGCTCTCTGTGTTTACAAAGCAAAAGGTGAAAAGTGCAGCACATTCCTAGAGCACAGCCTGGGGCAGCTCTGCTGCCTGCTTCCTAGGCGCACATGGGCCTTTACAGAGTAGCTTGCAAGCAGAAAACCGTACCTAGAGCACATCCAAGAACGCCAAGACAGCTGCTACCCTGACATTCCCCCAGCAGTGGCACATCGGGACCAGTGTCGATACCAACCACTTCTGCTTTGGTCAGTACCATGGTTAGCTTGGGAAGGAAGCTGCGTGCTTACATAGCTCACTAGAAAGATAACCAAGTCCCTTGTATCCTCTCTGATTCTTTACACTGGCTACTCCCCTTGAGGGCTCCCTTTAGGAATCAGGCAGAACCCGCTGCTTGGATGCGTGACAGAATACACCACGACTTCTAAGTGAGCCAAAGGGGCTGCGTCATGGCATGTTCACACACCTCAGACACACATGAACTAGTCCTGAACTGAAGACACTTTGGAACCAGAAGAGGGCAACATGTAATAGTGGGATCATCTGAATCTACCTGGAGGCCTTGCCAGACATCTACAGGAGAAATATGCAAAATGCATGCACATTTTGCAGAAGAGAGGATTCAAAAATCCCAGAAGCAAATTAAAGGACTTTATAAAGTAAATCATGACAGTGATCAATCATGTTTTGGCAAAATAAACAAATGCATGTTCTCTAGATGTATATTTCAGTTTATTATTTCTTCTGATTTCATGAGCAGACACATGAAAAGAAGCACAATATATGTTGTGATATAGGCTGTATATAAAACAATACTATTACACAAAAAAGTAGTCTGGACATATTTAAAGTCCTTTATCTTTTCATTAATCGCTGATGCCAAGATTTTGAAAAGCTTGAGTAGAATGAATAACGACCATAAGAAGCTCACCAACACATCACCTACTTCAAACCAAAGGTCAAGATGAGTTCCTGGAAAAGCTCCAGGAGCATTTTACACATAGAGAGCACATCAGCCTGACTACTCTGTGGTCCCCGATCAACTGGAAAGGCTGGATGTGAGAGACAGGGAAAAAAACAAAACTCACAACAACTTCCCAGGCCTCTTACTCACAAAGGATAGATCTGTGAGGCAGCAACACGCCATCCTTGCATCAATTATCAGCACAGTAAAAGAAATAACTAGTTAGCTTCTCCGGTCTTTGCACCTCTTCCTGAATTTTGTCTTGGGGAGTCTGAGGCCATTTCAGGTGACCTTCACAGGCAAGGGATCACAGTCAATAATTCTGCTCTACCTTCCTCTCAGACACACTCTGAGAGAGCTGTTCCCCATCACTCAGACAAAGGCCAACCTCCTAGATAGATGGGGAGTGAAACGAAAGTGCTCAGGTCTTAACGCATGCAGTTGTCAGGAACTACTCAATAGCCTATTACCAAGTGCAGACTAGCAGTTCTTGCCCTTCAGACTGCCTGTCTGTGTTTATGCAGGCACAGCTCTTTCCTTTCCTCAACAAACTTGCCATATGCTGGAAAACCAACCAACCAACCCAAAACAAACAAAACAAAGTACAGATTAACTGTGGTCATCTGAAAAATTTTACCACCAATTGAATGGCATGCATGTCCAGATATGAGTAAAACACAACAGAAGTTATTGGTGGTGCTTAGTTCTTCGCCAGGTAACTAACTTTCAGACAGGAGAAGCCCTGTTATCGAAAACCCAGTTTCACAAACGTTACCGAAAACCTAGGCCCTGGGTAAAGGCTCGGAATATGTGGGCAGCCTGATAGTATTTCCAGCTCTCTCCTTAGGCTGCGGTCAGCATGACCATACTTGATTTCCAACAAAGCCCACAGTGCTGTAACCTATGTGTTCAGCTTGACCCTCCAGTAAGCACCAACAGGAATTTGTGAGAAAGCTTGCTGGAGAGCTAGGGAAGCATCCTCTGTATACAGATGACAACAAAGCCAACCTGGACTCCACAGAGAGTGGCCCCAAGAGTCAAATCTCATCAAAACTGTGAATTAATCAACAGCAGTGACTATTCTACAACCTGCTGCTATACACTGGACCTTGTAATATACATTCTAGTATTACTACTTCCAGAATCTAGACCAGACCCTGAATCTTTTAAGGGATACAACTACGTATGTTGAAAAATGAAAGAAAAAGTAAGAGAAAAGTCATTTAACTACATTGATTTTTGAAGTTTTGCACACTCACTTCCGTGCAATTCCTTCCAAATTTTTAAATTCTCTCAGGTTCCAGTCAATGTCATTTGCCTGTGATGCTTTTCCAAAACAAAAAAAGGTCCCCCCGAAAACAAAAAAATTCCTCCCCCCACAAAACAACAAAGTTTAATTCAACCGCCTAAAAAAAACCCCCCCTTCCTCCAACCCTCCAAAAGCCAAAGAACCCAAGGTAAGTTTCCATGTTGCCAACGTAGACGATGGCAGCTGCCTCAGAGCAGCGCTATTGAAACAGTCTGCATGCACATTCCATAATTGACCATGTTGTATGCGTCCTCGTATTTATGCTTTGTCTCCCTGAACAGGTTGTAGGTTCTTTGAAGTGATGACTTACATCTCTTTCTTGTAGGCCTTTCCACTAGAGAGAGGTGAGCCAAAAATCTATTGATTTGTAACATATTCCTACAACTAGAGACCGTGTTTCTCAACAGAGATAAATCAATCTTCTTTTGTTGAAAAATTTAAAGTCAAACTCAAATTCATCCTATTTGCTTTAACCAGATCTATATTTGGAGCAGTAATTTTATATTCTAGAGACAACAGAGGAGAAGGAAATAAAAGAACTGGAAAGATCAGGGCACCTTCTCACTGATCTTATTCCATAGCTTTATTCAGCTTATATTTCAAGTAGAAATTGGTCTCCATTCAAATTCATACCTGTATGATGGGAGAGAGGATCTAATGATTGTTAGACCCCACCTTTCTTCACCACCTATTTCTATTTCTAGTAGATACGTGTATGGGTGTGTACACACATACACGCACACATATGTATATTCATGAAATCCAACTCTCAGGCTAAACTTTTAGGTCAGACCCTGAAGTTTAAAATCACTTTCACTATACTGTAGTAAAATAAAACCTCCGACTCTTTTCCAGATTTCAGATAGGTGGTTTTCAAATAGATTTTACTAGGTAAGTTACAATAAAACAAAGACAACACTTACTACTTATATTTTGGAAAAAGAAGCAAAATCAGGTCCTCTCTGGTGGCTTAGATATTGAGTCTCACAGCTAGCGCTGCAATGGCCAGGGAGGTGACCCACATGGTGCGGCAGACCTCTCCTGTCCCGCCCACTGCTCCCCTTAGTAGTGTACTTCAGTACATCCACCTGTTCTGCTTCCCATTCTGTCTTTGGTGAATCTATTTACCTTCCTGCACCTTTGGTCTACACTCAGTTATTATGTGGATAAATAAATAAATCTTTTTTTTTTTTTTAAGAAAAAAATTAAATTAGGAAGTGATCATGCAGTTCTAGGCACATTTCCCCCCCCATGATAGAAAGCCAAATAATTCATGGCATCTTCCCTTGTCTTGACATAAACCTTTAACAAATAAACTCCTAATAATGAGACTGAATGTGTAAGCGTCAATTGTAGAAATGAACTCTTGAACTGTAGATCTCAAGTATAAAATTCTTGGTAATGGCTCTTTCTGTAGCTGTTGCATCCGTATAGCCACAACATAATAAAAAGACAATACCTTCAGCAAGAGCTCTATAACTTCTGTGTGGACAAGTCCATGCACTGGCTCTCCATTGATGTGTGTGATGAGGTCACCAGCCTTCAGTCCTGCCTGGCATGCTGGACTTCCTTCTTCTACATTCTAAAGCCAAGAGGATGATACACATTGGTAAGCAAATAAACAGGCCTTAAGGAATATTATATCTTCTGGCAGAGTATTCTGAAATAAATCAGTAAACAATTCTGAGTTCCCAAGGGGAAATGAGGAAATCAAAAGGCATGTTTATGATTCCCATTTTGTCATCCTCTAAAAACTGAAAATTGCTATATAGTTTTTTAAACATTTTCAGGTGGTTTGCGAAGGTAGTTAAAAAAAAAACAACAACTAAGAAACAGAGAATGAAAATAAGGTGAAAATAGAATTGTCTTTTATTGTTTCTACTACCAGCTTGACAGGTGTTCAAATATGAAAACTAGACAGAATCATGAGAATGAATTAGTTTTTCCTCAATTCAATTCCACCATATAAAACGAAGGAGCACTAGAAAGGAAAACAAAACAGGTCCCAAAACCAGTTTAACAGAAAATACATTTGTTGCTAACTTATGCCTCAATTTGTGGATTCTCCAGTTTGGTTCTGAGCAAAAAACATGAAAAGAAAGACTGATGGTCTCACCCAGACAATGTGATGCACAGTGTAGATGTCACTGTCGCCCACATACACCCGGATGGCTCGGATGGTGAAGCCATAGTTCTTCCCGGAACTGTGGATCACTATGGGCTGGTGCGGACTGGCAGAGGCCGCTGAAGAATCTCGGCTGGGTGAGGAGTCCCGTGAAGATGAAGGGTCAGAAGACAGGGAATGGGGAGACATTGGGCTTCCCAGTGGAGAAACAGCAAACATATCTGTAACAAAGCAGCCAGTTGTCAAACTGATGCCACAAGAGATGCCCAAGCAGTTAGCTCTTAACCACTTTAGCTCTGCCGGGTGGGGGCACCATCCCTAAATGAATCCACTCATTTTTACTAGCAAAGTAAAGAAAATAAATAATATAAAAATATTTATACTGGTGACTAGCATGGATTTCAAAATAGATCCCTACCAAGGGTACTTCAGAAGTGTCTCCATTTGGACAAATTATTTCAGATTTTTAAATTTAATATATTTTAGTTAAACAAATCACAGATGCATGGATTTCAAGATCCCCCTCATACAGGGAAGGCTCTGTACTCTGTAAGAGATTTCTGGACCTCAAAATCTTGCACTAAGCCACTTTAACACGGCCCTTCCCAACACAAATGGCTGGGAAAGCAATGTATCATTTCACCAGCTGCCTTTTGCAATTACTATTGACGTAGCAGTGATTAAAATACCCTGATGAAGAAAACATTAAAGCTGGAACTTCTGTCTATAAAAGTCATCCCTCATCATGGTTACACCTGATTCTCTTCCTATCTTACCTGCCATTCTAACAGCATTATGCTTTCTGAAAGCATAATGCAGGTGAAATACAAAAATTTCATGAGAGACTCAGTTCATGTTCCACCATGCCAACCCCATGTTCCTTGTTTTTAAATAAGCACATTTATAATTTATAATTCATAGCATGGCTCCATTTATGTAAACCTAAACAGATCTTAGCTGGTTGAGTGAGATTCTGTGCCTGTGTTCGAGAAAACAGGTGACAAAAGATGGTAAGTTAGCTCAAATGTAAGCTCAGCGTCAGACCACCAACTGCCAGAGCTACTCACGACCAAGGAGGCACAGGGCGCCCTCCAGTGGCCGAGGCGAGCTGAAAGGACACATACTACCATTGTTCCAATGCTTATGCTTATTTGGAGCAAAGCAACTAGTTGGAAGTATCATTTTCCATTCTCCTTCACTCTCTGGCTTCATGCGGCACCTCGATGTTCTTTTCCTGGCTAATCTAAGGCCATGTAAAAGGCACACACCAGTGGTAGAGAGCTTCAAAGCATGCAAGCAAGAATGGTGGACACATATGATCCAAACTGCTGAAAGCCAGGTCCCCAGTCCTTTACCTCCTGAAGGTATTCTCTCCCTACACCCCCAGGTGAATATTTGCCCCACCTTACAAGGTGCAGGCTTTCTCACCAGCTTTCAGAAGTGGACTATATCACACTTACCTTCCTGACAACAGCCATGAGGGGCTGCTGACCTCACTAGGGTGCTAAAAGGAACATCTTACCCGGTCCCCAACACAGAATATGATAGAGTGATGCCCCCAGGAGAGCCTTTGTTTATCTTTAAGATCTTTCTGCACAAATTTCAGAACTAGCAACAGCCCTTTTCTACATGTCTGTATGCAAGTCTGCACTGCAAACCATCTGCAGTGTAACTCTGCAACTGTCCACTCTCCGGTCATTTGAGTGATAAGTCACAAGCACCAGGGTGTACATTTCATCTGCCTGTGGAATCACCACTGACTTTGTGATTTGTTAAAGCAAAACCAGGTTGTGGGGAAATACTGCAATTCAACAAAATCACAATTAAACCCAGTTTTCCAATATAGGCAGTACATGATTTTCACTACCAGTAGGAGGAAGTATAGCTCAACAGACAGGGCTGGGAAAACAATTTCAGAGCTGTCTGTGACTCTCTGCAACCCCAGAAATGAAAAACATACATTCTCTGTAACTACTTCCTCATTAATTAGATACTTAGCTTTCCAACAGAGATGTTGTAAACAGCTCTGTAAAGTGTATAAATGATGCACAGTCAAGGGAAGAAAAACTAGTCAGAGGAGGGAAATTTATCACAATTTGGGGGGTGGGGAAAGAGAACCAAAGAAGTTAGCCTCTCTGGGAAGGAAGCCGCCTCTTCTCCTGAGGCAGAAAGAAGCGAGATAGGCCACATGTGCCTCTGTGACCCCGGGAGCTCGAGGTGCAGGGAGCAGCTTTAGAGAGCTGTGCCAGGGACCACCCCTCACTGCTTCGAGCAACCTTGTGTCTCAGGCAGCATTACCAGGTGGGGGAGAGGGACCACATGCACACATCACACAAGTTCATGCAGTAGATGTCTCTCTACCTCCTGGGATCATGAGGGACAGGGCACTGGCAGAGAGGGACTTTGTGACTTTCCCCGAGATTTTCTTTTTTTCTGTGCTTTCTAATCGCTGCCGAGCCATGTGGGAAGCGGGTTCACTGGATGGCTTTGAGGAATTATCTGTACTGTCCACACACTCGCTTCGTCCATTTATCTGATCCAAGTGCTCTGAAAAACTGCCAACTGTACAAAGAAGAAGGGATAAACACGTTCAGAAAAATCTGGGCTAGGAGAAGTAGGGAGAGGGGAAGAGAGAGAGCAGGAAGGACAGATACTGAGAAGCAGACTCCCATGTGATTTATCGAGTCCATCTGGTGTCAGGCAAACATTTGAAACACATGACTGGTTTGGAAAAGAGGAGGAAGAGAGAAAAGACATATCCATTCAGGTTTTATTCTACTTGTACACAATTTCGCTCATTCTTAGTCAATGACTCCATTTAACTAGGAAAAGAATGACTTTCCAGAAGCTATACTTTAAACCCTTGTAGTGGTGACTCCTCCCCTTCACTATGAAAGACCATTTTATGAACCAAACATCACCTCACAGACCTCATGAAACCCATTTTCTATTAGACAATCTCCTGACACTAACCGTCATCATTACTAATACTGTTAATAACTTCTTTGGATCATTTGCTCACCCCATGTAGCCTTTTGCCCGGGTCATCTCCTGGAATACACATCATACTAGGCTCACTAGTGTGCCTTACAAAAGTATCTGAAGAGTATCCCTTGACTTCCACACATATGGCTTCCTTCATTCTCAGCTCTAACAGGACTAAGGACATTACTCACTACCTCTTCCTCTTCCAAGCTTTTAATTTGGATATGGAGATGAATGTCTTCCCTTGTAAGCCAGGTTTTCTTTATTTTTAATTTATAAATCATTCTTCCACTGAAGTGGATTTTTCTGAATTAAACAAGGGAAAGCTCTCATAAGAATAAAATATACCCATGAAAGGGGACGCAGAAATGGGAAAGCAGTGATGTCAGTCTGGCCAAGAGAACCAAAGTTCCTGAGCACAAGTGACATGTCAGCATTCCAGAGAAACATTCCGAAGAAAAATGGCTATCCCTTTTGGTTTCTCCTATGCTTTTTTTCACAAGCTGTGTGTGTGTGTGTGTGTGTGTGTGTGTTTCACAACACTGATAATGTATCATTCATTGGAAAAAAGAGAAAATGCTTCTCTTATCTTCACTGCTAAATGCCATTAAAAATGCTTCTCTCGGCCCCTCCGTGGTGATGCTGTGGGTTAAAGCACAGGATTGAGAAGCTAAAGCCACTTCAGCATGAGTTCAATCCCTGCTCCAGAGCTGATCCACATGGCGCGGTAGAACTCTCCTGACTCGCTTGCTGCTCCCCTCAGCAATGTCCTTTGATGATCTGCCTGTTCTTTTCCCCACTCTGTCTTGGGTGAATCATCTCACTGCCCCTGCACCTCTGGCCTGTACCCCATTTCTGTATGCATAAGTAAATAAATCTTAAAAAAAATGTTTCTGTCATTTTTATTTCTAGGCTATGCAGTAAGACCCTGATGCTTTAAAAATCATCACCATGATCTTAATATATACAATTCTTACAGGGAATTTTAATGTATTATGAATGATCCTTTGAAAGGTCAGGTAGCACATTTTAAAGTGTGAACCCTGTGATATCATTTGTCTAGGAGACACCTAGGTTTAATTCGACTTAGCTAACATTTCTGTCTCACTACTACTATGCGATGCTGGGTCACATCATTGAAGTTTGGCACTGCTTCACCAGATGGCACAGACCCCCAGTGGGTGTCTATGCTAAAGGAAGCCTGTGACTCGGGAGTGCAGGTGGAACCCAGAACAAGCCATACCCCTCTGCACTGCAGGCACAAGTGATGAGCCACTGATGTCCACACAATGCACAGGTTACCTCTGAAGGAAGACAAGCCTAGTGCAGATATCAGCGATCTTTCAACTTCTATATGCCAAATTCCGTCTCACTGAACTATTCCATTCACTCTAAATAAAGAAACCGATTGCTGACAGACTTGACAAAAACTGCATTCAAATAAAAACACTCATCTCAAAAATTTAAGTTTACTCTCTAGTAATTTACACACTCCATTCAACTCTTTCTATTTATTGATAGTTTAGTTTGGATGAGATTGCTATTGAGTATAAAATGTAATTTCTTGGATGCATTTCAGTGTTACATCAAAAACTAAGACTTTTTACTTTTCATTTATTCAAGTAGAATGTCGTCATGAAAAATGAGAAACAGGTTCATACCTGGTTTTATGTCCCTAAACACCACAGTGTGAATATACAATGTTCTCGTTTCTCATCCCTCCCTCTTGCCTTTAGCCTTCTCCTTCACAGCACTGTAAATAAGTTTGTGTTTCCTTCTACCAATGGTGGATAATGTCACCTTAATGTTTTGTAAATGTCAAGGGTCCTTTCTTTTTGATGGTGGAGCAATATAAAAATCAACAAATTTAATTTTACTACAGTCACGCTTTTCAGATTCCCTAATTACCTTTGGCTATGAGCAAATCGGCTCATCTCTCTATTCTACACAGCCCCCAAGGTCTTTGATTATTTTTAGTGTGTATATGTGGGAGACAGAGAGAAAGGTGGTTTGAGTCTATTAATCAAAATGCATGGCAGGACCTAGGCATATATTTTTTTTAATTATGAAAGTAATCAATCAAATGCTTAGACACCTTCCTTCCCCCCTTTATTGCCTACCTTTCTGATAGTGAGTGGGCTGGAGAGACTAAGACATTATAAACACTTCACTGTAATAAGAATAAACTTTAAATGGAAACAAATATTTTCTATTCTGAGTAATAACCTAAAAAAACAGAGAGCGAGAGAGAGATCTCAGTAATCAGAAATTTTAAATACTGAGATATCTCTATTCAATTTGAATACCAAGATGAACTAAAAGTAGTCAGGAATCTTGGACTATAGTAGGAAGTTTCTAAACTACATTCTATTTTCTGGGTTTTATAGAATTAGGGCAAGTGGAAATATCCTACATGGAAGCAGGACTGAGATGAAAAGAGAGAAAAAATATCCAATATTATTTTTTCTTCATGAAAACTATAAGTACATTGGGAGTTGCACAAAACTAAACATTTAGTGAAATAAACTCAGTCAGTAAAATCTGTTCTTGAGATGATTCTTAAAAGGCTATGAATATTCAGTGGGGTAAAAATGTTCCTGATAAAGCATGAAAACATCAATATCATATATAGGCAACAAAAGCATTTATCACAGCAACCCTAAGCCATAGCCATGTCTTATTTAAAAACAAATAAATAAATAAATAAATACACATTGCCTCTGTAGAGGGGAGGTGGTATCTACAATTTTCATAAACCAAATAACATTTTAAATGTAAGTGCTTGCTCAGAGGGAGGTCCAGCTTTGGTTACCTAATGAGGACCTTGCCATAGTGAAGGGCTGGCAAGTATCCCTGACACAAGCGTTTGCCAGGAAGGATACTTCCCACACAAGTCACTTTAGAAAGCGCCTTCACAGAAAGAGGGCAAGTCTCTCGACTGCCTCCTAGACAGTGAACATGTCCCAGGGTTTCTTCCTCCAGAGTTGGATGGCATGGAGGTATTTCCTTGCACACGAAAAGCACTCTGAGCTGAGCTGGGCTTTCTGCCCCCCTCTTCTCTCTCCATCCCAGAAGCACAGAAGCACCTGAACAGCTCCCAGTGGAAGCACCTTGCTGTGCTGAGCCTAGTGTGCAGAGATCATTTATTTGGTATAACATGATCCCTTAACTAAAACCAGCTCCTCTGGAGAAACAACCAAATTTTTCAACACTGGGGCAAACTAGCTTTACACTGTATCTGGTGGGGGATGTGAACATCTGAAGGCAATTTTGACCAGCAGTGTTGTGATGTCGTCCCTTAACCCTAACTTTGATACAATATCATAAGACATGCCTTTGCATCAATAACTGAGAACATGTCCCCTGAATGTGCTCTGACAGTCACCAAGGGAGCCCCCAGAAAACCTGGCTGTGAAAGCAAAGGCTGCCTCCTGGAGTCTGGCCATGGCTAGCCGGTCGTGCAAGAAGGAGGACCCTAAGCCAACTGAGCTAGTGGCTAGCTCATCCCCCAGCCCAGGAAGGGGCTAAGCCCAGAGGGTATCTAGCAGCACAGAGCACGAGCACTCTGAGGGGAGTGATGGGTGACGCCTGGGTGGCGGTGCCAGGCCCAGAGGCTTACCTGACAGGGTGGAGCTGCTGATGGTGCTGGCTGGGGTGGTGACCTCGGGCTCTTCCTGAACACACTCTCCAGGAGGAAGAACTGGCTTCTCTGGCTCCTCATGGGGATCTCTGGGACAGGGAACAGCTTCATCGTGTTCTGCCTCTGTTGAAATAGCCAGTTTGGGGAGTAGGCCAGAGCTGAGTTTATGTCTGTTGCTTTCAGTATCTGAAGAGTTGGAGGTGGATAACTGTTGCCTTAATTAAAAACAAAAAAACAAACAAACAAAAAAAAAAACAAAGTCATGTCTACCTACTAGGAGATTGTGTTCCAGGAGAATTTGGGAAGAAACCAGGTAGAAACTTGGAACTTGGGTGAGCCAAGTGCAGTGTTTCAAAAAGTACTTTCCCATGACGAGCATCACATGTCAGCTCCCTCCCTGATCCCTTCCCGGGTCTAGTGGGTCAGAAACTCAGGGAATGGGCCCAGCATCCAGCATTCCTGTCACAAGCCCTCCAGGTGGCTCCTAAAGATTAGCACACACTCTTCTAGCGGCCACTGCCTATGCTATTTCTTAACAGGCATTTCACATACATTTCAGAATATTCAGAACTCCAGCTTAAGGTCTCTGTGGAGGGCAGAGCTGTGTTCTTGGTTTTATCCCCAGGGTCTTCCTTCTCTTCTCCGGAATTCTGAGTTATTCGATCAATACTGCTGAAAACCTGGAAGGCAAGTAGTCAGTGCTTATTATTAATGTCTTCTTGAAAGAGTTTGTCAGGGGGAAAAAAAAAAACCCAATCTTGGGGAAAAAATCTGAGAGTATGACATGAGTACAGTTAAAATAAGGACCATGGATTTAGAAAGTACTTTCTGATTCTGTTTCCTTACATCCTGAAATGAAGGGCTAATGTATAATTTCTTTTGGAGTGAGAGTTATGAATTCATGACCCTCTCAACATATCTTGTTACAGACAGCTTGGGGTTTCCTGGCCTGGGATCAATGAGCACACACATTAGATTTCTTTTTTCTTCTTTATTTTTTTACATCATTCTTCATTTTGTGCATTTTTTCATCTGGTTGTAATCCCCGTGGACTTCCTACCACCAATTCACCTCTGTGCCATCACCATTAGATTTCTTTTTAACCATGAAGTCAATCAGAAAACAAAAATCACAGAGAAAAAGATTTACTAGCCACAAGTCAGGGTTGGGAGAGAGAAAAATGAATGGAAATTGGATACAAAGAAAAGAATAAATTAACTGTTTCAAGATTTGTGTGCTGGGAGTATGTGTGTGAGATGCATATTTGGTTATGAATCAGGTATTTGTTGGGCTTACAAATCACATTTACAGACAGCTTCCTAGGTTGGTGCTGGGATTTCAGAAAAGGAACTGAGCTTGGACAACCCAAAATCTCAGCCTATGTCTGAATCACTGCTGTCCCACAGGAAGATGGAAAGTACAACAGAGGCTGAATCCAGTGTCAAAAGAATCTCCTACTGGCTCACTGAGCATTGACTATCTTCATCAGAATGGCCCTGAGACATCGCGGAAGATGCTGAGAAAGGTGACTGAAGACCAGGAGACAGTGGGAAGGAAGGATGGCTGTGACAGGTCAGAGAACAGGCGATCCTGGCTCTAGGGTAGACTTCCTACCACTCTCTGCAGGGGAGTCTCTGCCTGTCCCTGTCATTCCTAAAACATGGAGGGCAGCGCTGGCTGAACTGCAGATGCAGTCTAAGCAGTTACTTAGCAAATGTCCCAGAACAGAAAAGTGTTCTATAGAAAAGCTAAAGAGCGCAGTACTGAGGCCAGCACCAGGGAGAGAGGAAGCCCTGGTGTTCACTTCACTTTTTCCAGAGCCCAACCTTCTCTCAGGACTATCAGGTGTCTGTTTCTGTGTGTCTTTTAGCTTACCTCTGTCAGTAAAAAAGTTATCTTTCTTTAGCATCAACTTTATTATCATTTTGTACTTCTAAAATTCTAGGCTGCCTTTCTGTTGTCTCTTAATCACATCTTACAGATTCTGTTATTGACTATGTGACTTTTTCAGCCCACAGTGTACTGACCCCACGTGTCTCTGCTTATGTCAAGAATGGGGTCGCTTTGCATTTGAGTCTGTGTAAAATGAGGAGAGGGCTCCTCACACAATGAGCTCAATGTTTTTTATTAGATAATGAAAGAAATGGTGGGTGGGGGTGGGGGAATGCCAGCCTGGCATGCCAGGTGATGTTACCATGCAAATGGCCATGTGTACTCCAAAACTATGACTGGAAGTGCACGTCTGTGCCTCTAAAAAAAAAAAAAAAAAAAAAAAAAAGACCTGGGTAGAGTGAAATATAGAATTTTTCTTCTGGAGTGGGACAGGGCTATGGATTATCAAGAGGATGGTGTGGTGACTTTCCTTAAACAAAAAGGAATTTTAAGTATTGGAGACCTCAGCCCCCAAACTGAGAAGGTGGTTTTTTCTAATCCTGTCCTGCTGTTGAGTATTACTAACCACTATTCAATGGGAGGTTGTACTAGAGAAAGCTCATTCGTTTAATTCACATTTCACTTACTTTTGAAAACCTATGTGAACACGAGGAAAACTGCCTTATCTCCACATTGAAGTCTTCATCATTTGTGTCATCTTCTTCCTCAGTCTCCATGTGGTGATACTTCTCTGACCGTGCTGCAGAAAAAAATGTTTGGGAATAATTCTAAATACTGAGAATCCAGTTTTTAATTTAGATATAGCAAGAATTTCTATATCTGCATAACATTATGTTCAAGAACCCACTTGTTCTAGCAAAAGTGGAGAGAGAATTTTCTACAAAGGCCAAATGATGATTTATGTCAGATAATGTACATACTATCAAAATAACTTGTGTCATCTTCGGATTCCAGTTGGGGAATAAATTCTGCCTTCTGTCTCAGCAAACTGTTCCAGTCTAAAGAACGGAAGAATCGATGCTGCTTGACTTCATATGCACCACCTGCGGGTGATGGTAGAGGGAAAGGACAGAGAGGAAAGTGTTAAACTATCCTTTGAGCAAACATAAATATGAAACAACAACAAAGACGCAGTCAAAAAGATGTACTGATAGAGAAATGAAGAATTCATGGAAATCTTGCTTTTTCAGTTAAACAACCAAAACCTCCTCAAATCTTCCCCATAACTTATCAGTAGGATATCTGAGTTTGCTAACAGCAGTTGCCATGGCACAGTTTTTCTTTGTTAATTTTTTCACGACGTCCTCCATTTTTCAAAGGTTAATGACGCGGCCACTTAAAATCACATTATGCTGAACTGAGGGATGTGGACACGCATTGGCCCAAAGCAGACTTGCTCATTAAAAGCCCACAGAAATTCTAACAAGGTGCAAAATGTGTTCACTGCAACATTTTCTCTAGAGGTAAGGTTAATAAAGATGAATTTTTCCTAAATAAGATACAATGGCTACCATTCAATACTATTGGCTTGTTGATTACCATAGGTAGGAATTAGATTGCGTAGAGTCTTAAGAAACCAACAAACCTGTTTGAAAAACTTGTAATGCAGGTAATGAAAACCAGCCATAATTCCTAAGCTTTAGACTTCTTTATGTTGCTCCAGCAGGAAAGCACAAATAAATAAAACAGTGTTTTTAATTTAGCTCGTGATTTGAAAGAGTGATTTTGAAAGGCAGGTCCTATCTAAGTACTATTACACTCTAACACAGGTAAGAAGATACACAAGTTAGCATAGCAGGAGACCAGGCCCCTTCCTTGTCACCAGCACATGTTGATGAGGGAGATCAGCAAAATCAGTCCTGAAAAAGCACCAGGAAGAGGGATTTCTCACAAGACCAACAGCAGAGTCTAATGAGCCTCCCCCCACTAGGAAAGGCCCCTCTAGGCGGGATGCAGGTGCCTCCTCAGTGCAGCAGTCACCCCTGCGTCTCAAATTGTCCTCAGTGGAGTGCAAAAGGAATGGGGTGAGAAGTGCAGCTGAATGGAAAAGTGGGCTTGGATCTTGGGTGGGGAAGGCAAAAAGATGTGGCTCTGTCACCACAGGCCTCACAAGGCACAGGAGGACTGGGGTAGGAAACTGTGCCAGGGCAAATAGTGCTCTAAAAACAACAGGTCAGAGAGAAGAGGGAAAAGTGGAAAATCACACCTGAAAAAAAGGAGAGTGAATTCTTCTTTACAAAAACATTTGTCAGGCCTTTACCCAAGATTCTCCATATTCACAGCACAGTTGTCACGTCTGCTGTGGCCCTCATAGCTACAGCAGTAGCAGGTGCATTGAAAAGGACTGTACTGGTTGCAAAGAGCTTATAGCCCCCTTTACAGGAAGCACTGAAGATCCCACAAAGCAGGCAAGACCAGCTTCATTTGGGGGGTGGAGCAGCTTGTCTACCGACACCCCGCCCACAGTCAGTGCCATGATGCCACAAGCCATGAGAGGGAAGGCGTGTGTGCGCGTGTCCCACCCTGACCTCTCCCTTACTGCTCTTTTTTTTAGGGAGCAGCCTAAGGGCTAAAATGTTGATCTACCCATCTCTCTAATTTTGCTGAGTCGAGTTACTGCTTTGTGTTGGTGCACTGGACTGCAATGACTGTGGCTTCAGCTGCTGCGCCTGGGCTACACCAAATGACAGCTCTAATACTGAGTCACACAATTTTGCCCAGAAAAGTACAGCCCTCCAGAGTCACAGGCTGCAAAGGTACAGCTAGACCACCTCCAGTGTACAGGTTTTCTCTGCCCTGACTGCCAGCCTTTGGGAGCCAACTCAGTTGAAATGTTCACATCACTTCTATGCATGGTGACAAAGGGGTCCTCCCCAAGGAGTCACAGCCCTGCTCACAAATCTTATCCTTTGGCCTTTGTGCCCCACTAAGAAGACATTACTTACCAGTGAGTCTGTTTCCTGTGTATTTTTGCAGAGATGGGTAACAAAAGAATAAAAGGGAAAGTGGTGTAAAGGAAATAACACTTGGGTTAAACTTTCAGTGTGATATGAATGATATTATGAACCAAACATTAGTCATCAGATATCAAAACTCACATAAGTGACATTAACTGTCAGAAGTCCTCTTGAAGGGAGAGGAAGGAAATGAATCACTTCTTGACCTCATGTGTAAGATCAATTAGATCTTCCAAGGACATCTTTGAATGGAGGCCTCACCATTATTTTGAGTGAGGTGCAGTCCATGTCTAGATTTAGGGCAATGAAGAAACTACTCAAGACCTTCTAATTGGCACATGGCTGGGAGTCAGTCACCTCTGACCAGCTCTGAGCTCAGATGAACCGGGCTGCCACTCAACACTCTAAAAGTTCAAGAGAATCTAGTTCAAAGGGAAGTCTCATCAATAAATGGTTCTGGGAAAACTGGACTACCTCACACAAAAGAATGAAACTAGATTACTACCTCCTAGCCATGCATAAAACTCAACTCAAAATGTAAAAGACAAAATATCAGAAAAAAAAAATAAGTACAACATTCTATGACATAAACATCAGAAACACCTCTGTGCAGTCATCTCCAGAAGCAAAGAAAATATGATAAACACCTGGGACTATACCAAACTAAGAAGTTTCTGAACAGTAAAAGAGTCAGTAAGAGTCAAAATGAAGAGATACCCCATTGACTGGGAGAAAATACTTGCACATAATACAGCTGATAAGGGGCTGATATCGAAGATCTGCAAAGAGCTCAAACAACTCAACCAACAACCCGATCAAAAAAATGAGAAGAACCAAATAGCCGTTTATCCACAAAAATATGCAAATGGCTAACGAGCGTATGAAAAAATGTTCATCATCCATTATAAGGAAAATTCAAAAGAAAACAACAATGAGGTATATACCTCACACCCATGAGAATGGTCCCTATTAAAAAAACAGAAAAATATTTTTTGCCATTTTGCCACCTCCCTGGTGGTGCAGTGGGTTAAAGCACAGCAATAAGAAGCTAAAGCCACATCAGCATGAGTTTGATCCCCACCCTGGAGGTGACCAGCAGACCTCTCCTGACCTGCCGCTGCTCCCCTCAGCAGTGTACTTTGTCGATCTGTCTGTTCTGCTCCTCACTCTTTCTTTGGTGAATCCTCTCACTGCCCCTGCACCTCTGGCCTGTACTCCAGTTCTGTATGCATAAAATAAATGATAAAAAAAAAGTGCTAGCATGGATGTAGAGAAAAAGGAACCATCTTACACTGTTGGTGGGAGAGTAAACTAGTACAGCTACTATGGAAATCTGTGTGGAGGTTCCTCAAAATACTCAAACCCAGCCATTCCAATCGTAGGAATCTACCTAAAGAATTCAATAACACTAATATGACAGAAAACCTACACTCCTGTTTATAGCAGCACTCTTTAAAATAGCCAAGATATGAAAACAACTTAAATGTCCCAAAACATACAACTAGATCAAGAAGGTGTGGTATATGTGCACAATGAAAATACTACTCAGTGATCAAAAAATATATATCATGCCATTTGCAGCAATATGGATGGAGGTGGATGGGATTATGTTAAATGAAATAAGAAAAGAGAAAAATGAATACAGGCTAGTTTCACTCACATGTGGAATATAGAGAAACCAGAGGGTCAGACAAAAACAAACCTTGAAATTTGACCATAGATATGAAATATCCATGAGGGGATCTAGGGAGGAGTGAAAAGTGGGGGTGAGCTGAAGAGCACAAAGGAATACAGTGATGGACTATGGGTACTTTGGTGATAGGAGAAGTACTGTGGCTGTAACTGAGAGAAGAAATCACATATTGTCCAAAAATGAAATTTAAAAAAAACAAAAAACAAAAAACCAAGAAACAATTACTCTAGTTCAAGCACAACAAGTTCCCAAATTGCAAGTTATGCTTTGGCACTAATGTTCTCCCTTGAGTTTTTCTCTCCTTTCATGGAAGTTTCTTAAACATCCATTATGTTCTTCACACTCCTTTTCTCAGCCTCTCTAGTCTCTCGGGCAAATGTGCATTCGCACATTTTCACGGTGCATTATTTTGCCCGCTAAATATGCATTAAATCCAAAATGCTGTCATTGGAAGCAGCATGGCAGGCCTGCGGGAGTCTCAGTCTCATTCTCTGGGCCCTACTGGGACCTGTCACATTGGACCTGCCTGTTTGGCAAGCACTTCTTGACAATGCTAAGAGCTTGGACAGGGTCTTTAAATGTCTCTTTTGAGCTTCTGCTAAGAGATTTGTTTCTCAAACTGTCAAGCTCTGAAAAGACCAGAAGTAGCAGTCAAGGAGAAAGTGCGCTGAGAGATAACTCAGAGCATTTCACATATAAGGACTGTTGACCATCATCAGAGCCCTATCTGTAAGTCACGTACAATCACGAATCTAGTACTCTCAGAGAAACAGGAGTGAGGAAACTCATGACTGACACATGAAGGGAGGGACTTCTCAGGAGGGTGTGGCCATTCTAATGCATTATTAGTCATACCTCAGGACAACACTTGTCTGGGACAGTTTATCACAATGGACAAAGAGATATTTGTAGTGTTATGACTTTAAAATGCTACAGTTACTTGAATTTAGATCAAGTAAGTACAAATCATTGCTCAATGTGGAGGCTTGTACAGAAGCTTGACACCAATCCTTTGACAACCACTCATATCTCCTGAACCATAAAGTAAATCTGACTACAGTTCACAGAGGGTGGGAAAGAATAAGTCTGCTAGTCACTTCAGACAAGAGGGAAACCAAACAGGGTGGAAACAAATGCAAAGTACAGTAAGTCCTCACTTAACACCTTTAAAAGAGCCTTGGAAACTGCAACTTGAAGCAAAATGATGTTATAATGAAAACCATGTCCTCAAAGAACGTTGTTTTGTACAACATCAGCCAAGACAGTTCTTTTCTTGTCAAAGTTATCATGAAGTGATAGTGAATGAAACAGATTATTCAAAGGCCTGCTATTCTGTAAGAGTCAACCACTCAAAGGTAGTGGGGAACTGGCACCATTTCTGTATCTCATGTTCCAAAGAGAAAGCATGAGAGCATATATGTAGGATACTAAAAACAACAGTGACAGTAGCAGTGTCACACATGGTTTTAAGATGAGACTTGTTTGGATGTCTCTTTCAATCCTCACGATAATCCTCATGGGGAGTACTATGAGCTGGAGTATCTGCCTTAACTTTCATTTATATGGCCTTTCTTAGTTAAAGACCCATTCATCCACTGAAAAAGGGAAAAGAACAGAATATTTTTAATAAGAGGTTCAATTTAAAATGTTTGCCAACATTAAACTCCAAATGTGAGCCTTGATGTTAAACCTTCTTGAATTTTCTAGTACAAGGTCTGTAAAATTTTTTCTGTAAAGGAATAAGAAGGGTAAGTATTTTAGGCTTGTGGCCCACACAGTTTGTCAGAATCATTCAACTCTGTCACTGTAATGTGAAAACAGCCATAGACAACATGTGAATTAATGTCATGGCTGCAGTCAATAAAACTTTATTTATAAAAGGAAAAAAAAAAAGACTTGGCCCTCAGATTCTAATGCATCGTTATAATCTCTAGTAACAACATTCCACACTTCAGCAAGAACAAAAGCCTGCAACTGGGGTAACTACAGGCAAATAAATGAGGAGAAAATGTGGAGCTGTTAAAAATGATTTTTGTCGGCCCTCCCTGGCTGCGCAGCGAGTTAAAGCACAGCACTGAGAAGCTAAAGCCACTTCCGCATAAGTTCGATTTCCGCTTGCCCGGGAGGTGACCACATGGCGTGGCAGACCTCTCCTGAAACGCAGTGTACTTCGTCGATCTGCCTGTTCTGCTCCCCACTCTGTCTCTGGTGAAGCCTCTAGCCGCCCCTGAGCCTCTGGCCTGTACGCCAGTTCTGTATGTACAAATAAAATCTTAAAAAAAAAAAGATTTTTGTCTTTGAAGGGTGGAAGAAAATCACTTAATATATCCTGTTATGTCTATTAAAATGGAATTGACTAAAACAGCTCAGAGTAAACAACTCATTTAGCCAACAGTTTTTATGGATGAATATTATATATATATATATATATATATATATAATATTTAGTAACTTCCAAATAAATTCACATGTAAGGGCAGGCCCAGGACTCTATTTTGGGATAGTTAAGTCTGTCTATTCAGAATGTAAGAAGAGAAGAAAAGGGGGACATTAACAGAAAACTGGTAGTATAGCTGTCAGGAAAAATAACCAACAAGAAATAAATCTATGACATCTTTAATCATCAAAGTTAATGTTTTTTAATCCTCTTTGTTGGACCATCGTCCTGATCTCATGGGGTAGACAGCATAGTTCAAGCCCAGGCACTCATCCTAGTAATTAGTCTGAGGGCTGATAACCCATTTCAGAGCCTGTGGATAGAAACATGCTGGGTCAAATGCTTAGGGAATGTATATTAAAAGAAAGCCCCAAACAAGAAAAGGTCCACATCTCTAATGCTTGGTTTCAAATTATTTAAGATGTAAGCTTTCCAAAACTGAAGAGTTAATATCTGCCCTTGAGATTTTCTTCTAGAGAAGTTCTATTCACTTTAACAAATTGAGAATAATTTCTGCTTTGCAAAAAAATAAGAACAAAACACAGACAGCAACAACCAACCCTCCTAATATATGTACTGCTTTGAATAAGGGAAAAAAATCCAAACATTATTGTCATACTGTGTTGTAGTCATGTTCTACATCAACTAACAGATGTTTCCCTGAAAAAAACAAACAAAACACAAACAAAAACCTCAGAGAGCTCCACATAGACATTATTTTCTGCATATTAGCAAAATTATAACATGTGTTCTAACCTGTTCCCAGTCTCTCCAGGGGATTCTGCCTGAGAAGCAAAGTTATCAGATCCTGGGCATCGGGTGGTGGAGCCTCATCCTTCTCAGGCCAATTGATTTCATCTGAAAGAAATGTCACTTACAGATTTATTGCTCAAAAGCTGGCCCATGTCCCAACGTATGGACATTACTGGGAAGTTGACAGCTATGCAGGATTTCAAGCCCCACCCTTGACCTTCTGAAACAGAATCTCTTACTTAACAAGATAATCAGTTGATTTCGAGGTATAAACAAGTTTGGGGAGCATTCCAAGATAGGGTCAGCACTGCTCTTCATAGGGAAGGAGAGAAATTTCAGTAAACAGTATCTTTCATTTGCTTTTATGATTCATCTTTGTTTAACAAAATTAGGTTACAACAAATTGCTCCTTGCAGTTATTAAGAGAACTTAATATAGTGGAAACTCTAACACCTGTGCTTCAGATGGCTGCCCATCCAGAAAAATATGAGAGCGAAATTTTCTCTCCTACAATCTTCAAGCAGAATTCGGGCACAGCCACAGTTTATCACCTCTGAGAAAAAAAAAAATAATTTTTAAAAAATAACACATCCCACAGACAAAGGTGAAAATGCTAAGACTGAAGAAGAAAAAAATGCAAAGTAATCATAGTAATGGAAGTATTTAAAATCTGTCATAAATATTAGAAAACATTCTGCATTCTAAAGGAGTTTGCCTGGAGATAGGTATGTGTGCTTGTGCGTATGAAGATGCAATAAAAACACGAGTTATTTTTACATGTGCCTGCCTCTAGCTTCCTCTAGTGCAGTTTAAATCTGATTTGGAAAATAAAACATGAATATGCATCTGAGCCGTAAGGCATCAAGAACAAAAGCCAGCATTTGCTGCTTGTGTTAATTAAACAGTTGATTCCTCTTGCCATTCAAGCCTTGAATATCAGAAAACAGCCTAGTTATAAATCCATAAATAGCTCAGATATTGTATAAAAAGGTTATAAACTGCAGGCAACTTACAAATCTACTTTGTTAAAGTTCACAAAAAAAAAAAAAAAAAAAGCCTGGCTTCACAGTCAATGATAGAAAATAATGCTGTGATTAAGGAACTCCTCACTTTATTCTGAATTTACTCCCTATTTCCACCACTGGATTTTTTAGAATGGACCAGTAATGGGTGGTGAAGGTGTCAGTGATGACTGGCAAACTTTAGGAAGAGGCACCTTTTTGATCTATGCATGGAGAAATTTATAAAAACAGCAGGTACAATAGTAATAGAGCCTATTTAATTATCATTTAGTTTTGCCACAAGCCACATAACAATAGTCAGGGTCAGCATACAGGTTAAGATCTAAAGGTTATTGAATTTTAAATGAAAGATGAACAGCTGTTACAGAAATAACATTACACCATAACAACCACCAATGAAATCATTAACAATCTGTGGATTAAATTTGCTTCCTTCCCATTCTCATTATTTATTATTTGGTAGACATTTGTTGTAGGGTTATTACATTTTTGTTAATTTCTTCATTGTGCCATTAGCCATTTTTCCCATTTATGTAAATGTTACCCACATTAACCTTTTCTTCCCTGTTGTAACTTTCCTATTATGGAAAGGAAGACTGGACGATGAAATCATTTGCAACCTCCAATTTCTTTTGCAGAAAAAGCACACATACAAGTTGGTTGCATTGCCAGTACAGTTCAAAATTCCATGTTAACAGAACTTTCTCAGATCAATTTTCAACACAAATTGTTCTCTTGAGATTGTGAAAGTCAGTTATGTGCTATGATGACTGAATTTTTTTAAGTTGTTTACTAAACTGTTAGAAAAAGGTTAACATTAAAACCCTGGTGCTCTACAGAATTACATTAAATAGAGGCTTCCCAATAGTGGCTTAAAGATAACTCCTGATGATATTTACCACTGATGACTTGTCCAAATAGCTCTTCTGGAGTGTCCCCAAAGAACGGCACGCATCCAACCAGAAATTCATAGAGGATAATCCCCATGGCCCACCAGTCCACGGGCTTTCCATAACCCTGCCTCAGAATCACTTCTGGTGCAATGTATTCAGGTGTGCCACAGACCTAAAGATGATTGCAGTATTAGAATAATTGGAGTATTAGACATGAATTACAATGAGAAAGAGGACTAAATGCCAATTATTTTGCCCAGAATGCACCTGCTCAACTACCCGAAACCACATGGACAAAGAATTCAAAACTGGAAGTCAGCATCTCTGGTATCAAATACCAAAGAAGAGACTCTTAAAATGTTGCTCCAACATTAAACAATGTGAAATACATAATTTCAAACAGAATTTGATCCTGTTTTATAGTTTTAACTTACATTTTAAAAATCTGCAATCTTAAATTGAAAATAACAATGCATTTTTTATCTATCACACTCAGAGATAGTTTAAATATTTATATGACCAAAATATATTCTCACCCTGCTTACTTTATAAAAGCATGACAGTTGAGATGTGTTTACCTTAAGTAACTTTACAATGAACAGATTGTGGGCACATGGTAATGAGGCATGCTGAAAGGGAAATGGGCCATGGCTGGAATTCTAGCACCCGTGATTGTATGATGCATTGTGAGTTTCACGAGTACTCTACTGAGACTCCTGAATTCCTTACAAAAACAGTTTTCCATTTGTCTCTCTCACACTTTCACTTACGTGCAATTAGATCGTTTGTCTTGCTAATAGACCATAATGCTGGGGGAGGAATGTGGGTGAGCAGACAATTCAAAGAGGCCCAGGGAGAAAAATGGATGCAATTTGCACTTTATTAAAAGTACGGCTGATATGGACATCTAAACCCTCAGCCTAATGTGAAGATGGCCTACACAAATTGATGTCAAATTTCATTGACAATATCCTTCTTTGTATTTCTCTGAAGATCCAAACAGCATGCAAGCTTACCTGTTTGTCCAGGAATTCTCGAGCATCCTTCTCAATATGACCCTCATAAAGATTGGTAGTCATGCTCATTAGTCCCACCTTGGATAATCCAAAGTCTGTCAGCTTTATATGCCCCATGGAGGTGACCAGTAAACTAAGAAGCAGAAGGATATACATTAAAAAACTCACTCTGGAGCTTATTCTTTTTTTCAGCTTTCTCCCTCCCTCTGTCATTTTTAAAAGAATGTTTACTATATTGTCATCAAACTTATTACAAAGCCCAACCTGGGAAGAGACAGAGTCAAAAGAATTTGTGAAATATTTGCATCCCTGGTAGCTGAAAATAGTATACAATAATTCACAAAGCAGGGCCAGAGACCAGGCCCAAGTCCTCTCTGCTGCAGTAGCCACACACAGTAGTTTTCACAACCTGAAACCCTCTAAAAAATTCAAGTATGAAAATGCGATATCCTCCCATTTTCAGAAAAGAGAAGGGGATACCAATAATCTCACATTACACAACAGATGAGACCTGAGGTAACAGACAGATAATATATTGTTTGAGATTTCAACTTAAAGCTCAAATTTAAATATCTCTTATTAAGTACCAAACCTACACTTCTTATGCACATGCAAAGTATTCATATGTGGCAGCATTTTGAATTTATTATTTAAAAACTTATATTGAATTTATAATTTCAATAAAAATTTAATTAATTAAAAATGGAAGGCTAACAGAGGAGTCAAAAAATAAATATGCCAAAATTCTAGTAGTTGTCATTGTTTAGGTAATATATGACTGAAATTTTTTAGTATTTTTCTGTATTTTCCAATTTTTTTGGAATGAATATGAGTTAATTTTATTGTAACATTTACAGCACAATTTGAAACCTTCACACAATCTGTAAGGCTTGAGAGACATTTCAAATTAGAGGAGAATACATGAAAAATTTAATAAATTGTGTCAAGATGAATAGCTTGTCATTTGGGGAAAGATAGTCTATATCTCAAATAAAACACCAAAATGAATTCAACATTGATTAAAAATTAAATAAAAAATTAAATTTTGAGTAAAAAAGACTATAATATCAAATATATTATCTTGAAGTATGAATTATGTAAGTATAATACCAAATATACAGAAATTATCCAGAGAACAACTAGCAGCTTGGCTAGCGACATGGCTATTCAAAGTTCACACAATTGAAAAAAAAAACTTAAAAAAATTAACTAATCCTGGCTTCATGATAAGCATCTTTTCTTTTATATTTTTATAAACTATCATGAGCATCATTGCCTGTAAGGGATTAGATTTTAAAAATCTCTATACATACATGCTGTTAAAAAATTCTCTATAGTATCTCCAAATGAGTCATTTTAATTGTGCCATATCAGCAGTAAAGTGTTTTTATTTACATCAGACAACTTTCTGAATGGTATGGAAAAACAAAAAACGTTTCATCAGTGTACATACTTATCCGGCTTCAAGTCTCTGTGCACAATTCCATAATTATGTAGATACTCCAAGGCCAGGACAGTTTCAGCAAAGTACATTCTAGCCATATCAACAGGGAGAGGACCCATGTTCTTCATTAAAGTAGCACAGTCACCTCCTGTAAAACATAAGAGAAGATGTAGCAGGAGCAGGTTTTGGTCAGGGTGAAGGAGGATTATGAGTTTCAATTACAAGATTTCAAAGTGGAATATGACTCTACTCACAGACATGGTATATCATAGTCATAGCTGGAAACCAAGTTAAATGATCACCTTTCTCACAAATTGAGAATAATTCCAGCATAATTTCAGAAATTTGGTAACAATTTAACAAGCACAAGTATAAATTGTGAATTCTGGAATCAGGTTTCCTGAGTTCAAATCCTAGCTCCGCTTCCTGCCACAGAGATCTCTAAGCCAACCTAGTCTTAATTATTTTCATCTGTGATATCAAGATAGTAATAGTGGCATCCCTTTCAGAACACTGTGAAGATTATATGAGTTAATCTACATAACAAAATTAGGCTACTGCCAACACATATTAGACATGTGATAAATGCTAGTTACTGTAAAAATAACCACAACAAAGGTCAGCGCAATGTGTTGGTGTAGTTAAAAGAACAATGGGTGGGAATCAGACTGGCTATGTATATGTCTTAAATCCACCACTAAATATGTGGTAACTCTCCACTCACCAGTAAAATAAAAAGGTCAAACTAAAAACATTTAATGTTTCTTCAAGTTTTATAGTTTTGGGATTCTGTTAGAACAACTACAAGAGCTTAAATTACATGCTTTAAAAATCATTTTGGCTCTTGCTGCTCTATTTTTCACTAACTTGTTTATGTTAATAAGTCATGGAAACGAAAATACACAGAAACAATGTAAAATTGTGGAAAGAAGATTACTTGGAGCATTTAAAATGCCAAATTTCTTAAAATATTTCCTGTCTCCTAACTCATTTTTATTTTCATACCATAAAGCAAAAATGATACATTTTAACTTGTTCTTTAAAAAGATGAATTGTAATCAAGTGTTCATGATAGTATGTGATAAAAGCAAGTATGAAAAAATCCGTCACCTATAACTTTAGTGAACAACTGAAGGCAGTTAATACTAGAGGTTATTAAAGAGAAAAACAACCTTTTCCAAATAGCTCTAATTTCCCCCTTGTTATAGTAGAATAGGCACTTTACAAGCAATTATCAGAAGATAATGACTGGGAATACAGCCATCTCATTGCCTGGCTTCAGTTCCTAGGTAGATACAACCATTATGTGGCATGAATACAGAAAAAAGTTCCAAAGTAAGGGCTTCTGGGTACTGGTGTCATGTTTCTGTGGCACAGACTGGCTTACCTTCCACATACTCCATGACCATGCACAAATGGCGCCTTGTTTCAAAGGAGCAGTACATGCTGACCACAAAGGGATTCTCTGCAAAAGTGAGGATATCCCGTTCCACAAAGGCCTGCTGGATCTGGTTTCGGAGGATGAGGTTCTGTTTATTAATCTTCTTCATGGCAAACCTCTGTCGGGACTCTTTATGCCGAACAAAATAGACTGCCCTGAAGAAGAGCACAAGAGATGGGTTTCATGGAAAGAGAGGATGCTTCTGGGCAAATGATACCTATGATAATCAGGTTTTTTAAAATTCACATGTCAGCCAGAATTTAGCTCACACCAATGACATGGACAGCTACAAATACCTCATTCCCGATGAAAGGTCACAGGATATTTTATTTTTTTAAAGATTTATTTAGTTATGCATACAGAACTGGGGTACAAGCCGGACGTTCAGAGGTGGTGAGAGACTTCGCCAGAGACTGAGTGGGGAGCAGGACAGGCAGATTGGCGAAGTACACTGCTGAGGAGAGCAGTGGGTGGGTCAGGGGAGGTCTGCCATGCCATGTGAATCACCTCCAGGGAGAGGATCGAACTCACACTGAAGCAGCTATGGCTAACTTACAGTGCTGAGTCCTAACACATTGTGCCACCAGGGAGGGCCCCATAGGTCATTTTAAAGTATCAAAGTCATCTTCACTGGCAAAGGGAGAGAATGGACAACCTCCAGAGTGAGCTATTTTCCAAGTGCTGGCTTATGTTTTCAGTTTTTCCACAGACAAAATTCAATGTTTAAGTCAGAACAAGAAAGAATTAACAAAAGTGCATACACATAACAAGCCTGAACGTGCCCAGCATAAACTAGGGCAATTTGCTGGACTGACTGAAGCAGTACTTTTCTATATGACATCCTTGGGGGCCTGCAAAAGGGACCATGGCTTCTTACAGATGTTGGTTTCCAACTTGATAGTAATTTATTTTCCCTGAAATTTCCAGATAAATGAGAAGTACGTAATAGGTCGTTAAGTGATCTCTTGCAACAGGATGCTTATTTCCTCAATATAGAACTTCTAAGCTACACTTATGCCTTTTCCAACAGGAAACACATTTCCCAACATTAAAGGGCCAATGATACAGTACATTTCTGCTCCATCCAATCCACAGCCAAGGCACGGGCATCTTACTTGTGCAATGAACTAGCTGCACTGAATCTGTGAAAAGTCTTACCCAAATAGTCTTAAGAATCTCTTCTGTGCAAAATGATGTAAAAATAAACTTTTTAATAAAAAAAAATTAAAAAATTAAAAAAAAAAATCAAAAAAAGAAAAAAAGAAAAAAGAATCTCTTCTGGCTGGGTAATAGGTACTTTGAAGCTTCAAGTAATGTGGAGAAAAGAAGTAATCAGTTACTTCTTTAAACGCCACATAGAAGGTTAAGCAACAAGAAAAATTTATTTGCTTATACATCTCTGATATGTTACTCCTTACTTTTCATTATCATGGGAAAACAAGTTTGAACTCTCCGGTTAGGCAATGCTTAAATAAGTAATAATTTACTTAAAGAGCCATCAATCATTTGAAGTGTATAACAGGTTAAATGAGGCTGTCCTGCAACAAATGCAATGATCAAATAAGTAATAATTTACTGAAGAAGCAATCAATCACAGTAAAGGCTACCCAATAGCCTGCCTAAATGGAGTGTTTTGGAAATTACTGATAAATGTGAGTATAAAACTCCTCTTCGTTTAGTATGGCTGAGTTTTCTAAAAATTGAGGAAATAATAAAAATCTAGATTCCTATCTTTAAGATGCTTCAACATCTATTCTTTCACTTTCAGAAAAATTAAAAGTGGAAAACAGAAAAACAGAGTAAGTATGCCAATACTGCCTCCCTAAAATAGTCTTACATTAAAAACTAGTAAATTTATAAATATTTAGGTTAAATTAAAATGTTAAAAGTATGTAGCATTTCTAATAATTTCCTTATTTGATCAACTTTTTAAATTAACTAACCCAACCACTCATTCTTTGTGAGTCAGATTAAAGGCTTTGACAAGAATTTTAAAATAAGTAAATCTTTAAAAAAAATAAAATGAAATGAAACTTAGAATTTAAAGATTAAACATACAAAAAACAGTGTCTACATAGAGTCAACTGGAATATAGTTTACTTTGCATCCTTTCAATATTCAGTAAGTTTTGTACTAAGGTACCTCAGTCAAACAGTATTATGAACTTCACTTTAGACTGTGAGAGGTTTGCATACTGATTTTTGATCAAGCATCACCATTTCTTGCATAAATAGCTATTTAGTATGTTTGAGGACAATAAGAAATGAAGGAAAAATAGAATTGTATGTGATTTTATGAAAGAACAAAAGAGAAGGAAGTCTCCAGCTGAATTAGACCAGTATCTGAACAGGTTTCTCTGTGTCACTATGTAAAAACTGAACTTCAAGCTTTACTTTCAGATTTTTCAATTCAGTCAATTTGATTTGACTTTCTCTTTTCCCTTGCCAAAGTGTACTTAATCAGTTAATCCTCAGAGAAAGGTACCTAAACCACTGGAAATTAATCCTATACATAGCTTAAGATACCACTGCCTCAGGACACGTATCTTGATCAACTTGCAAAAGTAAACTAGACTTCTTAATTAGAATTTGCTGTTGCTGGATTTTGTTTATGTTCTCCATTTTCACATTTCTGTACCACTTTGAGAATACTGATGCTGAAATTTCTTTACATAGTAATGACTGTCTCTCACATACTCTCACATGTTCTGAACATGTCTCTTACATGTTCTGAACTTGACTGAGTAAGAAGGAAGGGGGAGGGAGAGAAAGAAAAACAAGATAGAGACAAACAGCAACCGGCAGACAGACATTCAACACTGTTAACCGGAGTTGTAAACCTCCTCAGGTTATAAAACTGAACTTAACTGATTCAGCCTCACATTTCTGTGCTTTCTGGCCCCAAGGGTTGCTTTCTTTGAAAAGGCTGCTTCTGTCTCTTTTTCTTGAACTGGCCTCCCTGTGAAAAACTCAAGGGTGGGTGGTGATGTGGGGGGAAGGGCAACTGGGGACCCTTGTTCTCTCTGAGCCACGCTTCACTCCACCCATGCAGAACTGAGATGTGTGCTACGGAGGTGGGGGAAGAGTGGGGGAAAGAAGTGGCATCAGAAACTGACAGGATCTAAAGCAGAATGAATCAGTCCTATCATGAGGAGTATGAATGTCTAATGCGTATAAAATTATGCATGAGTCTGAGAGTGCAATACATGAATCCGTGTGAGTAAATCTGCATGTGGAAATGAGAGTGCACGTATGTGTTAGCAGAAAGCCAAGAGAAAAGGCAATCTAGGGCGAGAGCCTGTGGGGGTGGGGTGTCTGTCAGCTTGCACACATGGATGTCTCAGGTAAATGACTGTATCCTTTTCCAAGTAAACGAAGACAACATGCACAGGACTGGAAAGTAAAACAGGAGGGGGAAAACATGTGCCTGTCAAATTTAAGTGTTTTTCTTTCTTTTTATTTTTTAAAAATCTTCAACCAGGTTAATTCTTTTATTTGAAAATGTTCAGAGTTGTTATTACAAAACTCAGATGTGAATGCTCAAAGGAAGGACTCCTATTATCTCAATGAAGAGGGCTGAACGTTCTAACAACAGAATGCTGGCAAACATTTCGTCTGGGACCAGAGTATCTGCGGCTGTGCCTCTGAGCCTCTTTCCTCTCATCTCGGTGGAAGTCATATCACTAGTGACCACACAGAGTTCCTGTGAGAAGTGAATATAAGAAACCTGTGCGGTACCTGGCACAAAATGAGGGCTGGCTTTCAACAAAGTGCTAAACTGGCATGCAGGGGCCCAGGTCAGGGATCTGAGACTTGCTAAACAGAGGAAAAAGTTGGATGTACATCAGATTAGCAAACTGGCTTTATCACATGAACTGTTGCAAAGTATAATTTCAGCAAAACCATGACATCTTACAGTTCTGGGTGAGTTTCCAGCACCACCCATTTTCTAGAAATCACAGATTTTGACACTGAAGTCACTGAAATGAGCAGCAGACGCTGCCTCAGATACCTATGAAAGCCTCTTTTGGCCCAGAGAGTGGCCCATTGCTGTAGCCCATTCGAACAAGCCTGCAATCGGCCTCTTGACTGAGGAGACCAAAAATTGTGGCTCCTTTCAAATTTCAAATTAAAAATAATTAAAACAGAGAGGAAATCTGCCACAAATGTAATGAGAGATTAAATCTGAGAACAGCAAAAGAGAAAAAAAAAAGTTTTGGCTGATTGGCAAAGGTTCCCGCAGGCAGCTTGTGAGCCTATTAATGACTTGGCCTGCGTCCTGGGTGTTTACTGATTCACAGCTTGTTTAACTTCTTGTATATTCCCAACCATTCCCCAAAGTGTGATATACCTCGTCTACTCTACAGTGGTTTAATTGCACTACAAATGAGTTTACTCAACCAATTAGAACTCCAAACACTGCGAAGATATATGCTCAAGTTTTATAAAAGTGGTACTTCGGAGACAATCCTATTCCAGAAATCCATCCCCAATAAAATATAGCAGTGCTTTAAGGCACAAAACCATTTAAGTCAAAATTCAGTCTTCTCCCTAATGAAGAAATTCTCAGATGAATTCCAAAACTAAAAGAAACTAATAGGTAGGTAAAGCCTGCAAACAACTGAACACTAAAACAATTTTCCTAGGCAGAATAGTTTCAGTAAGATCCTTGAAGGAAATAAAATGTTGCCAAAATAAAACATCAGAAAGCATTTATAACCCATACCAGGTAATATACCATTTGACATAATCCTGAAAATGAATCGGTGAAGCAAAGAAAGGACTCACAAATACTTAAGTTCTTCACTGAGTTAATGGTGTGGAAAATATTAGAGGTTAAAAAAAAAATTGTAAAGAGAGCCCTCCCTTGTGGCACAACAAAAACCACTTTTCCCTCATCTGCTCATGTGTGTGATAAATGGCAATAAATGTCGACGGGATTGTTTATTGCTCTTCATAGACAGATGGAATTGGGATTAATACTTAATTAAACCAGAGTTCTGGGCTGTCTAAAAAAGATCAGGACAAAGTTTGTATATTAATTATCCTCCCAAAGTTCTATTAGTAACTTAGAAGGATCTTGTCACACTGCAAACCTCTGCCACGACAAAGAATCACATGTCTATACAAATGGGTCATATAACACATGCCACCAATGTGAGCAGATATAGCATGGAGCACAACTGAAAATCAATCCTGCTGTAACAGAAAGACCAAGAGAAATGTATTACTCTAAATTTCAACTATTCTGGTTAAGTATTCTCTACAAGGCTGACTACTAACTAGAGGTCTGGTAAGAGATAGTATTAAGTAGTAAAGTCATGTGTGAATGCATATACTTTCATATTATTCATATACATTCACATGCCTATACATAAGTGTATGTACATACATGCATACAAACACACACATGCATGCATGCATCTATGTGTGTGTGTGCATACATACACCCATAAAAAAAACAGATGTGTGTGTGTGTGTGTGTTGGGTAGGGGTGTGGGGTTGTCAACCAAAAGCCAGGTACTTTTGAATCCAAACAGTAGAATAATAAGAAGCAGAAACAGTTACAGATAAAATTTTTCCTTCACTTTATAGACCCTTCTTCTCTGACCCTTTCAGATGACTGTCAGATCATTGCATAGTTTCCTGATAGGATATCCAGTGAAAAATGATTGTGGCTATAGTTTATACCCATCAATAAAGGAGCAGTTATTTGAAAAGTAAAGGTATGATACAACATCTGTTTGGCATTAGGTAAAGGTGAAGAATATATTACTCAGGTGTGTTAAAATACAAGAGTTTCTTAAATTACTTACCCATAGGCTCCATTGCTAATCAGTTTAATAGTTTCGAAATCACTTTCCCGAGGTTTCCTTCGAAGTTTCAGGGAAGCATTAGAGCTCTTGGAAACAAAATTTGGGAGTTAACAATTGGTTGAAAATTCAAGAAAATGATTTTAACAGCTAAATAAAAATATTCACATTACATGCTCTGTTATTTAGTGAGAAGTGCAGTATTCCAATCAAAGAAATCCAGGGGACCATTTTCTGGATCAATTTCCCAGAGCAGTGCTGCGAAACTACTTCTCATGTCATGGTCCCAGTTTCATGTAAATGAGCCCACAGTTCCAGAAGATAAAGGCACCAAGTTTTGAAAATCCCAAACTGTAATCTACCTTTGTAAACTATCAGATAAGCTTCATGTTAGCTTTTTTTTTTTTTTAAGATTTATTTATTTGTGCATACAGAACTGGGGTACAGGCCAGAGGCTCAGAGGCAGTGAGAGGCTTCACCAGAGACAGAGTGGGGAACAGAACAGGCAGATCGACGAAGTACACTGCTGAGGGGAGCAGCGGGTGGGTCAGGAGAGGTCTGCCATACCATGTGGTCACCTCCGGGGCAGGCGGGTATCGAACTCATGCAGAAGTGGCTTTAGATTCTCAGTGCTGTGCTTTAACCCACTGTGCCACCAGGGAGGGCCCATGTTAGCTTTTTACAATTTTGAGACCTAAGTCCAAAATATCAAATGTTCTGGTTTCACTCAGTCAGAAAAGAATGGGTTGCAGTGATTTTTCAAGGGCTGGTGAGAGATGTGGTTTCTCATTCCCTGGCCTGAGTGTGTATGTCTGTTCCTGTGACACCCTTTCTTGTCTGGAAGAGGCAATCATCAATGACCAGGACACTTGCGCATAGAATGCTGGCCACACATTTTCCCATGGCTCCTATTTTAACTTTCAACAAGTTTAGTTCACAGTGTAGGAAGAAACAAAGTGTGCAATACAAAATATTCTTTCCTACCTCATAAGTATTTTAGAACTGAGTAACAGACTCTTTGTTCCCTCTGCACAGACCAAAACTCCTTTCTTGTAAGTTGGAAGAAACCCCAGGACTCTGGGATATGTGTCACCCTCCCCAGCTTGGTGCTGTCATCTGCTGAGCTGCTGCACAACTCAACTTTGAAGCTTGGGCACCCACATAGTCCCACATATCTCTCTGCCCAAATTCTTTCGCTATCTGGGTCATTTTTGTGTCTATAGAAATAATTCACCCAAACCCTTGGCCCCCGGGTTACTGGATCTCCCAACTCAAACAACCATCTCTTTCCTCTGTCAACCCCTGGTCTTTGACCACAGGACCTTGATCTAGTCATTATCTGCCATTACCCCAAGACTGGGACCACTTGTTCAACTAACCTCACAGGGACTTCTCTCCACAGCTTTGATCTGCAGGGCCCTACACAAGGCCTTTTGGTCTCACTAATACTTCCCTTCCCCAGTGAGCTCACTTAAGCCAATGGATGACTTCTATGTCATGTAGAGCCTCACCAAAAAATTTTGCTCCCTCTGAGTGCCAGAAGATACCACATTATATACAACTGCGGGTTTCATAGCTCTTTATGGGTATCTTTGAGGAACTTTAGTCTCAACATATTCAAAATTATAACAGTGGTTATAATAAAATGAATAAAAACAGCTATCACTTAATATCATTTACCATGTGGTACGCTCCTAACCTCTTTACACAGTCTCATTTAATCTTTTCTAAACTTTTAATATATTATCAAGGAGAAAACTGCAGCCCAGAGAAATTGTCCACACTTGGAAGAGGTGGAGCCACAGTCCAAACTTAGATTTCTGACTTGAGAGCCTGATTCTTTGCCCCTAGGCTACTTCCTCTTTTCTGGCCACCTCAGCTGGTTCCAACTTGGTTCCTCTTCTGGTTCACAATTAGGGAGACTGAGACAGCACCCAGAAATGAGTTTACCCTGTGCACTGCAGCAACCTCTTTACTGGTTTTGTGGTTACCCCTGCCTGCTCCTATCACCCCATCTACTTCTGACATTGCAATCAGTGTGGTTTTTTTTTCAACCTAACTCTGACTGGGTCATCTCCCTGTCCATACCCCTCCACTCCACAAACACTCCTGTCAAAGCTCAATAGTGTCCCATTATTATTTAAAAGAAAACATTTCCAGAGATGAAATACTGTGCCCAGTATTCACCCAGGGGCCTCGGTTTCTGCATTCTCTCGTGCTCCTTGCCCTTAGATGCACTTTGCTCTCTGTGTCACAGTCTTGGCCCATGATACCGCCATGGCCTGGACGGCTCCTTGCCTGTCTCATCCTGGTAACTTTCATACCTCAGCTCAAGTATCATGTCCTTGGCAGACTTTTGGATTAGCAAGACTGAGGTGGATCTCTGTACATTGTTACATTCCTATAGTACAGGACCTTTTTCTTCACACAGCTTTATTCAAGTTTGTCGTTTTTATTTTGGTGCATGAGTTCTTTTTTATTAATTTACTTCTCTCCGAAGGGAGGGGTTAAAATTGTATGCCCAGCACAAAGCACAACAAACATTTGTTGAATAAAGTAATTAACAGAGCCCAAATCTGCACATGCTAATAAACAGAAAAACCAACATCATATTTCATCAAGAAATATACTTACACTCATGGATTCATCTGTTTCTGGTGTTTCTGCTGTCCCACTATCATAGTTCCCCAACTGAGCCATTTCTAAGTAAAAAGAAAGAAAGAAAGGTGTAACAAAAACACAATTCTAATTAGATGACAGTACTGTGCTAATGCAAAAGGAAATATTTTCTTTACTAGTCCAAAAAAGCCTTTCTACAGTAGACCCTCCATGTCTGGGTTCCACATCTGCGAGTTTTATCAAGTGTGTGGGTTGAAACTACACACCAAACAGCAGGCTATGGTATGCATGTTTGCACGGAACGTGTGCCGATATTTTCATAGTCCTTAATTCCGTTAATACTATATATCACATATATTTACAAAGCATTCACATTGCATTAGTTATTAAAAGTAATGCAGAAGTGATTGACAAAATATGGAAGGATGTATGTAGGGTCTATGAAAATACTATTTATGGGTAGGACATCTAGAATCACTCCTTGATGCACACCAAATTACCTGGGGGGAAGAATCATAAGCTGGTCATAAGAACTAGCAACTAACAATATGAAATTGTTCATTACATACCTTTCCCTGGGACCTCGTTTCTCAGGAATACCTAGACACAGTACTTTAGAGGTTCGGCCTGTGCTTCACTGAGCAGGGTCACTGGTAGTAGATGCAACCACCACAGCAAGGAAAGGGTGTTGGGGTTCAACATTTGTGCTTATAGTCAAATATTCAAGAAAGGCAAGTCTTCCAAGGCTCTGACAGTTATCAAACATGTACCAGCATAGAGAAAGAAAGCTCATACAATGTGAGTCATGTCTATGTGGAATTAAAAAAAAAAACTCACAACAACTCATAGACACAGAGAACAGATGGATAGGCGGGTGGTTGCCAGTGGCATGGGGTGAGGGGCGGCCCAGAACATGTGACAGGGGTTATCAGGCATAAAGTTCCAGTAATAAATAAATAACAGGGATGTAGAATACACCATGGTAATGACACTAAATTGTATATTTGGAATATACTGAGTATGTTTTTAAAGTTCTCAGTACAAGGAAAAAAGTTTCCTCACTATGTGCAGTAATGAACGTTAACTACACTTACTATGGTCATTTCCCAACATACAGATATTTAATCCTTATGCCGCACACCTGAAACCAATGTATGCCAATTACATCTCCATTAAAATCTTGATGCACTCACTACAGCTCTAAGATGATAATCAGTGTGCAATGACCATCATTTCTTCCATTCCTTCGCCTTCACTGAGAGTTGCCCTGCCCAGGACACCAAGAACTTAAAAAATATGTCTGAAAGGAAGTAATAATAGTAGTGAAGAGGAGTTCAGAGATGAAAACACATGAGTTACTACCTCTGCCAGCACTTTACAAATGAACTTCTAGCCTCAGGTTCTCCCACTGTAAGTTAGCACAATATTTATTTATCTCCTAGTATGTTTCATGAGTATGATATATGATAATGCATGTAAGGCTCTTAGCATGTTTACTACAGGAATTAAATGCTCAGTGAATGCTGGCTGTTATTGATTATTTTAATCTCATATCATGACTTAGGTTGGATGCTACATGCTTGACACCAGCTTAAGTACTGCTCTGATGGTCTGGTTTTAAGAGACAAACACAATTAGTTGCTCAAATCACACAGAACCATCCTTGAGTCCACTTACATAAATCAGGAAACCTAGGTAATGGTGCTATTCACTTAAAAGAACTAGAAAGATTTTTTCCCCAAAACCTGATAGGGATTATCTCTGAGTAATTATTCACATGAGTAATTTGTTAATTTTTCAAAACTGAACATACATGATGAAAATATTGTTTTTAGTTATATTTTTAATGTGCACCTAAACTTATTTCTTAGGCTCTTGTTTCACGTATTCATCTTCCTATAAATACAGCTATCCTTTCAGTGGAGACTACACATAAAAGACACAAAACAATGCTGGAGTAGTGCCTTTAGACAAAAACGAACAAACTCAGATTCTGTAACTAGGGATTGATGCTCATTTTCCAAGTGGACCTCTAAGGAAAATACAGAATAAGGAGGAATTCAGTGACACTTGTGTGTTTTCCTGTTGTTCAAATGATGTCAATATCTTGTAACTAAGCACTTTAGATTTATAGACTAGGAGGTGAACTAGATGTATTTGGTAGGTGATGCTTCAAGGACAGAGGCTATTTTAATGTTGTTTAAATTAAATAGCACCAGCTGCTAACATTAAGTGTTACGAGGGTTTGGTACAGAGATGAACTCATATAGTATGTAACCCACTTTTATGGAAAGAACGCCAAGGCGCAGGAGGCTCAGCCCTGGGTGGGAGAGTTCCCACAGTTAGTGACACTGGTGGCCAGGGTGCAGTTCCGGCCCATTGACCTCCCTGTCTTCATTGGTAGCCATCAAACCTCAAGCTGTAAGCTTGCCAGTGTAATGTGACAAGAAAAGGGAAATATGGAGATCAAGGTTGCAATAATCATGTTTTAGCTAATAACAGATCTGAATTAAGAAAATTGTGTCAAGAGTTACAAACACAACTCCCAGTGATAAATCTGCATTATTGAACTTGGAATTTGTCAAAGATCAGTGTGCATTTTTTAAAGATCCTCTAAAGACCCTTAAATGGGCTGCAGATTATTCACCTACCAATGTTCAGCCTACAATGATATTTACTGCCAGGTCAGAAAACTGTGGAGAGCTCACTTTAGTCTCCAGTTGAAGGGCTGACACTACTTGAACTACACTGGCGTGAAGACTCACGATAATACACTTTGACAGCCTCCCCCGCTCCAATTATTTTCACAAGAAAACAAATTAAAAGATGGTTCTGTTTTAAATAGAATTTCTGCTAAATAACTATTATCTGGGAAATACATATTATTTGTAAGCAGTGGGTAGTAATGGAATGGAACCAAGAGTCAGCTTTTGAAGCAGGAAGCTAAAGCATCATTTTGTAATGCCTGAAGAGATTTTTAAAACTCATCTAAATACCATTAAACATCTGCCCTTTTTATTTCATTGATTTAAACCATTTCTGAAGACTCATGATTCAAAAAGGTAAAGATGGTAATTTAAAAACCATGGGGAAAAATCTCTCCCCAGGGAACTTTTCAGAAAAGCAGCTACCAGTCTCTGATAAGTGATGAATCTGTTGTGGTATTGCTTTCAGAACAGTATAAATTTATCTGGCATTATCTCCCAGTAACGCATGCATCATTTCACTGGAAACAAAGATACGATTGCTGTAAGTGCAAACAAAGCAGGGAAGTAGGAGAGTGGGGCAGAGAGCAGCAGGTTCCCTGGCTGAGATGGGAAAATAGCTGGGCCAACATTTACCATTATTACAAACAAGCTAGCAAGATAAACACTGTTTGCAAATTCAATGTAATGAACCAGGAAGACAATTCTGAATGAAGGAGTCTCCCTTTCTGAGTCTTTGTAGGCAATGTATCACTTAAAGTGTTTTAAATGACAAATTTTTAAAAGATTTATTTATTTATGTATGTATACAGAACTGGGGTACAGGCCAGAGGTACAGGGGCAGTGAGAGGATTATATTTTCTTAATGAATCAAGCATAATTTAAAAAAAAAATAAAGTTCTCCCTCCACCCCCACTGGCTCTCTTATACATTATTCTTATTCGTGGTTTTCTTTTTTTTTTTTTTAATCTTGGACAAGAAAAACTATATTTGCCAACATAATATCTATTTGAAAGTAATCTATCATCAGTTATACCACTCCCAAATTATCTTGAGTTTAAACGACACCTCTAAATTAATAATTACGATAGCAACATATTCAAAATTTAGTGTTCTTTAGTGAGAGAACCTCACTGAGTTTTGCAAGAGAGAAGGAATCAGAGAAGAGGGAAATCTAAACCCTACTGGGACATTCTGACATTATCAGGTTGACAGGCTGATAGGATTTCAAGTTTGCCCCAAATTATAGGTAAACATAAAAAGGGTTCTGTTCACTTGCTCCTCAGCACTCAATTACAGCAATTTACTTCAAATCCCCATAGGCTCCCCAAAGTTGGACTTTTCAATAAATGCAAAACTGAGGAATAATAAAGACTTGCTACATAGTTCCATGAGACCAGGGCATGCAGACAAGTGGAAGGTCAGTCCAAGCGAGATACTCACCTTCCAAAGGGTCCTTATTGAGCCCCAGCTGGCTAATGATGTACCTGGGAATGTCAGTTTTGATACCCTGTCCTTCTTTGGCATGACCTTCTGCTGCTTCTAATAGGTAGTAAAATTCTTCAGGATCAAATTCCTAGCAGGAGACAAACACAGATGGATACTTCTGAGCCAAACTGCCTGAGGTTTTATTACATAAATCCAATTCACAATAAAATTACTGCATATGTATGGCTATTTATAAAGAAAGAAGTCAAATGGATTTTAAAAATATATAATTCTCACTTCATATAGGAAGTCTATTCATAGTCTAAGGAAAAGACACACATTACTTATTAACCCAAAGACAGTGATGATTTCCAATTTCCTGGCCACACTGAAGGTAGTCCGCTCCACTTGAGGTATCTATCTTACAGAAAGTGAACTGATAGGAATTTTTAATGTTGCCTTTTCTAGCAAAATTTTAAAATCTGGAATCACAACCGAAAGAACAAGTTCCTCTTTCTGCAACAACTGCCACAGAAGGAGTAACATTTTCTCAAAGGTTTCTCAGGAAACTTAATATAGAGATATCCAACAATATTAGAAAGAAAAATCTCACCATTATTAATGAGCTCTAAAACAAAGTTATTAATAGTCACATAATGTGAAGATTAAAAAAGAAAAGTACAAAATTAATGCTACCAATCACCTCTATATTAAAATTTTAGTAGCACATTTTCCCTATGTATTTTATTTTCTTTGGCTGTTTATAGTGTGTAATAGGGAGTAAACTTTAAATTAATGTTGTGGATTTATGTATTGTAAACAATTATGCTTACAGATTTAAAGCACAGTCGCTATTTTTAGTTTCATTTCCTGTATTTTCCCCTTAAGGATTTTTTTTCCCATTTTGATCAATGCTCCAACAGTAAGTTTGGAATCGTAGCATTTCACCTGAGAAATACTCAAGAGCTCTATAAAGGCCAATAAAAAAACTTGCTGTGGGCCCTCCCTGGTGGTGCAGTGGGTTAAAGCACAGCACTAAGAAGCTAAAGCCACTTCAGCATGAGTTTGATCCCTGCCTGCCCCAGAGGTGACCCACATGGTGCAGCAGACCTCTCCTGACCCGCCCACTGCTCCCCTCAGCAGTGTACTTCGTTGATCTGCCTGTCCTGCACCCCACTCTGTCTCAGTGTATCCTCTCACTGACCCTGCACCTCTAGCCTGAACCAGAGTTCTGTATGCATAAATAAATCTTTTTAAAAAAACTTGCTGCACATGGTATAAAGACAAATCAATATTCACACTCAGTGCCTTTGACACACACCTACAATGGCAGGGGGCAAACCACTGGCATGAAAACACTGGTTGGGGAATAAGGCTCCCAAAACCCTGAAACTCCAGTTTCCTTAAAAAAAAAAAAATTTAAGGGCAGTTTTATTAGGAAAAGGAGAAAGGAAAGTAGGAGGCATCTGCATACACATGGGTGGGCAGAAAGCAGCTGCTGCTTTTGAAGGGAAAAGTTTGTTGAAAAAGACACCTGCATAGACACGGACAGGCGGTCTTGGGACAGGCACTGCTGAAACTCAAGTTTCATGGAGCTTTCGACTGTGCTGGAAACAGCATCAGTTTCAGATCTCCTTCAAAGTTTACTCGCTTCTCTCTTGGAGAGGCTATACTTTTAATGTTCTCTTCTGATTAAGAGTGATTACTGTAAAAAAATTCATTTCCTCTTTGAAGGCAAGATCTTCTCTTAGGCTATTTGCTGCCAAGTTTTAATGCTAAATGGTATTCTCCCCCAGATTAAAACACAGGAAGTACAGCATGTGTTGCATAACTTAAGAGGTGCAATGGAGAAAGATCATAAAGCAAGTCTTCCTTCTGCCTACATTCGTCATTCACACTGTTCTTCTCTGCGGAGATATCTGGGGCTTTCCCTGCCTCTGTTCTCCCAGAGACACTCAACGCGAAGTGGTGCTTTTGATTCTGGAATTCTAAGTACCTTGGCTGTTGATGGAAAATCCAACCCCACCACACCCCTGCCTTTCTCCTCATGATTTCCCCTTTACTATGTCTTTTTGTATTTATTTATGGGCATGACCATTTTATTGTTATGAAAACCTATGAATGTTAATTTAAGAAGGGTAAATCTGTAGCTGTGCAAATTATATGAGCATACATGTTTAAATTCTATAAAAATCTAAAAAGCTGTATTGTGTAACTAGGGTACAAAGAATATAGTGACTAGTGAAAAGTAAGTTTTAATACTGTATAAAGTCCCTTATTGTTATGTTGAAAGGTTCATATTTGCTCAAAATGTTTTTTATTGATAAATCAAAATTTATCAATAAAAAGCATTGAGAATTAGAAAAATCATCACTGATTTAAATAATGTAGTTGATAAAATGAACTAATCTCAAGAGTCTGCTCCTTCAGGTCTGGATGAGACCTTATTATATTATCTGAAATGGACTGCTCATTAGCCCTTAGTTCTGACATGCCATATTATAGAAACAAATAATTAGAAACCCAGTTCACCATATATCTCATCTCTGATTTCCCTCTATCTGCATCTTCGTAACTCCAAAAAAGTAAGACACTCAAGTGTTTTAAATTAGCTGTAACATAGTAATTATGCTGAGATAAGGCCAATTACCTTATTCTATAATCATTTTTCAAGTTTGACCAGAATGTGATATGACTGCCACTTAACATAGCTCAAGTTCCAGATAAGGATGGCATCATAAACATTTACAATTTGTAGTTCCTCTTCACTCTTTCCATTTAGCTCTGATCTTTGAAGCTAAATGAAACCAGAGCTTCCTGAAGACCACTGCTCCCCACAGTTAACAATAAATAATGGAACCACATCCAGGAACCACTCACCAGGCATTCTAATAACCGAGCGGGGCGGGCAATGACAATTAGAATCTTCCGAACTAGTTGCTTAATAAATGCCAACTCTCCACTTTCCGAACGATCATGAGCCTGTTAGAGAGAAATGAAGAGAATCATGGGATCAGGTTGCTCTATTAAGCAGAAAAGAAAACCAGAAAAGAGTTCAAAGTAGGTGATTGCAAATATTCCAAAATTAAGTAATTTAGAAAATACTTTTAAAAAGATTGATAAGTAGACATTTTCTGCACATAGACACTATTAAACTTCTAGATCTACAACATGACTTACTGGCTAAATTTTCATTGCAAAACTTTGATATGTTCTCTGTGTTAAGAATCAAATGTTAGGGCTCCTCATGTGAACCATGAATGAAGGAGACACTGAAAGTTTATCACACATTAAATATATGGTACAAATAGTAGTGGGTAACACTTCAGTGTATGAAATGGCTAATGTACTGACTGTTCTTGTCTTCCTAGACCTCGTAGACATCCACAGTCATGAAATTACTTTATATAACAGTACCAAAAGCATAAACTAGGCATCCATAGCATTTAGGGTATGTGCAATGCTTATTTCAAATGTTAGGTGGATCATAGTTACACTTAGACATGCATGTGTGCATATATGTATATGAATCCAGTTTTACATGTTAAATACATAGCTAGGCACTCACCTCAGTAAAATTTAACTGACTCACAATCTACATGTTTTTCACATCCTGCTACATGTGAAATATAAGGTCAAAAATCTCTAGAGGATGAACCTCACTCTGTTAATAGTCATTTTAATTTTAAATGCTGTTTTCTTGAGGAAATTAGGCTAATCTGTGTGAAGGCTGACATTAAGTCAGAAGTTTCAATTAAACCATTAGGCTCACTTTTAGGCTTTCTTAATGTAAGTTTTTATGATTTAATTCACAAGATTATATTAAAAAACTTATCAAGGCAATGTTGGTACAATATAAATTGACAGACATAGTAATAACTACCATTTAAAATTATTCTTGAAGGTGCTTTGTCCTGACAAGTTACAGTGCCACCATGAAAATAACCGACATTATGAAAAATGACCAGCAGTCGTATGTCTATTGAATTTAAGCCATAAAATCAAAGACAACATACCAAAGTAAGATATGAGCAAATATAGGTGAAGACAAAAGCTCCTTTGCTAACACTTAATAGGGAAAATGATGATTGGTAAGTACTTATGGATCAGAATATGTTCAAAGAAAACCAACTAGTAAGTACAAGTTCCAGTACACAGTATAGCAATAAACAATAGAAAGTAAGTATTAAAAATGCCCTGAAGTTTTTTTTTTTCTTCAAATTTTGCTTTGCAACAAAAATAGATTTGGAAACTAAAATGAATGCAAAGGAATATGTTTTTATGTGTTCCATATAGTTTATCCTTAGTTATAGTGAAACAGAGAATCTTAAAGTTGGAATAAAATCAAACAGCACCTCAGTTCTTGACTGACAATTTTCATTTACTACAATAATTACTGTTTTATAAGTTCAGGAATAACAGTTAACTCTAAAAGTCTGAAATGTTTTAGTGATGACTTCAAAAGGAAATAAGAACTCGTACCTTAAATAATTTAAAACTAGTTCATTACATACATCCCGTTTCAAAAATTATAAAAAGAATCACTTCATGCCCACTTCTTACATCCTAGGAATTATCAGCCACAACCAAGACCAGCATGTACCATGAGTTATATTAATTCAGATTATACTGCTTCTGCCAGCACTGTCGGGGTGGGTGTGTGTGGTGGGGGGGAGCAAGTAGAGACTCCTGGACCAGCAGCAGCAATGCCCAATAGCCATGGACAGATACCCTGTGTTTGTTATTTTCAATGTTTCACTCTTAAAAATACAGAGACCCAGATTTGAGCCTAGGTTATAACTTCCTAGGCAATTATTTTCTTTGGCTAAATACACCTAAGTAAAAAAAAAAAAAAAAAAAAAAGAAGAAGAAGAAGAAAGAAAGGAGACATAAAAGCATTCATTGGAATTGACCTAGACCTCTGGACTTTAAAAAGTTAAATCAAGCTGCTCAAATCTCAGGGGCACTTGCTTGGGTATGCAAAAGACTGACAATGGAGAAAGTGGCTGGGAGACAGGCGGCAACAGGCACACAATGCCACAGCTGGGGACAGACACTGCATGTAGGAAAACAAAGCAAGCTCCCACAATTCCACACTACCTAAAAGGGGCAAGTTCCCCTGTGGCCATTCAGCTCCAAAGTCTGAAAGGACATTGTAAATGTGATTCTGAAGATGGTTTTAATTTTCACAAAAGAACTGATGAAAATGATGTTTATCTGTGCAAAAAAGCAACACCCTTACTTACACCCAACAATGCTTATGCTACAAGTATATGGGCCTTTTTGCCACAGAGAAATTTCACGAAAAATCCACACCTTTTCATCTATTATGTGACCTATTCGGATAATCTTGGAAGCCCCAAGATTTTTTAATTGCCACACAGCAATCTGCCAAGTCTGCCATAAAGAAATAAAATTAAGCGGGGGATTTCCATGTAAATAGATTGGATATTGACGCTATCATTTTTAGGAAATGCCTGTGAAGGAATGAAAAATGCAGAATAAAAGTGGTAATAGTGGTAATATCCTGGGACAGAAACATGGAATTAGGAAGGAGTAACTCACAGAGCCTGACTACCAAATTCCTTTCTCCTCTGCCTCTTCTGTTTAAAATTTAACAAATATAATTTTCCAGTTATGCTCATAAAATATAATATGCATGGTGTTTTCAGCAATTTCTGGAAGCTGACATGATTAAAAGGGAGAGATTATATGAGGATAAGTCATAACAGATGAAATATTTTTGCAAGTATATACATGCCTCTTCTTTCTCTCTTCTTCACCCACTTCCTCCCTCCCATAGTTACCGAGGAACAAATAAATACCAGTAACAGTGTTACACCCCAGGGAGTCAGAGATGGTCTGGATATCATCTTTGTCCTTCAAAGAGCCTACTGTATGCTGGTGAAGTCAGACTCCAAAGCTGGTCACTACAAAGCACTGTGGTTAAGTGCCCTGAGATGCAGGGCTCAGCCAGGGGCCATGTTACAGGTTTTATTTGTAGACAGAATGGAGTCCCCATGCATGCCAGACAGATGTTCTTGCAGTTTCATGGTCGTATGAACTTGAAGGGTGAGTACTGAAGAGAAGCAAACCAGTAAGGATGAGGGTTGGGTCAGGCAGTAGGTTACAGACTCAAGTGGAGGCCAGTCAGAGAAAACATTGGGAAGTGCACTATGAGAGTCCCGTGGTTGCTGGGTAGGAGGGAGGAGGAGCCTAGTACAACTTAAGAGTTCTTTTAGGTATAAAGATGGAGGCAAAAAACATGGGAGAGCAGGTTTGGTCAGTAAATGCTAAGACTCATTTGGATAGGCTGGCCCGCTGGTTCAGTGGGTTGTCTGGGTAAAAAGATATTCCATATGTAGGCAAATGTGTGAATCTCAAGTCTGAGAAAGAGGCTGGTCTAAGATATGGATGGAAGCCATTACAATGGACAGGTCTTTGCTCCAAGATGAACAACTAGATCACAAGGACAGAGAGAAGGGAAGTGGGAGAATCTTTTCAGATCCTGGAAAACTTTTAGAACAGGAGCCCTTGAAAGATGAAGAGAAGAAACAGAGAGTATCAAGAATAGACATTATCTTTAGAAGGGCAAAGAATGGAAGAAAGGGAGTGGATGCAATAACACCCAGTAAAACAGGCCAGCCCCAGCAAAATGTTCTGCAGTAAGGAAGAGAGAGGACACTGCTGAGTTTCGTGAGAGGGCTTGGGAGTCCTTCATTTAAAACTGAACTCCTCCATGTCACACACCATCCTAGGTGAATGGAACACACACTGCCACCTAGACACCGTGCTGTGGAGAGGCCCATGCAAGCCCAGGGGCTGCCACTGGTGTGTGATGAAATAAGCACAATTATTGCAAGCAGTTAGCAACGCTTATGGCAATTTTACTTGATCCTTTCTATAAATTAATTTTCATTTGAATTTACAGAACATTGGTCCATAACAAATTAAAATTAATAAAAGCCCCAAAACAATGTGTTCCTCCCTGCAGAGAGTCTGAGAAACACTGCCTTAGTGCCTGCAAAGGTTGAAATGTGAAGAATGGGAGCAGGGTATAAAAAACTCTGCTGGGAATTTCAAATAGGAAGGGGAGAAAAAAATAGTGGCTGCTGGTTTTCTCATCTCCTTAGAAATAAATTCATTTAGGGGCAAGGACAGATGGATTTCCAGAAAACAAGATGCTGATATTTTCCTTCAGAATTACACAATTATTTACATATTCATGTTAAGAGAAGCCACCTACTATTCTGTTTACATGAGAATAATTTATGCTCTACTAGATACAGAAATACAATATAACCAAATATATAGGCTGAATAGGTTTTACTTGTAGGCTGTGGCTGATCAATTTCAATCACAATAGCAATATTATGCACTAATTCCATTCTACCATACACATTCCTGCCTGTCCTGAGTGTTATCAGGAGAGAGGCATGCAAGTGTTAGGGCTAGACAGGTCCTGTGTTTATTTGTCATTTCGGAAATTGGATATTTTGTTAGAAGAAGAATTGACACTAATGAAAATATAAGTTGCCAACACCACATGTAGGTTAATTAATAGGACACAGGGCCTGGAAGAAGCCAGCAATTTTCCATTTAGCTTTTCCAGATAGTAGAAGTAGATAGCATCATCAAATAATGAATATACACTCAGGCAATTTATAACTTTATGGTTGGGGGTAGGGTAAAATCACTGTTTCAAAATCCTTCACAATCCACTTATCCCAGAGTCATAGATTGTTGGGTCCCAAGGTTCCTGTAAAGGTTATTACATTAACTTTCTACTATTATAAATGATGACCAGAATCAATTTACAGCAAGTAGCAATCAGTTTTTCTTTTTCTTTGCTTCCCTGAAATGTGAATTCTATCTCATGGTTAAAATATATAAGCAAATATTCCTGCAAAATTTTTCTTTTTTTCAAGGGAAAAGCAAAACAAATCAGAAACTTTATATGATATATGATCATACCTCGTGTAGCAATTTATCTAATTTGTGCTGTAATTCAAGGAAGTATCGGGAGGTGATGAGACCCTGGTGGGATTTATCCAAGCAATCTCGAGCCAGTTCAATAATCTGATGGTGAGTGAAACTAAGCACTCCATCTGCCAGGGGAAGAACGTGGTCAGGAGAGTAGCTGGTGATAATTTCCTTTAGACGTTCTTCCATCTGAGCTGTAGCCTATTTAGAAAGGACATACACATCACACAGATGTAATACAAGGAAATATGCAGGTGAACAATCCAATCATCACATTTAGCTGGTATTTTCAGGACCTCCATAAGTTATTAAATAGAATTGTAGAAATCAGATTTAAAAAACCCTTGCCTCTCTGTTAACTTCAGTGGTGCACGTACATCACTGTATCGATCTATCGACAGATATGTATACATACATACATACATACATACATACATACATACATACATATATATATATATATAATCTACAGATTATATACCAGGAGTGAATCCTAATGAAAACTATGGACTCTGGGTGATAGCCATGTGTAATGTAGGTACATCAAAGGGGAGGGGGCTGGACATGCATGAGGTCAGAGGGTATATGAGATCTTCTACTTTCTGTTCTACTTTGCAGTACACTGAAAACTGCCCTAAAAATAAAGATTATTGAAAAAGAAAAAGATACCTCACCATGTGGAAGAAAGATTTGCAGTATATATGGAAAAGTGAATATCCCAGGGTGATAATTGCTTTTTCTCTATGTCCTATCAAATGTAAAATAGTCCATGTGAACTTCTGCAAATTACTCAAACAGTATCTGTGAATTGCTATGCTTTCATTTCAGATCTTGGGCTCTTTCAGATAGATTGCCAAAAATAGCAAATAGTTATGTTTTTACCGAAAAATCAGAACTGTCACTAGAATTACATAGGGTGTGCCAAGAGCTTGTTTTTCTACTAGATTTAAATGTACCAGGAATAAACATCTTATACCATCTTTATCCTTTTCTCAAGAAGCTACATCATTGCAAAAGGTGAAAAGGAGTCCTTTGGTAATATAAATCTAAAACTTCCCTTTCAACTTTCATCATTCTTTGTGATGCCCTTTGGCTTAATCAGTATTTCTTGCTTGCATTAATGTTTATAAGCAGGGAGATGCCCTATCTCCTGCTCCTCTCTAAAAGTCCTAACTAACACTAACTTTGTAGAATCAGGATCTGTTTCCCTGGTGAACAAATGACATGTGATAAATAGCTAAAAAGACTTTAATCAATGACATCAATGCGGGGTTCATTACAAACAATAAGTACTCTACCCCTGATTTATTTCTTTTTGTTCTCTTGCCTAGAGCCACAAATCTAGTGGGGGAGAAACAGGAACAAAATGGAGAGACTGCCTTCTCCCAAATGTGTAGAAACACTTTGGCGGAAACGATGTGGAAATGAGGTGACAGGGATGAGCAGACAGCAGGCTCTGCAGTCAGAGGGTTTGGCAACAACCAAACTAAGTCCTCTCTGAGTCCATGCAAGTGCCTTTTGCTGCTCTTAAGGGGGAACACTGCAACTGCACCTTCCCTTCTAAGTTAATAGCGCCAGACACATAATTGCTAAAGAGACAGCAAGTCACTGAGAAGAAAAATGAGGTGAGGGGAAAAAAATACTTGCCTGACATACTGTCTAGAGGCTTCCGAGAAATTAAAAAAAAAAAAAAGAAGAAAAGAAAGGTCTCTGCTTGACAATGCAAAGCAGGCCCAGGACAAGGGCAGGAGAGCACAGGGTGTAAGGCCTTTCACAGGTGTGCCACCAGGTGTGTGGCACCTCCAGCAGGATTCACTCTCCAGCCAGTTCAGCACCGAGACTGCAACTGGTTCTCAGCAGCTTTTAAAAATGTTCAGTGATTTCATCTTTCTAAGGAGCTAGGGTGCTGTGTTATGCAAGTCATTACTGAGCTGGACCATTACTTCCTATAACAAAACCACCTTATAGACGTTAAACCTATGTTGCCTGTTTGTTGGGATGCTAGGCCTCTTCGATTTAATTCATTACCTTTGGGAACCTTTCTTTGTAGACATGGTTCATCATAATTATTTCATGGTCACAGCAGGCGGGAGAACGTCCAGGGCTGCAAGCAAAGCAAATTACCCTTTTAAACTTGCCACAGCATGAAATGAAAATAAGCTTTTTATTTATAAACAATTGGTTGCATCAAATGTACTATGAACCTTTGTAAGAAAAGTATATTAGGTAATAAACTACAAAATCAGTCATTAGTACACATGGGCACATACATACCCCCAAGCAGAGACACCCTGAATTGGATTCAGAAAGAGAGCTCTGAAAGTGGAATGCCATGAAATAATTATAACTCCAATATGAGATTAGTTCAGAGAAGGTTCGTAAATGGAGATTACATTCCATAGGTAGCAGGTACTTACAAAGTCCTGGAAACCAATTAATGGACTGCAACAGGAAACAAAATGCAATAGCCACAAACAGCGTCACGCAGGACATGTGAACAGTGTAATTTCACACTTTTATCACACACCTGCGCTCTGCCACGTACCACTGAAGAAGTTTAAGAGTCTTCCACAGCACAGGTGTCACCATTGAAATCCATTTTCTAGCCTAGCAAATATTTATTTGGGATGCTGAGGTGGGCAGTATGCACAATACGAAGCAGACCCAACTAACTGCAAGTATTTTTCTTTATTTCAGTAGCAAGTCTGTGTTCCTTCCCAGTGGTATATGGCTGCCAAAGTCAATGTGAAGAATTAAATTCCTGAAAGTGTACGGATCACACTAGATATCCTAGGCACTTCTTTCATAAAACCAAAAAGAGCCGCAGTGTGGTAAAATGCAATGGCTCTAAGTGAATTCATAAAATTGATCTTTTATTCCATATCTCAAAATAATCTAACACATCCTTTAATTGCCCGATATGGGCATACTTACTATCACCCGCTTATGACCCTCAATAGGAATGGCACAAAGGAAAAACCCTTCTCAGTAAGCTTTGATATTAAAGTGAACACCTGAAAAACTGTTTTTTAATAAAATCTGACTGCACAAAAGTACATCAATTCTGCACACAAGGTCTCCTAGGGATGGCCCCACATGCAAAAAATCACCTTGCCCAAGGCCATGTCTTTTCTAGGATGCCAAGTTCAAGGGGGGAAGCTGGAAAGGGGAAAAAACAGCAAAAGTCATTTGGCCCAGGGGCCTCCCTAGTGGTAAAAGGGATGAAGTCTTAGCACTATCAAGCTACCTACAGACATTGCAGCATGCGTTTGTTCCCCAGCCCAGGATGGGACCCACATGGCACTGCTCCCCTCTGCACCTCAGCAGTGCCTTTCAGTGATCTGCCAGTTCTGCTCCCCACTCTGTCTCTGGTGAATTTGTTAACCACCCCCCTTGCCTGCACCTCTGGCCTACACCCTAGCTCTTGTATGCATAAATAAATACATCTTTAAAAAAAGGCATTTGGTGCCCAAAAGTAGATGACTGGATTAGAAAGATGTGGTACATATATACAATGGAATATTACTCAGCAACCAAAAAAGAGAAACACATGTCTTTTGCAGCAACTTGGATGGAGCTGGAAAAGATCATGCTTAGTGGGATAAGCCAGAAAGAGAAAGAAAAATACCGGATGGTTTCACTCATAGCAGGAGTATAATGGACCAGGCGAGAAAATAACAAAAATAATGAACAACCATGGACCAGAGACATTCTGTGGGGGTGGAGTGGGGAATGGGACCAAAAACGGGGGTGGGGGGGAGGGAGGGAAATGCACGGGACTATGGTGGTGGCACAGGGGTGATTTGGTGATGGGAAACCCGTGGGGATTACAATTGAGATAAAAAAAAATGTGCAAAATGATGTAAAAATAAACTTTTTAATAAAAAAAAATGTATTAAAAAAAAAAAAGGCATTTGGCCCAAAGGGGCACATCATCTGGTCTCCATGGGGACAGCTGTTTCAAAGCTGGATTCATCCTTCTGACACTCCTGCTTCCCCTCTTCCTTCCACAGCTGTCATTCCCAAAGATACTCCTAGATAAGCATTCTGCACTTGAATCTGTCTTACATTCTGCTTCCCAAACAACCAAATAGTGACATGTATTATTTTTGCAAATAAGGTCAAAATAAACTGATTCTACTTACGATCAAATGGATATTTGATGTACAGTTGGTGTCCACAAAATTTAAAGGACACAAACTCCTAACAGTGTTCATAATTCTGGAGAAAGTAACATTTATTATGGGATGAAAGAATGAAAGACTATAGATCTGAATCTACAATGTGGAACTGAAAAAAAAAATGATCCTATTTTTGTAGGATTTCCATTAGCCAGGCTTCCCCCTTTTAATGTAAGGCTACTAATTGATTTTGTCACACAGATTACTTTAAAATTTCAAGCGCTTCCGTTTATAAGGGTGGCCCCTACATTACCGCTAGCAACAATTAGCAAATTAAGAGAATTTAAAAGAAAAATAGTGATGTCTTCCAATGATAATAATATCATCTGTTGATGAAAAAAATCATTCCATATTGACAGCAGCTCACAGATCAATGATCATACATACAAATGAGAGGGGCAGACTTCCCTCACAATGGCTGAAAACAGATAATCCCAACAAATAACACTTTTCAATCAGGTGCACACACCTCAGGCTTCGGGAACGAGGGCGCATGGGTGTGTTTCTGCATCTGTTCTCAGTAGCGATACTTTCCGTGGTACAAAAATGTTTCGATAGGAAGTGCAATTCATCGGGTGTTGGCTGGTAGGGTAGCTGGTGCAACTTCTCCTGGGATGAACAGGATGACTAGAACAAAACAAAGGGAGGTTACAGGAGTAGCTCAAAAAGAAATTCTTGTAATGCATTGTGATCCAAGCACTCAACTGGGGTGATACCACCGTTTTACACCGTTTCTTTTCATATTATGACTACAATAACCAGTGCCTAAAGGAATACCTCAATACTTTCTCTGGGTGTTCAAAATACCTGCTACATTTAAATCATCTCATCTTTATAAGGCAATCTTCTCAAGGATATTTTCCTCTCTGGTGAAAACCCAGGCTCTGAAAATGACAAGGACTCAGTCAAAACTAAAGCAAGGAAGTGACAATTGAAGGGAGAATTTGGTTGCATTAAATGACACGTTAGTTCTCAACTGAATGCTCACTTCTGCTGCTCATAATCAAACACTGTGACTTTTAGGTAACATAAAATGAAAGATAATGTGGGTTCGTAAATAAGGCAAGGAGATCTCTTTCCATAATGTGTTCTGACCTTTGTGCAATTACCATCCTCCTGTGCCATGGATGTGAAGGGGAAAGGATAAGTAAGATACTTTTCTCAATAATGCCATTGCTTTAAAAACTGGAAATCTCCCTTTTCTTTTTTGGCTGAGACTGAAATATTAGCTGTATTTCATTTTCTTCAAACCAGCTTGAGGGGTGGTTAAGTTTTATTTCTGTATATAACTTTGCTTTTTGAAAACTGTCACTCAACCTTCAAAGCAAGGTAAGGTAAAGAAAGTAAATGACTTTGCTTTTAATCAATCTGGGAGATATAACAATAAAGCAAAAGCAACAATGGCTTTGTTTTTATTGGGAATTGAACTCTCTAATGAACTACAACAAAGGAAATTGAGAAGTTTTAAGTAATAGAAACATGATTAGAATAAGCAAATTCTGAAAAATAAGTAATTTGAAATTTAACAGGTTCTTAATTTGAAAAAAATCTTTTGCGACATTAAGAGCATACTTTATAAGTACTAAACAATAAAGCCCCACAATGTAGTAACACTTAACATTAGTAATATAGCATAAAAACCTTTCTACCTTGAAATTATGAAACACCTTACTCAGTACATAATAGACAAAGAGGGCTTTTTATAATGTAGTTGAGATTATTTGATAAACTCCAAAAACCAGAACACTAGTGGAAAGATTTATGAGATAAATCAAAGTTTTTTGCAGAAGGTACCAGGACAGGCCAAATATTTTCACCAGGAAATCAACTCAAGAAATCAGGAAAAGAATAATAAAATCAGTGTAAGCAGAGCCAAATTAGCAAACAGAATTAAGAATTTGTGTATGAGTCTCATAGGTCAGTTAATGAAAACAATTCTGCATTTAAGATTTCAAAGCCCCAAATCCAGCAGTTTATTCATAAATTTACAATAACCCCTTCTGGTGGCAAAACATGAACAGAATTGACAGGAACTATTTAATTTACTTAATACGAATGTTGACACAAGTTGCTGTGGAAATAGTAATATGTTTTATTATAAGCAGCTGACCCAGTTGCTGCTGGGTGTCACATACAGCACAGAAATCAGGTTACCTTTCTAAAATGTGCAAAGTAATTCCAAAACACATCAGATTCGAGTTTCACATAGCTATTACGGGCCTGTAGTTACACGGCAATGAGAGCGAGGAGGGGGTATGGGTGGTGGCGGACTTGGTGGTATCTTTAACATTTGAGTCATTTGTCAAGGAAGTTAAGGTTTGTTTGGAAAACTAACTGTAGCCAATCTAACAAAATGTTAGTGTGTGAAATGTTAGTGTGTACCCAGTGCAAGCAGAAAATCTTAGGGCTCTACCCTATACACATGCATTGACTAAAGTGTAAGGAACAGGCCCTGGGTGAGCTGATGGGAATCTTGAAACTGAAGGTTACAGGGAGGGGTATGAACAAGTATTAGAATTCAATAGTGGTAAGGAATGAAGAAGACAGGCAGCTTCTGTGGGGAGAGAGGTTTCACCTCAGTTGGAACAAACAAGCAAAGGTGGGAATGGAGAGCTGGGTCTGTAGCACCGGGAAAAACTATGGCCTGGCAAGGTAGTCTGGGGGTGCAGAGTAGTAAGTGGGGCTCCCATAGAGAGGCAATTCTAGAAGACAGAGAAGTGCTCATCAGGGCTCTAAGTCCCCTTGCAGACAAGGAAATACAAGAGCCATGAGATGGCAGGGCAGATACCAGCTCATCCCAAGACTTCAGACACATTCTGAAAAGGTGTTGCTGTTAGTTAGAACACCCTTGCAATGCTGCTTTTACAAGTTTCAAGACTTAGGTAGGTAGTTACCCAGTAAATACAGCCTCATTGCTTTATATTTCCTGCATGTTCTCTAAGTGATGGATCAGTGACCCTCATCACCCAATTAATTTGCATGATTTTTGACTAAAGACATTTGACTAAATCAAATCCATTCTCAAAGAATATTTACAAAAAAAAAAAAAAAAAAGAACCTTGTTGTAGTTTCTCAAGGTAAATGAAGAGTGCCAAGACAAAAAGCAAACAAGTTCAGAGTAATGGTATCATTTAGTCTCTCAAGATAACCATTCTAGAAAGGATAATATGCATATGTGTACATCATTTTCACTTGTTATTTATTAAGAGTAATATAACTTTAAATACCTCATATTTATAGGTACTTACATTCTTATTCCCATTATTTCCTCAAGATTAAACAACTTCTCTGGTAAGAAATAAATGGGAGGTGTCCTGCTGCTGCAATTTTGTATTACTTACTTTGAAAGAAAAAATTGTGATCTGAATATTATTTTGGAAAAGCTCCATTAATTTTAACTGCAAATTTTGAAGTTTAAAGAAACTGCAACAGTAAATACTCTCTAGAAGGATTGATTAACTTCAAATGACCAAATCTTCCTAATTTCAACAGAGAATTTTAATATTTGCTAATTTTGTGGTTTCAATAAGGACAAAGATATGTTATTTACATTTCAGCAAAAGCAGTTCTGGAATTCAGTTACCAACACAAGTACCTACAAACCATAAATTATATATTTCAAGTTCTTGTAATATCAAGTACATATTCTATTTATCTAAAAAAATAACTAAAAATAAAATGACTGGCTAAACGAGTATTAGTTAATCCAGAAAATGAAATTCTAAGAGTAATTCAAATTAGATTTAGAAAAGAAAGAATTCAACTAATAGGCTTTGTACATTTTTGTCCTAATTTTTAAAGGACAAAAACATAAAGAAACTGAGGTAAATCAGAAGTTGTATTTCAAATTCTTACTCAACAACCAAAAGGAAGAAAAGATAACTGAACTCTGTGCAACAGCATCTCTACTCCAGAAGGTAGAGATGTCTTGTGTGGAACCTTGGCAAAAAAAAGAAATTTTGCAAATGAAAATTTCATTTTGAAGGGAAGAGCCAGGGATGTGAGATCAAGAATTTTATCATACCACCTTCTTTAATAAAACACTTAACAGTTCTCTTACTTCTGATCAGAAGCCACTAGAAATACAATTAACCTGTGTGTAACTAAGTATTACCTCAGGAGGCTTTACATGAACACCAGGGAGAGCAATGACTCCGTGAAGATAGGTGGCCAGATCAGGTTTATGAATTTCAATGTTTACTTTAAGAAATACAATGGAAGGTCCTTCCTGGTGGCGCAGCAGGTTAAAACACAGCATTAAGAAGCTAAAGCTTCTTCAGCATGAGTTCAATCCCCGCCTGCACCGGAAGTTACCCACCTGGCATGTCAGACCTCTCCTAACCGCCCCACTGCTCCCCTCAGCAGTGTACTTTGTCGATCTGCCTGTTCTGTTCCCCACTCTGTCTCTGGTGAATCCTCTCACCGCCCCTGAGCCTCTGGCCTGTACCCCAGTTCTGTATGCACAAATAAATAAATCTTAAAAAAAAAAAAAAGAAAAGAAATGAAAAAGAAAAAGAAATGCAAATTCCTTCAGAAAAGCCAAGAGTCTGGGGTTTAGATCACTTATTGTACCCTCACTGATAAATAAAACAAAGGAATATATAGCTCCTCAGTTAAACACCAAAAAAAGTGAAGAAAATGGTGGTAACCACACCACAGAATCTGCCTCTAGGGCTCAAGGAATGAATCCTTTGTGAGTAGCTGAAGTAGGGCGAGCACATGGGAGGTATTTATAAAGGAAATACTTTCAAAATCATTTGCATAAAAGGGGGGTCTACAAACTCACCTTTTCTTTACAGATTTATATTAAAAACTGAGGACGATTTACCAATTAGAGATGGAAAAAAGTGTCCATACTTTTCTTGCAAAAAAGAAAAATGTAGTAACCAAACTACAATAAAACTTCAGTAAAGGGCAAGGCAAAGTGAAACTACTGAAATAAAAAGGAATTTGGCATCAAGAGACATAGTCTAAATTTTAAGCATGGGGAAGATTAAATGACACTTTGTATAGGAGACTGTGGGAGAGACCCTTGAACAAGGGCCAACTCCTTGCTCTGCCTTGTGGTGGCTGGGGAAGAATGCCATATCAAATTTAGAAAATGACTCTTTCCTGCTTTGTGGTCCATCAATTTGAACACTTATTTGCACATTGTGGCTGTTTTGTTCTTACCATCTAAAATATGGGCAAATAAGCAATGATGGTTACTGACATAATGACCACGGGTGACTTTACTGGAATTGAGTATCAATTTCACCCACTGACGCCATTCAGGATTAAAAATCCGTACCCCTTCCTGAGACAACCAGGCTGTGTGGATGTCAGCTCAGGTTGTCAGGGTGCTTCACAAAAATGGTGCAAATGCACAATAAGCTCACATAACGCAACAAAAGGAAATAATGAATAGTCAAATACATTGCCTGTCATTAATAAAATATTTCAAGGGGATGGTAAAAATAATCCAAACTCACATTATATTGTACTTGGAATTCTGGAAACATGATACAAGGCAGTAGTGACACCGGACAGAGTCTACGCATTTAAATGTAGATTTTTTATTAGTTTAAGGATCACTGAGTGGCTGAATATTTGTGCTTAACAGCACAGAGCTGGACTCTGAGGGGAAAACAACAACAGATGGATAACCCTACACGATAAGCTGATTTTGACTAAGTGGAGATGGAAATGAATCCAAAGAAGCTCTAAAATCAGGTGCACATTCCTGGCTGGCATATGAACATTCAGACCCTGTCATTAGTATTTATTGAACAACTGCAACATAGTGGGTCTTTCTAAAGCTCTGCTTAGACAGACACCTCACAGCATTCCTGACTGAGAAAGCATACAGCTAACCTACTGAATTGTTTCAGTAATTGTTATTCCTCTCCTTGAAATGTTATAGTTCGGGCAACAGTATCCTTCCCCATGCTATTTAAATGATTTATTCTTGTCTCTTAATATTTATTTTAACTTACTATAAGTTCTTTTCATCTCTCTTTCAACAAAATGTTCATACTTACGGGGCACAGACAAATTTAAGTCTTGTCATTTTTATTTCTTTAAAGGAAAAAAAAACTAACAAACCAAAAAACTCTGATAAACCAACAAACAAAACCCTGCATCTGAGCCACCCAAGGGAAAACCCGAACACCCGGCCCATCAAAATGTAATGGCATCTTCAGTACTAATATCAGGGGCATGGAAACCAAAGCCATAAAATCAGATTGTGTCCCCCTCCCCTAAATACACTAAACAGTATTAAAGAAGAACTATAATCTTTTCCAAACTTTTGTATATTGGGACTGAATTTGTATGCCATGGTTTTCAATGTTGAAGTGAAGTTGATTCTTTTTATGCTCATCAGTTCTTTCATTTACTGCATAACCTATTCAAAGTGGCAGAAGTACAGAATCTATCTTCTCCCTCCCATGAGGAAATACCCTGAGAAAACACTGCCTGTAGAATAATAGCTTTGTGGTTGTGAGGGACGGAAAAAGCAGTCAGGCACTTACAGAGACGGTGGAGCTGGGTGTGTTTGTCCCGTAGCCAGAGGAGGGGAGAGAAGCCAAGGACCAGCGGCGTCCATCAGTCCTATTGAAAAAGTGAGTTTAGCTCAGGCCAACACCGGAGTACTATTACATGGGACCCCAAAAGGAACCAAATATTTTTAGTCAAGCATATGAAACAAACAGTGAGGATGGGGAAATGTTCAGGGTAAACAAACATTATACAGCAGGTTGACTTTTATTTAAGCTGAATCAATACACCCAAACAAGTAGAAAGTGAATGGGCTGATCCATATTATTGATCTCTCACTAATACACTTTGACAAAATGAATACCAGGGATAATTGCAATGGTCAGACTCAGCAGATTCAAATAAAAAAAAAATAGAAAGGGTGGAGGTTTATCTGGAAGCTGATAAGCGGGGCTGTGGTCTTTGGAAGGGTCTGAATTCCAGTGGCACAAGAGCCTAAGGGGACTTTGCATCCTAAAGACTTGCTGCTTATTATTTGCAAGGGAACCGTCTACTCATCACACCAAGGGAAGAAGGGATCAGTGGGCTCATGACTGGCTCAAGCCTTAAGAGGCAAATAACTTTAGCTCTAAGAAACTGACTGACCTTATGCGCGGAATCTCTTAAGAGTTATTGCCTTCTAACATGACCTGGCTTCATAAAGTACTGCAGCAAAAGTCTCCTGCAGAATTTATGAGAGTGTGGACCTGCTCTGGCCATTGACAGCAGGGGCAGAATGAAAATTCTTCACAAGTAAAAGAACTAATGCAAAGAGCATAGTTGTCTGCCTGTCACAGAGGCAAAGCTGTCAGGAACCTTGAGAGTGAATTTTATCTTCAAATGGTGAGAGGCTGCGGATCTTCTGGCTTGGCCTCTGGTTATGAGTGAAGGTCATTACACAGGCTCCCAGGAGCTAAGGCTCTGGGAGCTAAAGAAATGGTAGAGACAATACTGTTGTTAAGTATAGGACACCGCAGCAAATTTTCTGTACACCTTGGCATTCTAGAACCATTGTTTTATTTGTCATTTTGAATGTTACTCAAGATAATGCAACACCATCAACATACACACATGCACATCGCCCAGAGGAAACATACTTTCTAAAGAGCTACATTCCATTTAAGGGTGAAGTACCAACTCTATACTTTGTGTAATCGAAAGTTATAATAATTTACCAAGTGAGAGATACTAGTGGACCAAATTTACCACAGACATAGTCACAGGAAGTTGAAGTCAGGGAATTCAACAGTAGTACACTTGAATTTGAGAAATGTCACAACTAGATGTTCACATAAAAACCGACAGGTCAATCTAAATAATATTCAAGGGAAAATATAAGCATCGGCGACCACAGATGTTGCCTCCAATAAATACGAATGGTCCACAAAGATGAAATGGAGAAATTCAAGTGGACAATTCACAGAAGTATTACAACGTTAAAAGGTTAGGAAAATTTACCTGTCATTTCTGTGACCGCAATTGAAGTACAATTGAACCAAGTATGTTTTTAGAAAAAGAAGCAAAATAAGATTGTTTGTAAATATATCAGATTAAAAGAATGAGAAGAATCATGTTTCTATAAAAAAAAACAACTAACAATGTTAAAGCAGAAAATGGTAACACATGCATATAATGACATATGGCTATCAATTAAATAGACACAGGTGGGCCTTATTTTATTAGGTACTTATTTTAAAGCTAAAAAGTCAAGCCTATACTTCACATTTTAAATACCTCTAATTTTTAGAAGTTAGAAAAGGATATGATTTTAAAAGAATTATTCAGTTCATTTAGTAGCAATTATCAGCAACTAGTCTCTGGAAAGAGTGAGGGACACAATTTCCCCCTCCACAACTTTGTTTTATGATTCATTAACTCTCCTTTCCCTCAGGTATCAATGAGCATATTTCACATGAATGGACAATTCCAAGAGGAGACATGTTCTTATTACTTCTGAAGCATAAATTACATTTGCTTACTCTGAAAAATACACCACTAGAAAGACAAGAATGGGCTCAGTACTGTGTGCAGCATGGACCAGAAGTAATTTATGTCTCATAAAGTTCCCTAAGTTGTCCGTGTGTGTTTATTCCAATGGAGCACAAAGGACCATTGTATTTTCATTACACGACACCCGCACATTGCAGGTTTTATGTGCTATATACTGCACTTGAGAGCCAGCATGCTCTCTTTTCAAGTAAGCTATCACACAACTGCAATTTGGATGCTACTAGTGGTGTTGTCTTTTCTCTGCCCTAGCTACGACTAAAAATGTTACCGAAGACAAAACTATGTTCTTGCCAAACATGGGTTTTTTGAAAAGAGTATTTTCTTTGTGGGTGGAAATCTTAATGTTACACTAAATGGAAAGTACAGAGGGAAAAAACATTTGAAGGGAACACAAGATACAAAAAGATTGGGGTAAAAACATTGTTGCGACACTATTCACAATTTAGATGAATGTAGTGTACAACAGAGAAGGAATGAGAAATCCTAACACCAACCTGGTTATTATAACTGTATGAAGGGAAAGCAGATTTTATTATTTGCCTATTTGTTACGGTCACATGGTCAGGTGCATTCTACATTTTGGTTGATGTGGGAACAAGCTGAACTATGCTGATATAATACCACCTAAACTCCACTCCAAAAGGGATTCTGAAAGAGTAAGCAGGATACGGCTCAGCCCGCCTCCACTCAATCAGTGTCAGATAACCCCAACTCAGAGGGCAATCTGTTCTAGTAATTTGCCTGTGGAAATATATTCTGAGATTTAATCTGGTGAATAGCAATCAGGCAACTAAGAGCCACCCATGGTATTTATTCAGGGGTCTATACTTCCAGTGAAAGTGAAACATTTTATAATGAGTAAACCTCTGCAACTTTCAGGAAAGGTAGAATATTACTAGCTCTCTCCTACCAGTAAAGAAAAAGACAGTTAACCCTACCATCAGATGGATTGTTAATTGATATCACAGTTAGCAAGGAAAAGTATGTTTCTGTTCCCCAGATCAAATCTACCATCCTTACTTTCATCCTTTTATTTTCACCCAGTGCTAAAAAAATGAATTGGATAAGTTTGCTGACAAATATATAGTTTATAATATGGAAAGGAAGTCTGTATTCTATTTTCTAGGCTAAAATTAAACTGTTATAAGAGACATCACCTGGTATCAGACCAGAAAATTAGCAAGGCTGATCTTTCCCAAGAATAGTTTAAAAAATAAGTCAATCTCTCCTTAGTTGGATTAAATATACAAAATAATAAGATATAGACTCTCAAAATGGCATTCATTGCTTCTTCAAAGTTCAGAATTGCTTATCAAAGGAAAGAGGATGGAGACCCAGGAACTGCCATTTTTCCTGAGTGAAAATTGAGTTTAAGATTGAAGAGATTGACTCCAGATGTTAACTAAAAATATGCCAATTTGAATTTTTCTAGCAAACACAGGGTCCTGTTTACTTGAATAAAAGTTTAAGAAGATGATCACTCATATCCCAATCTAAATTAATACTTTTTGAAGAGTGTGGAGGGAGTTCCATCTGGAAATTCATGCAAAATGAACTAGAGGTCTCCTGTGATAATCTTCTGTCACGGTTTATGGTTTATTTGTCAAAATCAACATGCCTGGAGGTTTGTGTATCTTTTACAGCATAGAAAGCGGATTCATCTGTCCTCCAGTCAACCACTTAATTATTAGATTCCCTTCATTTTTAAAAACCTGGCAGGATTAAGAGACTATGATTTCTGTCATGTTTAAATGCACCCTGTAATGAAAACTTACCTTTTTTTTTTTATTACTTAAGGTCATTAAATACATTCTCTTTCTTTTAAAAGATGTATTTCAAAGACTATGGTGGGTTATTATTTATCAGTTTTTGTAAGAATTTTTTTTTTACTTACAAATTGTAGCACCATTGTGAATTATTACTCACTAAGCACATGCAGGCTTTGCAAGAGTGGTTAATTTTTGTATTTTCTTTATAGTGCGTAAAATGAATAGCTTAAAGAATAAAAGTTGCAATTGGGGGAGATGATAGTGTGACTCTCAAGAAGATCCTTAGAGATCACCTCTTAATTACTTGTGTTTCCTCCCCATGGTAGAAGGCTAGTACCTTACACACATGGGCATTTAACATATGGTGGGGGATACAAGAGGTTTACAAGGGAATCTTAATTATAGAGGATTCTGAAAATGCTACAAACAGATCCTGTTCTCTGGATTTCACAATAATATGCAGTACATGCTGATAAACAGCTCTGAGGAGAACGCATGTGTTACCAGTTTGCTGGTGAGTACACGTGTTAAAATACTTTTTTTTTTTTTTTTGATCTGCCTATACGTCTTTACTAAGTGCTACTTTAGTGCACTTTAGGGAACAGGTTTCTGAGGAAAATGTAGCAAATATAACATATAATCGTCATGTATCTTGAATATTCTGAGATCTGACAGAGAGACATTTTGTTTCCTTCCCACTTGCAAGAGCACAGGGTATGTGTGTGAGGGGGGAATGAAGTCTAGGAAGGAGGTTTCAGTTGGACATGGTTCCACTTGCACAAAAGGTGGACACTTTTCTGACCTGGGGAAATCACAGTGTAAGGTACAAGCTGAAGAACTCTGATAGGAGGACATTTGCCCACTGTCCTCAATAACAGCAGCTCCTCCCTTGACTCATTGTCCCAGATGTGAGCTTGTAGCACCACAATAAGTGGTGTTCGACTTTCACTAAAACCCTGTGGTTTACACCAGTTTTCTCCCAGAGAATCACTGAATTGCTGGTTTGATGCTCTTAGGCGAAAGAACACCTTAGAGCTTATCCCTTTTGAGCCCAAGAAAAGTCATCGCTATAAAAAGAAAAATTATTTCAACAATAACACAAAAATCATACCAGGCCACAACAATGAACTAAGTCTTTACAATATAAGCTTGGGTAGATTGGTACAACTCTGCTGTGCACCCACCACATGCAAGACACTGCAGTAGGGATTGGGGGAAAGATGCCAGCAGCCGTTTGCTGCCATCACTGGGAGATCCCCAGTTAGCGCAGCCCTGAAAGAGGAACGTATAACTCTGTGAGGCACACAAAGCTCATTGTTACAACTGTGAAAGCAGAAGTGTCAGCCCAAAATTCTGTGGTGGCCTCAACTCATCTTCGGTGTGTGAGCTTCAGAGAAGGCCCTTTAAGATAAGGAGCAGACCTCACCGTGCCATTGGGAGGGGTGTAGGAGGCCGGGGGGGGGGGGGAGAGAGGAAAAGGGGTATGAAGATTCTCTACATAACTTTCTATTATTCCACTCACAAGAAGGCCTTACCTCCGTGCAAATGAGAAATGGGCTGAGGCACTGGGGGAGAAATTTCTTGGACTATCTTGAGGGCTATTTCCTGCAGAGAGAAAGAAGAATTTACAACATGATTTTGTTTTTTACATCATTATTCATATCCATAATCTTCTCATTAGTTAGAAGTTCATGTATACTTTTGTAAAATGTTCATCTCCCCAATGATGTTTTAGTTTCACCTGGAGCAGTGATGGGGGTGGAGAGGTGAGTTCTATCACAGCTTTCCAGGTGTACAAGATATGTGAACATATATCTATATCACCAGCCAGCAGTTCCCTGCATACTGAACCATCTAAATGTTTCAGTCCTACAGAAAAATGAATATACAATGTTTTCGCTGTCCCCTTCCAGATGCTAACATTTCACAAGACAGAACGGTTTGGGACACATGTGCTTCAACTGGGGTGATGGCGGCTTTCCATTTCAGGGAGGTGGCCTTAACATTTTTTAATCTATGGGAAACAATAAAGGTCTTGAGGTTTTGGGAAAAAAAATCCTCATATCCCAAAATACATATTTTAAAGGTGAACTGTCAGAACTTGTCAGAAAATATTGGGAAGAAGCCAGAAGTACAGGTCTATTTCTCAAACAACCCACATCTATTTCAGCATGTCCCTCTGCTCCTGAGCAGCTGGGCTGTGACTGACCAGGCAGCCTCTGAAAGTCACAGCCACACAAAGACTGGCAGAGGGTATTTTCCCCAAGTCCTTTGGAGGCGGTGGCCTGCAGACAGCTCACTGTAAGGAGGGCAGCTCCTCCCGGGCTTGTTACTTTCTCCAGCCGAACACTCAACCTGCTGCTGATCATTGAGAAAGCTTGGCAGGCAGCTGCTTGGGGAAGTTCAGGACACTCCAGACCCACAGCTCTGCCTCCCCTGCATGCTTAATTAGATTGGCAGAGCTGTCTGAGACCTGGGTGGGACTGCAGCTGGTGTGAGGTGAGGAGAAGCTGCAAGCTAAAGCTGTGCATTCTTGAACCAGGGAAAATAAATCCAAAACTGTGTTTAAACCTTAACAGCAAACCAGTTGCCACACTACTGACTTCTTAATAGAAGTGACAATTGTAATTAGCTACAAGGAATACAAGATTGCATGTTCAAATCAGTACCTTGCTGCAAAAAGGTAAACAATTTATCACCCTGTGAGCATACTAAAGAGTGTAAGTTTAGTGTTACCTTGAGGACTTCTGGCCTGGCTACACTTACTCTGAATTTTTCAATTAATTTAAGGTAGCAAGTTTTATAGTGATGTTTTCAACAGATGCCATTAGCTTTATGATAGACAGCACAATTAAAGCTACTTAACTGGGAAGCGCTGAAAAGCCCATTTCTTTATGGCTAGAGAATGAAGCAGCATTTTTTTTTCTCCCTGCTGCAATGAAATTTATCATGCCTTTGCATCTGTTCTTCCTTGGGCCCCAGGAGAAAGGATTTTTGCTTTTGCCATTCAGTAATCCAGGACTCTTTTTTGTCAATTTATCTACAGCTAAATTAAGTTCTTTCAACTTCCCTCAACAGCCTCCATTCCCCAGATCCTCTCAATTTGGCTTGCACATCACTTCATATTTCTTAAAAGGTCTCTGTAATTTCAAGATGTTTACTAAGTTTGTTTCCTAAAGGAAAACACACACAAGACCAGAAATCTTCATGAAAATGTTGTTTTTCATTTGGAAAGAACTTTGTTCAGCCTGCATAGAGAGAAAAACTACTAGTAAACTGTAATTAGAAACAAAAGGATTGTTTTGAATCCAAAGCATTTGGAGAAAAATCCCTACTACCTTATTCACCTAGAATAAATAATAAAGCCAGTGACACTTGGTACCAAATTCTTAGCCCAGTGGACTCTGCAGAGAGAACAATGTACCTGAAGATTATAGTGAGATCAATTAGAACAACTAGAGTTTATTAAATGTTTTTTTTCTTTTAAATCTGAAGAAGGGAGAAACATGAAATTAACCTAAAACTATTCATTTTTAAAAATTTTAGTAAGCGGTGTCCAGCAAATCATGTAACTTCTTATAATACAAGGGTGATATTATCAGTTTGAAGGTGAATAGAGGGGAGGCAGAGAGGTACAGAAGTAAATTAAGATAACTATGCTCTTTAAAGAAAAAAGCAAGGCTATGTTAGCCATGTTTAATCTCTGGGGTTGCAGCATGTGCTGCCATTCTAGTCATTGAAAATGCTCATTTTCTTCTCATGTGTCACATACACTGCTGTAAAATTAAACCCAAATTCCTACAACTTCAAGACTATATACTCATTTGTACTGTCTTTAACCATCGGTCTAATTTCTTAAGAACAGAGAGAGACTCATGTGGAGGTAGTCCAGGGAACTCAGGATACAAGAAGAAATTTGAAGGGGGCTTCAGAAAGTAGACAGAAACAACCCCAACGTAACAGGGGCAGGGGACAGAGACAGGCTTTCTGGTACCACGCAATCCAGATTGGTAAACCAGCAACTTGCGAGATGCATTAACTGGTACCAACTAGTGTGAAGCCCTTGTTGATGCCCAGAGGCAAGTGTGAGGCATCAGACATGTGGACATGGCATGAAGGTGTGCTTAGAAGGAGACTAAGTAGTATTAGTTAGGGTAGCAGGTGGTAGGTCAGTAGGTGCTTTGATTTGATAGGCAAATCAAACATGACTGTCAATGGATTAGCAGGCCACAGACCCACAGTGGCTGACCGTTCCAATGTGGTAGACTGGACGAATGACTACCCCATTTGAGCATGATGTGGGGTGGTAGTGATCGTAGAGGAAAGGGATGGGTTTGCTGTAGACTTGTGTCATTTATTATAAAAAAAATTCCTCACTTTCCTTAGGGAGAAATTACAAGATTAGTAGATTAGATAGGAAGAAGTCAACTTTTGAAGTCTTTGTTCTTCCTTGAAATAAAAATTGATTTATTTGTCACTACTTGGTCTCTGAAGACTTTAGGGATGCTATCTTGTTATACAGTGATGAGAACATTGCTAGTTTAAAACAGATCAAATTATAAAGCACGCCTTATATATTCTTTACGAAGAGACAAGGGCCAGACTCCCACGGACATGCACAACACTTCCCCGGGATGAGAGAGCAAGATGGATTGAAATCAGAGCCCTACACATGACCTTCACTCCTCACAGCACGGCTCTCTGAATTCATCCACCCATCTGCAAAGCAATACCTGGGAGACTCTCAAATGAAAACTGGTGCCAGTTAATTCTCTGCCCATATGTGCAGCACTTGCTTATAACTCAAATTCTGCTGCTCCCAGGGATTTGCTGGCTCTTGGATGTTTGAGAGCTCGGACACTTTATAGACTGCTGGTATTGCAGCTCGCGTTTCTGACCTGGTAAAAGAAACCTTAGTGGTGGTCAGGCACTAGGTAGGTAATTAACTCCAAGGTCCCCAGGAAGAGCTAGCATGGCTAATACACAAGCACTAGGTCAACACACTCCTTCACCTAACTGCGCTGCACAGGGTGCCTCATTTTAGAGGCAGTTATTGTTAAGAAAGTGATTTCCAGATTAATTAAATTGTTTGATTGCTTTGTAATTAGGTTGGAGAAGTCCTGTGTCTTCACCACAGAGAAACAATCTGCAAATCTTTTTAAAAGGCATATGTTATACCCACTATAGATTATTAATGTGTTTTTAATAGCTGTCTGTTCACAAAGTGATAGTTTCTGGTTGCCTTGATTTTCTATCAGTACTGAGGGAATTCAAGAATTAATGATAATTGCCATTTGAAACTCCTGGTGGGTAAAAGAGTAAGCCCCCATTCGAATCCTGTGTCATTACTTGATGATCTGCTTAAATGAGTTGTGACATTTTACGCCATAATCATCAGTGCTGTGATTTTTATTTTGTGGGGAATTCTCAGGAAAAAATTTGTACTGCTTAAATATCTTAAGACCAAACTTCACAGAATCAAACCCAGGATCATCTTGCAAGATGAATGCCTACAGGTAAACTGTGCAATGGAACAGTTATACAGGAATCACAAGCTGGGTAACTCACAAAAGAATAGTTCAAATCACCAAAGAAACTTGCGCCTATCCCTTCATATTCAACTGACGCAAGGTGAGCACTCTCCCTTTCACTTCGACACCTGTCTCAGAAACTGGCACCTCTCCAGATGTAACTGTAGAATATTAATTAAACCTGGGCAGCTGTTTCAAATCTAAGTGACCACAGCAAAACCTTGACTGGCTTTCAGTGGAAACTGTCTCTGGTAAACTGTGAAGTGTTGACAGCAGGCCAATCAAGGAGACTCACAAGCCTGGATTTTTGAGTACAAAGCATTATGCACAATAAACCCAGGCTTCCTTAAATCCTGGGCTATCTGAACCAGTATTGGTTTCCCCATCCCTGCCTTACTGGTCCTCTGCAGCCAGCACCATCACATTCTGTCATCTCACTAATTCATTCAACAGTAATTTAGTAACTCTCTGCTACACAGAGGAATCGTATCATTTGATTTAGATTTAGAGGGATCTGTCCATCAGTCTGTGCCCAGTGGATTCCACAGAGGCAAGAATGGAAGCAGGATGATCAGTTAGGATACCACCAACACAGCCAAGGTAGGAAATGACAGTGGACTGGACAGAGGGAGTGTGGATCTCGGGTTTGTTCCAGCAGCTGTCAACCCATGTGCTGGAAAATTAGCAAAATTTTTAAATTACTGGGTATAAATAGGGGGTAAGACAGGAAACAAGGATGACTCCAAAATTTGAAGGTTAAGCAAATGGGTTGATGGTGGCATTAGCTGAGGTGGGGAAGAATGAGGGAGTTTGGGGTTGTGAGAGAAATTTAAAAGGGAAACCTGAAAATCTAGACAGCCTTTAGGTTCCTTTATTTTTAGAGGCACCTCCTCAAATAATTTCAAATATATGAAAATACCAACATATCAAATAATTAAAGTCTATTAAATCATACTATATGAAATTCTGCATAATATTACACTAAGTTGCAGTTTATATATATATTTATAGTAACTAAATATAGTAACTAAATTAAAATTCTGTTATCATTTTTATTGTACTTTAGAGCAAATA